TTTTTTTTTTATAATATAGCCCACAAAACAATACATTCATTACCTAAAAGTATTTTGTGTCATCATAACCCCAACTCTAGTCGCCCATAAAGATGTTTGAGGTATTTGTGAAAAGAAAACACTAAAATACACGTTAACATTTATTTAAAGCAGCGTAAATGCAGTCTTATATTTATTTATATAATTCAATGTATAAGTACAAAGGTGTATGTAGTGCTTAATAGAGAACCCGCTATATATACTACCTTAAATTAAAAGCATAATAATTTTATACGACACAATAATTCAAGGAAAAATTAAACAAACGTGTAAATGGAAAAGACATATTTAAAATATTATAATTAGTATTTAGCTGTTTTTGGAATCTGTTTATCTTTCTTTTTTTAAACATTTCCCTTAAGGGCAACATTATCCTGTGTGTTTAGGACGTTTTACGTCGACGTGACGGATAAATTTCACGCGGACAAACACCCAGATGCGAAACAATTATCTGTGGTTCACACAAATAGTTGTCCCGTGTGGGGATCCTACCCACGACCCCCGGCCCCGAAGGCAATAACTTGGCAACTGCGCCACGGAGTCATCATAACAAATTTCTTTGATTGCATATGTCAAAAACAAAAACTAGCAATTTTTAAGAGAAACAACAAACATAAATTCCACTTTATGGTATAATTTTTTACGAGATCCCTCCCCATCCCAAAGTTGTCTGTCTTTATAGGCTAAATAATACGTAATACATTTCTTACAGAATAAAATTAAATCTAGCTGGTAGGGTTGTAAACACAGATTGACCAACACTTTATAGTCTAAAAACTGTTTGGGAAAGTAACGGAAAGTAGTTTTGTAAAGTTTTGTTTCTGAAAACTGTTTTTCAAACTTTGCAGTGGGGATGCCGCAAAAATATCGATATATCGATATTTTTTATAAAATACACGCAATATTTTCTATAAAATAAACGCTGTGTATGTTAATCATAAAAATATTTTTATCAACAAGGCTTTCTTTCATTCGAGTCAAAAAGTTATTGTACTGTGTTCAAGGCAAAATTTAACAACACGTCGAGATTATATCTCCTATACAATTTCCGATAATGGAGAATAATTCAAAAAGTCTTTGGTGTTTATAAATGTCGTTATGGCGTCAATAACAATGAAATCAAAAAGACCTCGCCCATACTACCTTTCTAACACTAGGAATGTAGAAATTGTAATTTTAATTTAAAAAAATAATTTAACTTTTAATTAAATAAAATATAAGTATCTACTAGTCATAATATATAATAATTCACGAAATATCAAATTTAATTACAGTAGAAATATAACTTAAATGGATCAATTTTTTAGTTAATATGAAAACGATTTTTCTAAACTTAAAAATATAAATTGGAAAATGTTAACTTCTAAACTGTCAATATCGTAAAGATTCGATTAAGGCACTGCCACGTGGCGTCTAGCTGATGCGAGTAAGTCGACTCGCCCTGGGAAGTAGGTACAAGTATTACGCCTCCAAGAATCCAGAATAATTGGCAGCGCATTTGGAACATCTATTTGGGTACATCATTTATCATCGGCTGAACGGCATGTCATTGCCACATCAGTACTCTAAGAAAATAGTTCTAATACTATATAATTTTAATTCTAATAGTTGCAGCCCTCATTTCGAGGAAGACCTAATACTGCCACAGAAGCAAACTTTCGTAGGCCCGATGAAAAATTAAAAGAAAATATATTTATTTAAAAAAATATTTATCAATACCAACTAGAATTACAGAAGCATTTTAACTTGAAATTGGTGTCGAGTGTCAAACTTATCTGGTTACTTATTTACGACTGAAACATTATGTATGTGTTTATATGAAAAAAGGGTGTCAAGACGTTTTCTAATGATTCTAATTTCTATATACATATATAAAAAAGGAAAAACTCGCGACACTAATTAAACTAAGACTGAGAATAACATTTATGTTGATTATTGTAACAATAGTTGATTGAGAATAACATTTATCGTCATAAATACATAAAATAAATTTTAATATGATTATAAATAATTTGTCGTTTACTATATACATCGTAGCCGTCGTTAAGCACAAACATTTTGCCAAAGATTCAACAGGGCTGTAACAATTCAACTGATTTTACTGTCCCAAATAGTGAAAAGTTTGAAATCATTAATTCCATACGAATAGTTTCAATATTATGTTTCTATTGCCATACATGACATTAATTTAACCAGTTCCTTTCAATGTTGAAGATTGTACATTGAAGTAAAAAATACAAATATTAATATTTATTTTGAATGTTTTAATAATTACAGTTACCAGTATACATACTCTTTTGTTCGTAAGCTCAGAAAAATATACATCATTATTTGCAAAATTTACTGACGTTGGAATGATGATGAATTCATAATAATAAAAAGTTAATTCCAATTAAAATTAACTCACTCCGTTAAGTAATTAAAATAACCTTTGTTATTGCCTAGGATAATTGATTACACGCCCACAATCTTCACTAATTGACTCGCTATAAATCGTCTAAAGAAATTGTGGAGAGCCTCTGATTATTATACATGTATATTATATACTCCTAAACAATTCCATATATTCCACATAGTGAATATTTGGATTCAGATCACACCCGTACAAAGCGATAAACCGTATTAAACTTTCGCGTTACGTTTGATCAGTTTTTAAAGGTTGTTTTGCCTCTTTTTCGGTAAAAAAAATACTAGCAAAAGGTTCTCCCAACATGTATATTTATGTTTCAATGACGGTCTCGACGGAACACAAGGATTGCATCGGGTTGTATTATGTCACATAGGCCATCAATCTAATTATTGATTTGTTTAAATTTTATGTGAGATGGTGGCAAGCGATCCGACGGTTCACCTGATGTTAAGTGATAACCGCCACCCGTGCACATTTGCAACACCCGCATGGTTGCATCGCGTTGCCACTTTTTAATATAGTGTACCCCGGCTACCTCGCTCACCAGACGAAACGCAGAAGTATGACTTCCATTTCACGCCGGTTTTATGTGAGGTCGTGGTACTCCTTGGACGCCCATTCCTGCAAAAGCGTGGCCCTGACAAATGGATTGAATGAAGAAACGATTCCCGTCTATTGTTTACTATCAAATTTGTTATAAAACCGTTTTGTAAGAAATCCATTTTGCAAGACGAAGCAACCAATGCAACTCGGTGTTGCGCCGTCGTGTATCTTTTACGCTAGTATATACAATAAGGTACTAAATACTGAATTAACCCGCATAACATGATATTATTACTATACGAACGGTACTATCTATTAATACTATCACTGTTTATTTCATAAATTCAATAGCAATTCCTATCTTGTTACATGAGATGAGACACCGCGAGATGTTGGTCTATACTTATCTCTTTATATTGCCATAAAACCTAGTCTCAAAGAGTGTCATTTTTTCTATAAATATATAATCTGATGTATTGACAAATCTGGCGCAATGTTGTAGCTACAGCTGACTGTGAAAGCGAAAAACGACTACACTAATAAAGTAAAATTCGTATTAAAAAAAAAACCGACTCCATAAATCTCACTCAATATAGATTCATCTTGATTTTCAGGAGTTTCACGATGAATTTCATCATTGAAATTATTATGTTGACAAATGGCAAATAATTTTAAAAACGGTTCATAAATGACGGAGTTCTGAGGAGAAAAACATAACAAAAAGAATACAACCGAATCGAAAACATGCCCCTTTTTCGATGTCGGTGTGAAAATACATGTTATCACAATCATTGTTCGATACGCACTAAATCAAAATCAACTAGAATCAAACCGGAATGCTATTTTCTTTGATACACGCCACGTATTACCTAAATCGGGAACACATAACTTACTTTTGACAAAAGACAAAATTACATACATCATACTATAGAGACCTAGATGGGAGACTTCTTTGAAATTTCTTCTTTGATTAAATTCAAGCGAAACGTATGGACGGATTTCGGAACGAGACAAAATTTAATTATCAATTACTTTTGATTTTAACCTCAATTATTTATTGCATTAGATTATTACAACATATACGTTTAAATCAAAATTGCAATATGTTTAATAAAGCTGCTAACTAGTCTTGTTTTTCATAATTTTCGTAAGATTTTAAATTCAGGGCAAATCCCTTTGAGTCTTCTTTAGAGTAATACTTTAAAGATCGACTTTATTGTAATCGATAAAGCGATTCAAAATGCTACCAATAGATGGCGTTATTAAACTTCATAGGGCATAGGCACACATTACTAGGAATTCCGTCGCATATTCGTCTAATTTCGTAAGGTTTTGTATGATGGCTAATTATTGTATCCGTTCGTTTTAAAGTTCCCTCTTATTTGTGAAGAGGAAATGATGTGTTGTCTTAACTGCTCCTTATTTATAACTTAATTAACGACAAACTCGTGTTATGTGTGAAGAGGAAACAATGTTAACTGCTCCTAATATAATTATAACATAATTAAATATTAAAAAGACTTGTTATGTGTGAAGCGGAAATAATGTGTGGTCTTAACTGCTACTTATATAACTTAGAAGACGATAAGAACAAATACATGGTTGTGGTGTTCAAACATAATAAACCGTCAACTGAAATGAAAACTTAGAAAGTATAACAGCACGGTAAGGTAAAAGTTGTGTGTACTATTCTGAAAAAACTGAAGAGTTTTATCTCTTTTGAGAGAACGGAGCGCGAATGCGAACACGAAAAATATTACTTTATGGTAGGTTTAGGGGTCGGAGATTTTCGGTCTGTACAGCTAAGGAATGGAACAATCTGCCGGAAGATTACAACGTGATCTTCGAGGCAGGAGTGAACAGATTTTTACTGAGGTGACGCGCCACTTACCATCGGGTGGGATGGCAGAGCTGGCCAGTTCGAATAAAAAAATACACAAAAATTCCGCGGGAGCTAGTTAGGGAGATCTTTGGAAAATGGTGAGTGGATGCGCCGGTTCGACCTTCAGACGGGGGTGATGGGAGCCTCCCCTTGCTGGCTCTCGCCCTCCCTGGCGAAGGAGAGGAACACCTCCTCGAGCGTGGTCTCCGTCACCGAGTAGTCCTCGACGATGGGGTTGGAGCCCTTCAGCGCCTCCAGCTCGGAGAACAGGTCGCTGTAGCGCATCGTCTCGTTTATGTGGTAGTGGAGCATGGTCTGTGGACGAGTTTTTTTGCTAGAGGTTTTTATTTTTTTTATTTATTTGGGCCTCGGTGGCGCCGTTGCCAAGCTATTGGCTGCGGCGTCGGGGGTCGTGGGTTCGATTGCCACACGGGAAAACTGTTTATGTGACCCACAGATATTTGTTTCGCATCTGGGTGCTCGTCCGCATAAAGCAGCACAGGATAATGTTATCCTAAAATAAGGGCAATGTTTTTAAAAAAAATAATAAAAATAATCTTAGTGATTATAACATGATCATGTTCATGCGTCCTTTCTATACTTATACTACTTCATTACGTTACTTTATTATAATAATTTATATTGAATTTCTTTATTATAATAAACGGTATAGAGAAATTTAATTTAAATGACAGCAATATCAGCGATTGGATTGGAGTGACATTCCTCCGGTTGTTTTGCTTTGTATTCGAAAGATTTTCGTATTTGTATTTGTATTCGAAATTCATTACCTTGTGCTCGTCTTTCAGCTGGCAGTTGAATTTCTGCTGCAATTCGCTCTTCAGCTTTATAACGTCAGACTTGCCCCCGTCAGTGACTGAAATGAAATGGAAGGGTGAACAGTCTCTATCACTAGTGTAGTTGTTTTTAATTCTAAGATTACCTACATCTTCATTACTTGTAATTTATTTATTTATTCTTTATTGCAATTACCTTAAGCGAGGATGATTAAAGGGCGAACTTAATGCCTTTTGGCATTCTCTCCCAGTCAACCCGGGGCGTGGTGAGATATTGTGGTAGGTGTAATAATTATATTAATTAAATGGTTTTTAGGTTAAAAAAAAATCAAGGTTTGCTTTCAAGTACATTTGGGCCGTCTATTACTCACATGATACAAGATACATGGTACAAGTTAATTAATATTTGTGTGAATTGTTGACGATTTGACAGATTTTTATATTGCGGTATTATGTACTAGTTAAAAATGACGTATGTTTGGAAATTCTTATTTTAGTTAACACCACCTAGCACATTTGCCGGTATGTACATTTTCTGAAAAACTTGTTCCTTCTTTAAATCTCAGTACCCGGAGGACCGAGCTTTGCTCGGTTTGTTTTTTTTTTTTGGTAAATCGTGTATTTTGGAAATTACATTTAGATACAAATTACTGAGTAATAAAATATGCATAATATTTTTCGATCTTACCGACATAATAATAAGAAAATATGAACTGATGTTTTTCACAGTAGAAAGAACTTTAAAAAAAAGGGAAAAAAATAACAAAATAACAAAATAACAAATCGACAAAAAATTAAAAATAAAGAAATCAATGATCTGGAATCGAAAGAAAAGTAAAAAAATAAATGTGTAAATGATCGTGACGCGAACCACGGCCGTCTGTTTTGGGGCCGCCCGATTATCGACCGAGCTATTTTGACATTTTCTCTTGCGGCGAAATTTACCGTCATATTCGAATTATATTTTTGATTCCCTGAAAACAGGGATAAAAGGACATTTTCTAAAAATGAAACCTAGCTAGATCGATTTTTCGCCCCCCAATCTATGCACGTACAAAATTTCATGAAAATCGCTGGAGCCATTTCCGAGATTCCGATTATATATATAGAAGAATTGCTCGTTTAAAGGATAAAGATATAATCTGTATTAATTGCGGGTGAGTAATTTTTGGCGTGGTTTACGTAGTATTTTAACCGTAAAAGGGGTAAATGCGAGCTTTGCTCGGTTTTTTTTTTTTTGGGCAATGTTTGTATTTGGTAATTACATTTAGTTTTAACTGAAATGTGTTCTACATTAGTGTTTTAACTGCGAAGGGAGCGGACGCATACTTTCTTCGATCTTACCGACATGTGTAACTAATAAGAAAATATTATTCGGTATGGGGTTAGCTTCGATAAAATTTAACTGAAATTTAAGGCGAACGCAGAATTCGTATGGAACCAAGCTTTCTTCAGGTTGGGGACAAAAGCTGCTGTTGTAACTGAAACAGGGCGAACGCGGGTCTTATCCGTTACGGGGAATCGAATCGAAAAGTAAAAAAATAAATGTGTAAATGATCGTGACGCGAACCACGGCCGTCTGTTTTGGAGCCGCCCGATTATCGACCGAGCTATTATGACATTTTCTCTTGCGGCGAAATTTACCGTCATATTCGAATTATATTTTTCATTCCCTGAAAACAGGGATAAAAGGACATTTTCTAAAAATGAAACCTAGCTAGATCGACTGTAACTGAATAAGGGGCGAACGCGGGTCTTATTCGGTATGGGGGCATTAGCTTCGATAAAATTTTAACTGAAATGGAGGCGAACGCAGCTTTATTCGTATGGAGACCGTAGCTTTCTTCAGGTTGGGGAGGCGTAGCTGCTGTTGTAACTGAAACAGGGGCGAACGCGGGTCTTATCCGTTACGGGGGCGTCGCTTCGGTAACCGAAAGGGGGGCGTCGCTCACCGTCGGCGCGGGGGGCGTCGCTTCGGTAACCGAAAGGGGGGCGTAGCTCACCGTCGGCGCGGGGGGGGCGTTGCTTCGGTAACCGAAAGGGGGGCGTAGCTCACCGTCGGCGCGGGGGGCGTCGCTTCGGTAACCGAAAGGGGGGCGTAGCTCACCGTCGGCGCGGGGGGCGTCGCTTCGGTAACCGAAAGGGGGGGCGTCGCTCACCGTCGGCGCAGGGGGGGCGTTGCTTCGGTAACCGAAAGGGGGGCGTAGCTCACCGTCGGCGCGGGGGGCGTCGCTTCGGTAACCGAAAGGGGGGCGTCGCTCACCGTCGGCGTGGGGGGCGTCGCGGTGCCGCAGCTTGAGCAGCACGGCGTGGCCCGACGCGTGCGCGGCCCTTAGCGCGGCCGCCGAGCCCAGCGCGCGCACCCGCCCGCCCGACATTATCGCGATGCGCGAACACAGCGCCTCCATCTCGTCCATGCTGCGGCCGGGGAGGAAAAACATGTAGTAGCGCTAATCTCTGCACTTAAGATTAAACATTAAAATTTATAGAAAAAGTACGACGTACGTGGGTTCGATTCCCACAGCGGCGGCAATCTATTCGTAATTTTTCTACAAATTTTAATCGTAGATTGTGTTTTTCTTAAGGCGGTAAGGAGGTAAGTTTTGTAGGCAGTAAGGACCCTTTGCAATCATAAATTTCATACAAACACCCAGATCGGAAACAGTCATCTGTGGGTCACACAAATAGTTGGTCCCGTATGTGAATCGGACTCACGATCCCCAGCGCCGAAGCCAATACGACAGAGAACAAAAGTGGTCGGAATTGATTTCTAAATCTGTAAGCTGAGACAGTGATGGCAGATGAGGAAGGAAAGTTCTAGAGTTCAGGCGACGGTTAGGAAGAAGGAGCGTTGGCAGCCCGCCCTTGAAATGGATTGACGGCTTGATAAAGATTAGAATTTGGATGCGGAAAGCGGAGAACCGCATGTAGTGGAAGCCATTGGGTAAGACATAGGCCATTGCATATAGATCCGGCTATGGATTGGCATAGACTGATGATGAGGATGAAAACTTTGTTTGTGTTAATATTAAAAATATCCAGAGAGAGAGATCCGAAAGCATCTGAAATATACATAAAATTAATGTCTTCATTTGTGAAACTATTAAATCTTGGCGTGATGAAGCATCGCGTGGAAACCTTGTCCGTATGAGGAGTCAGCTTTTTGCACCCGTTTATGTCTAAAGCTTATTTATGCCTGAGCCTAAATGAGTTTTCGCGTTTCGAGAAGCATTACACGCTTAGACGCTAGACGAAAAGTTTAACACGACGATAAGGGCACAACTGAAAGCAAGAGGATGACGCGGCGTAAGGAGCGTGAAACGGCGTGAATAACGTGATTCAGCGTAAGTAGAGTAAGGCAGCATGATTAACGTGACGCAGCGTAAGTAGAGTAAGGTGGCATGATTAACGTGATGCAGAGTAAGTAGTGACGACGGCGTGAGTAACGTGACGCAGCGTAAGTAGTGACGACGGCGAGTATGACACTGTAAGTAGCGTGATGTAGCGTACTCAACGTGTTACAACGGGAGTACTATGGTAGGACCACGTGAAAGATTCTGTTGTTACACAAATGGGCATTCGCGTCTGGGGAAGTACCACGGCCTCACAAAAGACTGGCGTGAAATGGAAGTGTTATATTTTTGCGTTTCGCCTGGTGAGTGCAGTAACTTGAGCACACTTTATTAAAGGTGGCAACGCATACGCATCTGCAAGCTGTTCGTTCCTTCAGGAGTTGCAGGTGTCCATGGGCGGCGGTTATCCTTAAGTCGTTTGCCACCTTCTCCCATACAGAAATAGTAGCGCGACTCAGCGTAAATAACTTGACACGGCGTCTGTAATGTGACGGCGGTGTAAGTAGCGCGACGCGACGTAAGTGACCCGTCACGGCGTAAGTAGCGTGACGCGGGATAAGTGACGTGTCACGGCGTAAGTAGTTTGACACGGTGTAAGTAGCGCGACGCGGCGTAGGTGACGCGAGTAGTGCGAACCAGCGTCAATAGCGTGACGCGGCGTCAGCGACGTGACGCGGCGCACCTGTGCGACGTGACGAGCACGGAGCGGCGCGAGGCGAGCGCGCGGCGCAGCGCCGCCCAGACGCGGCGGCGCGCCGCCACGTCCACGCCGGCGGTGGGCTCGTCGAGCAGCGTGACGGGCGCCGCGCACGCGAGCGCCGCGCCGGCCGCCAGCCGCCGCGCCATGCCGCCGCTGTAGCGGCACACGGCGCGCCGCTCGTACTGCTCCAGCCCTGTTCGATCACAAATCCAAGCCCGTGTCGCTTGCGCCATGCTCCGGTTTGTTGTAAAACCGTCGCCCTTACTCATACATACATACATTATCCTGCGTCGTAATGAAGTTTCACGAACGTAAATTTTCACGTGGACAAGCACTCGGATTCGAACGGTAAACACGGGCCGAAAGTACGACTCTCGGCGCCGAGCCCAATAACTTGGCAACTGCGTGATGGAGTCATCGTCAACAAATGAGAAATCGGGTGATTCTTAGTAAAACTGTCTTAAAATTAGCAAGCTAAAGTGGCAACGAGCCGACCACATAGCCCGTAGAACCGATAACCGATGGGGAAGACAGTTCCCCTACTAGATGAAGTGACGGTCTGTCCAAATGTGCTGGAAGTCGATGGATGCAGGTGGCTGAGTACTGAGCTTCGCACTTCATGCAGTCTGTGGGAGAGGCCAATGTTCAACAGCGGACTCGAACAGGCTGAAATGATTATGATGAAAACTGTCTTTTATGTCGTTGAATGACTTGTGCGTACCGACGATGTCTATCCAGGACTTGGTCTCGCTCCTCACGTCGTCGGGCCCGAGCCCGCGTAGGGTCAGCAGCAGAGCCAGGTTGTCGTAGCCGGACAAGAAGGTGTCCAGGCCGGAGAACTGCGGGCAGTAGCTCAGGGAGCGCATGTACTGCGAATGCAACGCGAAGGAGACAATATAGTCTATGAAGACATACAGTCGACAACGCAAGTGAAAAAGAACTTTTCGTACCTTCGAAACACATCTGAAATCACAACAGCTTTTTAAGTTACGTACTTCTTTAGGGGCGTTTCGGAAAAATGATGAGATTGAATTTTTACGATAGGCGACAAGCGAAAGTGACACCAAATATAGGTGTTACCATGGTAAACACAGCCAATAATTTTGTGACATTTACATATAATTCTAAGTTATTAAATTAAACCATTATCAATTGCTTTAATGATGTAATGCATTAGTTACTTTCAAGTATTGGCACATGGGATAAATTTTTTAGTTATTTTTCTTTTTTTTACGCCAAAGAAGTATACGCCATAGAACTTGTTACGGTTTTTTTACTTATCTTACTGATTACACGAATAAAAAGATTAAATAAAATTTGACTTGAAATTGACGCACTACACAACTACTTAATACATCTAATATACAGCGTGTCGTTACCATCGCGACAATAAATTAACACACGTCTAACGCTACTTTCCAATAATCATAAAAAAATATTAACGTTAAACAAAATCCATAATTAAAAAAAATATTTTTCAAACAAACTAATTAAGTAAAAAAGAAACAAAATTTTTAACATCCTATACAACACGCGCCACAGCGTCGCATTACAAGCCTCTCCTTCTAACAGTATGTTTTGTCTCTTTTAAATTCATTCAACCCATTCATATGCTTTGTGACCTTGACAAATGAACTTTATGTTTCAGTTTTATACGTAAGGGTGTTCTAAAATTGTTTCTTTTGGAAAATTTAATAACTCGGTAAATATTGATGTTTAAAGAATGTAAATATTTAATACAATTTTAAAAAATTATCGTCTATATGTGTGTTCATTTATTGTCGCGGCGGTAACGACACGCTGTATAACTTTTAAGTTGAGAATTATAGTGCTGTAATAATACCTTGCCGCAGTTTTCGTCCATGTGATAACCGTTCGCGAACATAGTCCCACGCGTGGGATACTCCTCGGCGGTGAGCATTTTGAAAGTGGTCGATTTCCCAGCACCGTTGACGCCCAACAACCCGAAACACTCACCTGCGAGACAATAATTTCCATAATAACTTAAGTACTAACATATGCGGCCCGTATGGCGTAGTGTGTAGTGTATCTGCCTCCTGCGTAAGAGGGTGTGGGTTCGATCACCACTACTGGAAAAATATTGTGTGATGAACATAGTGCTTTTCTAGTGTCTGGGTGTACATAAGTATAATATGTATTTGTTTACAAAAGAAAAGTTTGTTTAAGTATGTTTATCGGTTATTTATTAGCCATAGTACAACGTTTCTTAGTTTGGGACTAGAGAACGTTGTGTAAAAATGTGTCCTTAAATATTTATTATTTAGAATAGAATAGAAAAATCTTTATTTATCGTACACAAACACCGTTTACAAAAATAAAAAGAGAACATAATGCTACGGTTGAGTTAGCGCTGATTTGCAGCTGACGCCTACGAAAGTAAGTCACGTTATTTATTCAGTTATTTAAGTATGTTCATCAATTATCTGGTACCATAGCATACCATGCCATATATAAATAATTTTATATATATATATATATATGTTAAGTTTTGGCCACCATTGCTGAACAGCAGTGTACGATGTGACATTGTAGTAATATTACGCACACAAAATAATAAAAGAACTTGATCACTGTTATAATTTTTACTTCAAAATACACTCACACCCTATGAACACTCCGAACAGAATGATGTAGCTTGAAGCAGATATCGGCTTTTATACTATAAAACACGTCAATTGATCTAATCAAAACAACAACCAAATCAACGACAATTAATCTTCAACAATTATCAAGATTTAGATGAGATTTGTTACTTCGTAATATAATGTAACTTACATTTATAAATACACCGAGATTACAAATTACAATAATCACAATAATTAGCAAATTATTTAAATTAATGGAATTTAACACAAGTTAATAGCTATTCAGGTTAAATTCATTTCTGCAGTAACTAAACGCTATCATATATATATTAATTTATTAAGTATCTTACATTGGATTAAAGACATTGTGTAACTGTGGTAGGGCCACGCAACATTGTTCGCTGTTGCACGAATGGGCAGGTCCGTCCGGTTAGTACCACGACCTCACAGAAGACCGGCGTTAAATAGAAGTGTTGTACTTCTGCGTTTCCGTCTGGAGCCAGACATGATCAAAAGGTGGCAACGCATCTGCAACGTGTTGCAAATGTCCATGGGCGTCACTTATCACTTAAGATCAGACGAACCGTCGGCTCGTTTGCCACTCTCTCACATTAAAAAAAAACTAGTCTTCCACTGACCCTTTTTAACGGAGAAGCTGACACCTTTGACGGCGTTACAGGATTTGCTGAACACCCTTAGGTAGTTCTTGTGCACGTCGTTGACCAGCATCGCCTCCTGGATCTGTTGCGGCGCTGCGGGAATGGTATTGCACGTTGATTGAGCGCGTCAATTGTCACCAAACACGATGTTGCGTACAGAGTATATTACTCAATATTTAAATATTGTTTTTTTTTTCTTCTTACGTTTAGGAATCTAAAAACAGCACAATTTGGAAGTCAAAAATTTTCATAATATTCACTTAACCCTTCTTTTTTTTTCTTACTGGCAAGCACTCAAAATTTGAATTCAAAGTCCGTTTTTGCAACGACCTTTTGACCAATTGACCACTCACTTACGTTCTAACGCTGAACAAGATTACGTGCGCAATCGGCTAACGTTAATACGTTTTGTCCAACCCCATATCTTTTTTCCCTTGCTCCAAACTCAATACTAAGACAGTTCCTCTACCGAACCTGTGGATAAAAGGGAAGTCGTGGACGTATCAGGCCAGAAGATTATCCACACCGGGCCCGGATCGACTACGGCAACTGAGGACAGTCCAGGTCAGTGCTTGCCAGCCTTTATATTTCTTAACACACGATGAGAGCGATTAGTCATCACAACTATATGTTGAGTGTAATTCTTACAATGCCATCTGTGAAGAGCTACTCAGAATGGATTCATTTCCATTTAAATTTTATAAAATTCAAGAAATTAATATTGAGTCATGTCCGTTAATGTTTTTATTATTAATCAGATAATTCGTTCTTAATTTAGATTATTGTATACATTATGTATTCTCGTATAAAATTTATTAGTTTTAATTGGTGTTGATGATTTTAATGATTTTTTAAATATTAATTTAAATTTAATTTATTTTGTATTTGTATTTTTGCTTGTTATTCTTTATTTTTTTTTTCTTAATTTTACTGAAACTATTATATACTTAACTATTTGCTGTTAAATATTTTTTGCATTTATTGTTCTCGATTATTCTTGTAATTTAGCCGAAACAAAGCTGTGTCACCTAATAAGGTATTGCTGGTGTCCTTTAAATAAATAAATAAATTAAGTGTGTACATTATTCTGCACAGTACGATAGCAGCTATTATATGTTTATTTGTAATTGTAACCTCATGGAGGGAGAAACTGTTGTTGTCGGCATTTCACCCGTTTCAACAACGAATGACACCTTGCCATTTGCATCCACCGGTTGTCCGCGGCTCTAACGATGTCGTAACGGTCGCGATTTTAATCATATTGCCATAAAATCAGTACAAATTAAATATATTGTACACGAATCTTGAAAAACGGAAGACAAGGTGCGACCCACAGATGATTGTTCCGGACCTGGGTCTATTCCTAAGAGGAGTTGATATGTATTCAAATTCAAATCATTTATTCATCGAAATAAGAAATATACATTTCATTTATCGATAGTCATTTTTTAAATCTACCACCGTTTCGTAATGAGGTTCCTCTAACGGAGAAGAAACAGGCGAAATAAACTCCGTAGGTTTCCTCTTCTTTGTCATTTTTTTTACTCAACAAATATATAGTTATACAGTGTATATATTTTTTTTTCAGTGTATATAAGAGCAGTATGATTCGCATCGTGTGCCGACCATACCAAGTAGGAAAACAGTGGGAGACAGAAGATGGAACGACCACCCACTAGATGGAGTGACGACCTGAGCAAGTGTACGGGAAGTCGATGGATGCAGGTGGCTCAGGATCGTATTTCGTGGCGCTCTATGGGGGAGGCCTATGTTCAGAAGTAGACTCGAACAGGCTGTCATGGTGATCATGAAGAAAATAGCAGATGCCGCAGCGTGGTTATGCCGAAACCTGTTGCTGTCTGACGACGTTCGCTTTCGGGTTTAGGGACTGTAAAACCAACCTGCAAAATCAACCCGGGGGATAGTTTACCCTTTCCCAAGCAGATACAAAGCCTCCCGAGCATTGGAGGAATAGGAGGCTTAGGCACTATAAAAGGCGAAGCCGTAGATTAGGGATGTCAAAAGTGAAGAATATATCGATACATCGATATTTATAAAAATATCAATATCGGCCTCGATATTTCGAAGAGAAAATATCGTGATATCGATATTATCTCCTTAGGCTCCGTTGTCCAAAAAAAAGTCAAATGTCAACTATTAAACATTAGACACGTACGGGCTGTGTCAGATTAGAATTTGAAAAAATATCGTTTTTGATACGATTTTTGATACTTGAATGTGTTGTATCGATATATCGATATTTTTTCGACACCCCTACCGCAGGTCCAGGGCATAGCTCTTGTTCCCCGGGCAGTGCCAAGACCTCCAGATCGGCGGAGCAATGGGAGCGTGCACTCACGCAGGGCGATGGCCTTGCCGACGTAGGTGCCCTCCGCGCGGACCATCTCCGATTCGGCGGGGGGAGGGGGCGCGGTGGCCCGGTAGCGCCGGTTGAACAGCCGCTCGGCGAGCCGGTTGAACAGCCCGTGCTGGATCAGCACCACCAGGCTCTGGGGAGGGCGCTCCACGTCAATCCTTAGAATATATATACAGCGTGGCTTTACACTCGCGACAATAAATGAACACACATATAGGGGATAACTTTTTAAAGTTGTATTAAACATTTAAATTCTTGAAACATCAATATTTACAGGGTTATTAAATTTTCCAAAACAAAGAATTTTAGAACACCTTACCTATAAAAACGTAACGTAAAGTTCATTTGTAAAGGTCACAAAGCATATAAATGGGTTGAATAAATTTAAAAGAGACAAAACATACTGTTAGAAGGAGAGGCTTGTAATGCGACGCTGTGGCGCGAGTTGTATTTTTTATTTAGATTATAGACAAATTTTGCCTTTTTTATTTAATTAGTTTGTTTAAAAAATACTTTTTTTTTTAATTATAGTTAGTTATAGTAACGTTAATATTTTTTTATGATTATTGGCAAGTAGCGTTAGACGTGTGTTCATTATTGTCGCGATAGTAACGACACGCTGTATATCCTTACTAATATTATAAAGGCGAAAGTTTGTATGTGCGGATGGATGTTTGTTACTCTTTCACGCAAATACTACCGAATGGATTTTAATGAAACTTTACAATAATATAGTTCTTGTCAAAATAAAATATTTTTTAAATTATGGAATGCTCAATTAACTTTATGTCAAAATATGTACTTCGTCTTAAAAATCACCCTGTATATATCTACGAGGTAGATATGATACTAGCACGGCGAAACTGAGGCACTCGAATCACACCAATCTGTGTAATTAGATTGCAAATACTAGAATTGCTGTCTCTTTCCTTATACGGAATACGTTCTATATCATATGTCACGTTTACATACATAATTGTCATATAATGTACGTACAACGGAACAATTTTAAAACGTCGCGCAGTATGAACATGCGTTATTATTTATTAAAACATCATTTTTATTAAAAAGCGGGGAGGCGAGGGGAGGGTCTGTTCTCTCGTTCTCGTCGGTTTAAGCCGTTTCTTGTCTCGCTCCCACTCCACGCTCCCTTTACACGGTGGTATACAGTTTTATGGAGTATCCTCGTGCCATGGTCCATCGTTTGGAGAGCAGTTTAATTGAAAAGCATGCGATTACCAGCGCCCATGGACATAAACAGTATCGGCGGGTACGAGATTTGTCCGATGGAATTTGTTTCATTCTCCAAATTTAATTTAAAATTTTACTACCCACATACAAGTAGATATAAAAATTTGGTTAAAAACAACCGACTGATTTATAAATCACGCATTAACGCCCGGTTTCTGAAACACTGATTATCGTAAAAATAAACTAATCAGCTGTCAAATGGCTTTTTCAAATGTCATTTGAGTTGCCAAAAAGGTGGTTAAACTCTTTGAATTGATCATTCTGATCATTAAGAAGATCCCTCTGGTAGATTCGGCGTAAGAATGTTATTTGTTTGCTGCGTAAGAGAAATTTATTCTCACCATGTAAACAATGAATTGGCAGAACAGGATCAGCATGAACTCCCCGGGAGCGTAATCGTCGAAGCAAAAGTAGCACCGTGGCAAAGTGTCCAATTCTGTAACAACAACATAACACTAAAGTGAACAATCATACTATCAGACAAAGCGTATTGTCTGCGCCTAAGTTTTTATGAAGCAATTTATTGCACAGATTCAACAACGCATCAATACGTTATAAAATCATATTTGAACGTCTGTCAAATAGTACCTCCCTGCAAAAACACACATCATTCAACTTTATAACGGTCAACATTGCGCTCTCACCTGTTTTATATTAATTTTTCATTGTGAAGTAATTTCTAAATAAATGTAAATTATCCAGACACTTTGTGTTTGCATTTATGTTCAATACGTGACACGTATCTAATATGTATATTGTCGTAATATGTTTAAGAAATTTAAATATGCACGTAAAATAAAAACCACCCAAGTGCGAGTCGGACACGCAGACGGTTCCGTAACATTATTTATAAAAACGGCAAAAAATTATGTTTGTTGTATGGGAGCCCCTGTTAAATATTTTTTATTCCGTTTTTTAGTATTTGTTTTTATAGCGGCATCAGAAATACAGCATCTGTGAATATTTCAACAGTCTTAACTATCACGGTTCATGAGATACGGCCCGGTGACAGACTGATTGATAGACAGCGGAGTCTTAGTAATGGGTTCCGGTTTTACCCATTGTGTACGGTGCCCTAAAAAGACATTCCAATGCAATGATAACGGTTCATGAATAAAATGGCTTTGAATCATAGGCAAATGTCGAAAAGTTGTCATCGGTCGCCATGGTGACGTAGAAGAGACGAAGAGAAAATAAGTATAACTTCAAAGAGAAGAAAAGACCCTTACCGCGGCAAACGGTTCGATTAAAATAACTCGAAATGTCTTATATCTTATGAATCATAGGTAACTGTCAAACATCCGTCATCGGTTGTCATGGTGACACCGTGAAGTTGATGTCGCTTTAAGGTGTCGCGCACCCTGAAGAGTAAGTGTAACTACTCTTCTCTTCTGGCTCGTTCAGAGCGAATTTACAGGGGCGGACTCATAAGAACGCGCAAGCGTCTATTTGAATGAATATATTTTTGATTTGGATTTGTTCTGACTCCAGAGTCCGTACCGCAGCAGGCGACCGCGTCGAAGCCCGCCTCGGGCACGAGCAGCGCCGGGCACCGGTGCTTGTTCAGGCGGCAGTAGGCGTTGAGGCGCGCCACGTTGGCGGCCTTGAGCGCGGCCATGGTGAGCGCGTGCGGCGGCGTTGCCAGCCCGCACGCCACTAACACGTAGTGGGTGACGTCGCGCGAGCCCTGCCCTTTGAACACCTCCTCGGCGGTCTTCATCGAGGTCGTGAACAGCCCTGGGGGGTAAAGTGCCTTTTATATATAATAAACCCACGCTAGGGTTTATTGCTCGACTATACGCCCGGTTTGGAACGAGATCGACAGTGGCGTGCCACGGGGCGCGGTCCCAGATCCAGTGCTTTTGATGTCATGCAAGCGTGTTTTATATTGAAAGCGCGCTCGTATCGCGCTTAAGTACCTACGGTACGTGCGATTTGGAATAATTTTGAGCACACTTTTGGGCAATTTTTGTGATTATTCTGGAAAATAACCTATTAAACCATGTACAAAATCCAAAATCTTTTGGGGATAAGAGATACTTTTCAACGATGTTACATTTCACGATAAACAATTATGGTCGGGGTCAACTTACCGAAAATGACAACGAAGGCGACGAGCACTGAGCTTGACCCTCGCTCGCCGAAGAAAAAGCTCACCAGGTACATCACGGAGAAGAACGAGAGGCTGCCGAGCAGCAGGACAACGAATATGGCACCTGAAAAGGTTTCTAGACATAAATATTGTTCTTTTTAATTCAATTCTTAATAAAACCTCTTTACGGATTTTATCTCCGAACGTCAGTTCGATTTTTTGCTCGCAACATTCGAAAAGTCGGGACTTAAAATCAGAAATGAAGGCCGAAAAGAAACCGTTAAATGATTTGATTAAAAATGCCCGCCATGGATATTTGCAACACCCGTAGGTTTGCAGGTGCGCTGCCACCCTTCAACGAAGTGGGCCGCGGCTGCCTCACTCACCAGACGAAGGGCAGAAGTCTTACACTGCCACTTCACGCCGGTCTTCTGCGGGGCCGCGGTTACCCGCGCGGACCTGCCCATTAGTGCCACAGCGAACTGTTGCATGGCCCTACCACAGTCGGGCTGTTGGCGGTTGGTCGAAAAACAGACACCTCTCAACTTGAGTCCCGTCGATGTATTGAGTTAGACGTCAGACGGGACGAGCTGAAAACCCAAGCATATGCGGCAGTAAGCTACAATAATGTCAGCGGTGTGTTCACACGTCCATTATGCGCGAGGACGTTTGTCAACAAAATTGGTTTGTTTGTGCCACGCTAGAGCTCATGGACGCCTAAACCACCGGAGCTGACGCAGTCGCAGTGACCGACAACGGCCAGCCGTCTTACTCCCCAAATTCGATTCGGATTTGTTCTTGTTTTCGATTCGAACTCTTGATCCGAACTCGATTCGAAAAGATCACTCCCGAACCGAATCGAAACTAGAAACAGGATCGTACAAAATCAAATCTGTTAATTGTATCCTACCAATTACGTCACAGACAAATGTTCCATGTTAACGGTCATAAAATTTTTCTTGGATAAAATTTCAATTGAAACTGATGACTCCGTGGCGCAGTTGCCAAAGTAGTGGCTTCGGCGTTAGGGGTCGTGGGTTCGATTCCCACACGGGACAACTATTTGCGTGACCCACTGATGATAGTTGTTTCGCATCTGGGTGTTTTTCTGCGTGAAATTTATGTTTGTAAAACGTCATTACAACACAGGATACTATAATCCTAAAGTAATGGCAATGTTTAAAAAAAAAAAAGTAAAAAAAAAAAAAAAAACAATTGCTTAATCTTAGTTAGATCCGATTAGGGCCGCCACTCGATTGTGCGCTGGTGTCAGATTCAGTGGTACGAACTGCCATGAATTCGAGTCAAATTCGACTGATTCGGAACTCGAATCTGTCGAGGGTAGGCCTGCAGGAAGTAGTATTGACGACGCCAATGGCGTAATGGGTAGTGTCTGCCTCCTGAGTCGGAGGGTGTGGGTTCGATCCCCACTACTGGAAAAATATTGTGTGATGAACATAGTTTTCCAGTGTCTGGGTGTTTATATATGTACAATATGTATTTATTTACAGTTAGCAGTTATCCGGTACCCACAGTACGAGCGCTGCTCAGTTTGGGACTAGAGAACGCTGCGTAAAAACGTGCCCTAAAATACCTATTTATTTATTTATTTAGTATAGTACCTAGGAAGTCGGGCTGCGAGAGCGTGCTGTCCGTGTCGAGGGCGGCGGCGGCCAGCAGGGCGGGCAGCAGCAGCGTGAGCGTGCAGAGCGCGGCGTGCGCGAGCAGCGTGGCCGCCCAGTGCAGGGCGGGCGGGCAGCCGGCGAGCACGTGCAGGTGCCGCGCGCCCGCCCGCCGCTCCCTGCACGGCAGCGACACCAGGTTGATGCTGGTCGCGAGCAGCACTGCGGAACCCACGCGGGTTTAATCATGATCAACCATCTGGTATCAGAAGAGCTGTTGCAGTGTTATGAATCTATTTTTCATGGTCTAAAAATGTTGGTGACCTCTGGTTTCGTACAGTTGAAACGCCCCGATCGATAGTCGGGATAGGACGGCGACGTTTTATCATCTCATACCGAAAGAACTGTTGCAGTGTTATAAATCTATTTCCGATGGTCTAAAAATGTTGGCAACTTCTGGTTTCGTATTGTTGAAACGCGCCGATCGATAGTCGGCGATAGGGCGGGGACGTTTTATCATTTCATACTAAAAGAAGTGTTGCACTGTGAAAGCATCTACTCTATGAGGCGATGGTAGTCTGCAAATGTTGGTGACTTCTGGTTTCGTATTGTCGAAACTCTCCGGTCGGGACAGTGCTGCGATGTTTTATTGTGTTATACCAAAAGAACTGTTGCAGTGTGAAAGTATCTACTCTCCAAGAAAATGTTGGTAATGTTGGTGAATTCTGGTTTCAATAAAGTACTACTTACAAAATGTTTGCAATTGTTTGTAGTCCATGGATGTCATTAATTTTATTACAAATAAACGATTTTCTAAATTTAGCCATTCTAAGACCAGTTCTTCTAGATTCTAGAGTATCACCACGACTCCGACGTAAGGGGCGGTGTGTTCGAATCAGTTTGTCCCAAAAATCTCAAACAGACGGGACTATAGTTCATTAGCGTTAAGAAAGCAGTGAGTGATTCACTATCGTTCGGCCTAGCCACGCCCCGTAACCAAAGAAATCGTGCTTAATTAGAATGTCAAGTAACAGTAACCAATAAACACACAACAGATAACAATAAATACAAATGAATACACTTACGCTGCAATTGGACTGAACCACTGTATTCATAACGCGAACGGATTTTATGGCTATTTGCGTACTCACCGAACACCACTATGGTGGCCCACACGGCGCACATAAATATGGACTTGGGCTCCACGAGGCCCGAGAGGCGGCGGAGATCCTTGCTAGCGTCCTTCAGCGGCTGGTTCAATACGGAGAGTGCAGGCAATTGGTGCGACAAGTGGTGGGGCCCGTGAAGCGACATAGCACGTGCCGCCGCCAGGTTGGCGAGCAGGTTCAGGGCCACGGGCGCCGCATGCCGCACCCGCGTTGTGTACAACACCTGCGACGAGGGATGATCAGACTCTGTTTGCTGGCAATAAGTGTGATATTGCCGCAGCCCCTCAGCGGTCATTAAGGAGCTACAGTTACAGAACATCTTGTACAGTTTTTCAAATATGTTCACATTGTACGCTTGCAATAAGGTTGATAATTGCCCCAGCACCCGAGGAACAGGGCTACAGAACAGAACATAATTGTGCTTTATGTTTTTTAACCGAATAAAGAAAGGAGTAAGGTTGATATTGCCACAGCACCAGATCATCAAGGAGCAGAGCTGCCTTTACAGAACATCTTGTGCTTCATGATGCGCTTTTCAATCGATTTTAAAAAGGAAGTATTCGGTTTTAGGTTTTCAGAACTGCGTCATTTTTGAGGTGTTTAAATTCGGTTTTGTTTATTGTTAATACAAATATGTTTACTGGCCAGTTGCAAATAAAAAAAATATTGTTCCTTTTCTAAATCAGTTCAGTCTTCTTATTCTCTTTCTCTTGCATCATCCCACTTAGGCGAGGACGGCAACATATGAATCATGTTATAAAGACCCATTTACACGGTGCAAATTTCTTGCCTATTGTATACAATTAAATTGAAGCAATAAATGAGTTGCATGGTCTAAACAACAAATGGTCTAACAAATTATTGCGCGCAATTTATTGCATTCAATTATTGCTCTTGTATGTACAAGAAAATGGCATCGTGTAAATGGGCCTTTAGTCTGCTACGTCGACTCTCCTTTGGAAGAAGAACTACGCACACGAAGATAAACGTCCATTTTTACACGCCAAATCAGAATTAAGCTATTTTTACCAAAGATATACCGGAAATAACAATAATTGTTAAAAGAGCCGCTTGCCTTGGCATCCGTATCGTTCAGCTCGATCCCGACCAAGTACTTGTTGTATTCGATTTGATCCTTCCCATACGCGATCAAAGCTGAAATTGAATTAGGAAGAATTATTTTCCAACATCAAATACCTGTTACTAAGTTAAAGGTTGTTATATATTAAGGATGCTGTTTGCGTTTTTAGATCGTACCTTATTTTTTTTCTAATCTCAAGTTTATTATACCCTTTTCTTCTTTATTTAAAGCATTACCCCTAATAATAATATAATCCAGGCTGGTAATCAAATCTGTAACCAGCAGTTCCCCACTGCACCAAAGTATCGTTTATTTAATGCGCAAACCATTAATAATTACAGACAGTCTTGACATTAATTAATATAATTTTCTAATAACTAATCAACTATGGAGGGAGGGGTGGGGGGTTCGCCATAGTTGCCACGGACGGCGAGGGGAGTGCGCGATCTATATTCGGCAGTGGACTCACATCAGGCAATATATATCCTTGATGTAATGATGATTTACTTTCGCTATATTACTTTAGATCAGCCAAATGGAGCATTCATCATCATCGCTGTTCACAGTCTGATAATAAAAGAGAAGAAGTTTAATGGCATCAAGCTTTAAAATAGGGGAAGCAATCTTCGCTGATGCACAAAAGGGCAGCTACGTCCGGGTAATTATCACGACGTCACAGAAGACCGATGTGAAGAGGAAGTGTACATTTCTGCGTTTCGTCTGATGAGTGAGGTGACCGGGGCTCACTTTATTGAACGGTGGCGACGCATTTTAACCTAACATTGGGTTTTGCAAATGTCCCTGGGGGTTAGCACATAAAAATCAGGTGAACGACCACCTAACTCGCCATCATCTTACATAAAAAAGTGTATATACTTATTTAGTGTAACAAAAGAAAAATTATCCCCCGCACCAGTACTCTTTGTTTGTGAAGAAGTATAACACACACAACACGCGCCCGCACGCACGCACGCACACACGTACACCGGTACGCATGCGTTCGCGCTCGCACGCATATAAACATTTTACTTTTACCCTCTGTGCAGAGGTCTTTGCTCATCAGTGGGACATGCATAGGCTGTGATACTTTACTTTTTTTATTTTAATTATTTCTTTTATATTCAATTATTAGTTAATCCTCATCCGATTAAATTGTTGTTCTGCAATGCGATCATTGTACGCTGTAAGTGTCCGAACAGAATTAACTCAAGCAATCATCTAGAAGGGGGGTTACCTGTCGCCACGTCGTCCGTCCTCTCGAGCTGGACGTCGCCGTAGTGGCCCAGGAGGCTCCTGAGGCTGCCCAGGGTCTCATTAGCGCTGAGCAGCACACGCCGCTCCGGCATGTCCGAGTACAGGCCCAGATCCATCGGGGCCGAGTCGTTGCGCCGCGGCGGACGCTCGTCGTTTACGGAGTTGCGCGTGAACACGACCAGAGTGAGTATCGGTATGACCACTTGCTGGAACGCGTAAATGAGGACGATCCGAATAGAAAGAGAGAGAGAAAGAAAGAGAGAGAGAAAGAAAGAGAGAGAGAGAGAAAGAAAGATCGTTTATTTGTTAGGACTTGGTACAATATAGGTCTTAAAATTTGTATCGTCCCTTATGTTCTACCATTTCATAACACGTAATTCACGTGTTCGTGTACAAATACAGGGAGGCTTTTTTAAGTGTATCTATTTTTTTTATTAAATTCTAGACATAAATAATGTTATATAAAAATGATAAATATTTAAAATCACTCGTAATTAATTAAATAAATTAATTTGAACTTATCTCAAAATGTGCGTGATTTATGGGCAACTAATTTGTTTTACGCGCGATCATTCATAACTAACACGCACACAAGTTCGTTTCAAAAGTATACGACGCAATTATGAATGACTACCTCATTGTAAACAAGTTCTGATTTTTAGGGAATGGAATGGCAATTTTAAAAAAAAAGTTTGTTTATATTTCAATAAACGATTATACTACCGAGTCTGAACCTCCTGTGTGAATTTGGGCACCTTTAGGAAAGCCACCTGTATTACATTTTATATTAAACACATGCAAAGAATAAAAACCAAAAGAAAAAACAATCTAGAAGTGTTTTTTTTTTAAATTTATCATTTCAACAATCCCGTGGAATAGTAACATTTACTTATCAGAATGTTAAACAGATTTCGCTTAAACAATTTTAAATTTAAAAGTTTTTAATCTATTTGGTAATTTATTACATATCTTAATGGCCATACAATAACGGTTTCTGCAGAACATTGTGGTACGATGGGGAGGCATATGTAGTTTGTTCGAGAATCTACTATTTCGATTGTTTATTTCTAAATTACTTTTAAAGAGGGTCGTATGTTTATGAGCAAATATGCAAATTTCGTAAATGTATAAACAAGTTAGTGGCAGAATATGGTGTTTTATTTAAATAGAAAACAAAGTTTTCCAGTATGAAAAGCGTCGTCTACACCATTCGACGGTTTGTAGAAGCTTCACTGAAATCGGTAACATCAATATTATTATTGGCATATAGGCATTCGAGTTTTGCGAGACTTAGTGTTTTATAGCGAGACAGAGTCGTCTCGATTTTCTTATGCAAATACAACAAATGTGTCTAACTGTACAGTGTATATTAAAAAGTTAAATATAAATTTGATTCTTGCATATGCTAGTTTCTAGTAGAATGAAAGCTAGAAAACGAGATATTGAACGAGCATACAGAGCACAGCCAATTTTGAGGGTATTTTTTTTTATAAAACTGAGACACTTCACTTACCAGCATCAAAATCGAGAACTTCTTCGACAGCATATAACTGCCCTGCCTCTTCAGGAGTACCAAGAACTGACGCCAGTACAGTCGAGCGCCGCTCAGTCTCTCATGGGTGTGCGACTCTGTTTGAAATATGATGAATGATATAATACTAAAGTGGTTTTAAGTAAAAAGTACAAAACCCTGATTATAACGTGCTGAATGTACATCCGGTAAATAGACAAAATAATAAATTTTATATCACGTTTCATAGTGCCAATCTCGGCCTTTCGAGCCGGTGGTAACTTACGAACTCATGTATTAATTATTTATGTATAATTCGACGTTTCATACGAATAATTTTTTATAAATATAAATAAGTTTCATTTGAATAAAGATATTTTTAATTTGAATATGGGTTCTGCAATTATAATGACACATCAAAAGTGGTAGTCGAAGATTGCATTCGATAGTAATCGAACCCACTTTATGCGGAATCACGCCCAGACGCTCAACCACTAAGCAATGCGTGCTTAAAAACTTAAAAAGCTGAAAACAGAATACTTGGAGATTTGCAGTCAGCTGTTTAGCCGTGTTTATATAAATTTGAAGTAAAACTTCTTTAGGCGCGACTAGGGAGTAATTCAGATTTTTTCTGACGGAAGTAACGTCATAAGTATATGTCACATTTTTAAAATATGACATATTTACTATATATATATATATATATATATACTTATGACGTTACTAAATATTTAATCATTTCAGTGATATATGCCGTCAACGCCAAAGAAGTTTTACTTCAATCGCGCGTAAAGGTTACGCACCACTTTTTTCATTTTATGCATATTTCAATTGTACTAAATCTTTGTCTATCTCAATTGGTCATTAGTAGTCTTAAATACGAAACCATAATGTTATGTTCTCGCAATTTTCGTTGTATCACGTATGAATTTTTTAAAAACTTGCACACTATTATTTTTATTTTATTGAATCACTAACATGCCTATTATTGTGATGGCGCAGTGTGATATTGGATACGATACATATGGACAATTAATGAACTTAACTATTAGCGGTGCTGCCTAAAATAAGCAAAACTTTTGCTTAAAAGGTACCTCCGAGTATTTATAAAGTTAACAGAAATATGTTAATGAAATAAATATTTTTGTATTTGTATTTAACTGAACTACTATTTTACTTGAAACAAGAGATACGAGAAATAGAAGAGCCAGACCCAGTGCCACAAACGCCGGGCTCGTAGCAAATTATTTCAAACAGCCCTTGATCTGTTATGGGTTCTTAGTATAAATTGGTAAAAAAACAACTTAATACACTTACTTATTTAATAAGTTTCGCTAAAAAATTTTAAGGTTCAGGTAGAGATGAGTGGATTTAAATATGCGGGCCCCCCTTTGGCGCGGGGCCCGTAGCAATTGGTACTCTTGATACGTGGTTAATCCGGCACTGGCCAGACCAACATATTATGCTGGTCATCCCTACGGGGGTTTCAACTATATGCTGAGCAGCTGACTTCTATCGACTGAGCATTGCAACGCTCAAATTTTCTTTATACAGCGTGTCTTTACAATGGCGACATAAATTAACACACATATAGAGGACAACTTTTTAAAATTGTATTAAAGATTTACATTCTATAAACATCAATATTTACCGAGTTATCAAACTTTCCAAAACAAAGAATTTTAGAACAGCCTTACGTATAAAACTATAACGTAAAGTTCATTTCTAAAGGTCACAAAGCATATGAATGGGTTGAAGGAATTTAAAAGAGACAAAACATACTGTTAGAAGGAGAGGCTTTTAATGCGACTGTGGCGCGAGATGTATAGGATGTTACAAATTTTGTTTCTTTTTTACTTAATTAGTTTGTTTGAAAAATATTTTTTTTAATTATGGATTTTTTTTAACGTTAATATTTTTTTTATGATTATTGGCAAGTAGCGTTAGACGTGTGTTCATTTATTGTCGCGATGGTAACGACACGCTGTATATTGTTATTTTTTGTTGACTATTATTTTTTTACTTTTATTATTACTTTATTATTTTATTTTCCCTTTTTACTAATATTAATTATACGTTTTTTTACATAAGATGTACATTGTTGATTGTCAATTTTTGCCAGTGTTTTTTGTTGGGTTAATTAAAAGGTTATTATTATTATTATATCAGGTCATTCTAACGGAAGACCAATAGACGTACCCACGGGCGCACCGTCCACGGAGTCCGCAGCGAATGTGGTGTCCACGTCGCTGCACAATCTGTAGACAATGTCCTGGATTAATAAAAAGAAAGCAACCCATCTAAACGGTAAGTGATAGACTGAGATACCTTCTGTCTTATTCTATTCATTCTCTATAGACTTACTAAGGCCCAAACGTGACAAGTGGCGAGCCTGTCATGTCATTGCGCAATGGACATAAAGTTGTGACCCTTGACAGCTTTTTGCAGTTTTTAATTTACTATTTAATAGATAATCTTTTTTTTGTTTTTAAAAACATTGCCCTTACTTTAGGATAACATTATCCTGTGTTGGAAGGACGTTTTACGAACATAAATTTCACGCGGACAAACACCCAGACGCGGAACAATTATCTGTGGGTCACACAAATAGATGTCCCGTGTGGGAATCGAACCCACGACCCCCGACGCCGAAGCCAATACCTTGGCAACTACGCCACGGAGTCATCAATCATCGATCCGCTTCAATATAAATGAGAAATTGAAACTGCATCAGACATGTAAATTCGACTAAAAGACAGGGATAGCTATGCGATACTAACGTAATTATTAATAGGAGATAGAATTTAAGAGTCTCGCAAAGTTCGTCCAATTTATTGTGCAGTAAACTGATTAATATATCAGAGACAATAATATATGGGGCGCAGAAAAGTATTCTCTCGTTCGCACCGCAGTAAAAATCGTTCTCTGTCTCGTTCCCGCTACACGCCGGTGTACGTTTGAGAACAACGTTGTTATATAGACCTCAGTTTCTTGAGAGGTCCTTTACGCATTTGCCAATATTGATGTTATACTCTTTGTCTTTTGGAATCGTAAGCATTTTTTCTTGCTAACGAAAAACAAAACCGACTTCAAATATCTCGCTCTGTGTCCATTTTATAATTGATTTTCGGGATTCCCCTAAATATCACCGGAGCCGAAGATCCAATACCAATGAAATTAATATGGGACTACATGGGAAGCACCAGCTTTAAAAAAAAAAAAAACAAAGAACCATTAAATCGGCTCACTCAGTCGAAAGTTATGTGGTGACAAACATAAAAAAATACAGTCGAATTGGGAACCCCCTACTTCTGAAGTCGGTTACATTCGCCAGGCGACCAACTCACTTCAGGAACACCTCCTCCAGCGTGGTGACGCCGACGCCGATGGAGTCCACCGCCAGCTCCGACCTCCTGGACTCCAATGCCTTGAAGAGCTCCGGGAACTTGTGGCTGCTCTTCGCCGGCAGGTTGTACGATATCGAGTTGAGGGCGGCCTCCTTCAGCGAGGCGTCCGGCACCTTCGACCTGACCACGCCCGTGATGGCGGCCTCCTTCGGCACGCCGATGGTGGTGAAGGAAAGCCTGTAGCCGGAGCCTGGTGAGGAACGACGTTCATCGTGTACCGTTATTCGTTTTGGGTAGAAAACCTATATGGTATTTCCGGTTGTTGTTTTGGGTCGAAAAGCTATATGGTATTTCCGGTTGTTTGTTTCGTTCGGGTCGAAAACCTATGGTAGTTCCCGTTGACCTAGAATCACGAAATTTGGCAAAAAATTAGGTCTTACAGCACGAGTGAAGGAAAAAATTCTAAAATTAAAAAAGTTGAAAATTTTGGTACTTACAAAATTTCACGAAAATCTAAATTTGCCCATATGTTTTTATCATGTTGACTCAAGACCTTGATTTTTATACACCTAATAGGGACTATAAACCTTAGTATTTAGTATAAATGTCAACTTGATAGGTCTACCAGTTCCTGGGATAATTGGTGACAAACGGATAGAGAGACACGAGAGTGATCTTTTTTAGCATTTAAAGTACGGAACCCTAAAAAGAACAATTAATTTGCAATACGTGTACGTTGAATAAATCGCATATAAAGGAACACGCCTATACAACTTTATTTGCAAATTTATAATGTTTAAGGACAGGACCTTAAAATCTTTTTTAGTGGGAGATCCGACACTAAGTCTCCATTGCGCAGTTGCTAAAGTGTTGGCTTCGGAATGGAGAGTCACGGGTACGATTCCCGCACGAGATAAACACATTACAATCGATCTATCTGGGTCCGTTGACCGTTGGGGCTTACTACCCAACCTCCTCCACACAAAATACTAATAGACGGCGGTTTGCCACCGTCTGCCACTATGGTGCGCTCGTTACCGAGGGCGCGCTTGAGGTGCATGGGCGTGGCGTGGCAGCGCAGCCGGCCGCCGTGCAGCGCTGCCACGCGGTCGCCCAGCGCGTCCGCTTCTTCCATGAAGTGCGTCGTCAGCAGCACGGTGCGCTCGCCACGGAGGGACTGCGATTGGAATGGCTGTTCAGAAATACTGTGGCAGGGCCATGAGGAAGCTTCATAACTCACCACTGTAGTAGGGCCATGAGAAAGCTTTAAAACTCACTAGCGTGGTAGGGCAACGCGAAAGGTTAGAAACTGATTACTTTGGTAGGGCCACGAGAAAGCTTCAAAACTCTCTGCTTTGGTAGGGCCACCAGAAAGCTTCAAAACTCACTACTGTAGTAGGGCCACGAGAAAGCTTCAAAACTCACTACTGTGGCAGGGCGAAGCGAAACCTTCCGCAATTTCGGGAATCGGCAAGCGCGTCCGGTGAATTACCACAGCCTCGCTAGAGACCGGCGCGAAGTGGAAGCGTTATACTTCTGCAACCGTACGGTTGTGCCTAATGTCTATGGGCGGCGGTTAAGCGTTAATGACTTCGGGTGAACAGGGTGATAGCAGCGTGCCAACCAGCAGCAGGTCCCACAGGCCGCGGCGCGTCTCCACGTCCAGGCCGGAGGTGGGCTCGTCCAGCACCAGCAGCGAGGCCCGTCCCGCCAGGGCGCAGCCCAGCTGCAGCCGCCGCCGCATGCCGCCCGAGAGCTGCGCCGCGCCGCTCGCGCCCTTCGCCGCCAGCCCCAGCCGCTCCAGCAGCCGCCGCGAATCGCCGCTCGCCTCGCCGTACGGCACGCCCTTCAGCTGCCGACGTGTTACTCGTTAGGGTTCCGTCTGTCGGACGGACAGACAGACGGCGGAGCGTTTGGACAGCATTTGCTCTGGTGACCGAGAGTCCGTACCCAAGGGTGAAACGGGACCCTATCACTAAGGCTCCGCTGGCTGTCTGTCTGTCTGTCTTATCGTCCGGGCGCTCGCTTTTGATTCAATACACTCGAGCCACCCGAGTTCGATCCCCGGTGCCGGCACCGATGAATTTGTTGATTTTAAGTGCTGACTTGTCGCGTGTTCAGCGGCGGAGGAGAACGTCGTGAGGAAATATTTTCGAAAGAACACAAATAAAATATTTCGTGGATATGTGAAGTACGGATCGGCGGATCCGCAGTGAGCCGCATGGTAGACTATGCCCTGATATTCCTTGTATAGAGGAAGCCCTTGCCCAACAGTGGGACATGTATACACTGTTACTTAACTTTCTTTTAACGTTATTATTATTATTATTTAACTATGGTCGAGTCAACCAACCGCTTCAACCGTCGTCCGTCCGAGTAAGTACCACGACCACACAGAAGACGGGCGTAAAGAGGAAGTGTCATACATCCGCGTTTCGTCTGGTGAGCAAGGTAACCGAGCCCCACTTTAACAAAAGGTCACAACGCATCTGCAACCCTATGATGGAGGTTGCAAATTTCCACGGAACTCCACCAACAAGCACCACCCGCTCGCTTACCATCTTCACAAATTAAAAAAGAAAGTATTAGGGCATAATCTAACATTTTGATTCGTACACCCACTAGACCCCGTTATAAGGTGAAAACAACAGAGATTTCGTAACAGGACAAGAAGTGGGGTGTACCATCGTGAAGAACATGATGTGCTCCAGAACTGTGAGGTCCGGGAAGAAGAGGTTGTGCTGGGGGCAGAGGCCTAGGTGGCGGCGCACCTCGTCCTTCTGCGTCACACTGTCCATTCCCTCCACGTACACCTTGCCCGAAGTGGCGCTCAACATTCCTGCGAATTGACCACCCTTATAGTTCTGATGATCATTGCTGATAGGTGCTTGAAGAGCTGTTATGGCCGGCTGGCTTTCTCGCTCGCTCCTTGTAGTTTTGATGACTGTTGCTGGTCAATAGAGACCTGCATAGTTTCTGAATAATCCTTGCTAATATTATAAACGCGAAATTTTCTATGTAAATAAATAAATATTTAAATAAATAATAATTTTTTATGTCTGAATGTTACGCCTGTATGCCTTCAGTCTATTCTACGCAGATATAGTCGCGGGCAGCAGCTAATAGCAAAATATTTCGAAGATATGCGAAGTCTGCCAATACGCAGTGGAGTTACGGGGTGAACTATGCCTACTGTTTACGGAAGACCTTTGCCCAGCAGTGGGACACATGTGGGCTGTTGCTTTACTATTTTTAAAGTTGGACCGTTACCCGTGATGATGTTCATGAGCGTGGTCTTCCCGGCTCCGTTGTGGCCCAGCAGCACCGTGATCTCGCCTTTGTAGATGTCCAGGGAGACATTGGAAAGCACCAAGTTCTTATTGAACACCTGCGAATCAAATCGGACTAAGCAAAAGTCGCATTTCACATCTAACTTCGGCGTTAGATAGACGTTTGTCGAACTTCCACCAGAAATACAAGGATATTGATGAACTTTTTCATTCTAATTTAAATTTTAATATTCCAAGTTATTGTAAAATACTTGATGTGAATTATGGAATTTATATATTTATGATTTGATGTTGTTGAGAATTTTGCTTAGAATTATCCTTAAGTGGGGTCGCAGTTCGCATTAATTTTTAAATAAAACTAATTTTATGAAATAATTTCGAGCGAAAATCCGAACCATATTGTAAGCGATAAATGTCCTATGGTTTTAGAAATTAGGTTGAACAAACAAACACGCAGACAGTATTCTTACAGTAGTGGATATCGATCCAATGTCCTATGACGCAAGGAATAATATCAAAATATAAGAAATCGCAGCATTCCTCTGAGCTAGTAATATTCAATTAACAAATTGATATCGTGTACGAATAAGAACATTTATCAAAACACAACATTCAACCTGAGGGCGACTAAGCGAATCTATACATATAAAAAAAAAATGTAAGTGATCGTTGTCTGTACATGGAAGATAACCAAAACCGTAAAGAACCCAAAAAACTATTTATCTGTGCGTTTGTGCGCGCTAATCCCAGAAACAGCTAAACCGATTTGGATGGAACTTTCACTAACGCATTGTAGTAAGATTCACTTTTAGTGTTAGTTTTATTTAAATCGGTTCATAAATAAAAAAAAGTTATGTCAACATAAAGAACCGCATTGAGGATTTGTGCAATAAAATGCTATATATAGTTTACTATATGTTACACTCGGTAAAATGATGATGATTGTAGGTTTAGTACATGCGAGCGGAGCCGCGAGCGAGGAGCTCGAATAAAATAAATATGTTTTCCAAATGAACAAAAGAACCTGCCTTTTGCGCCTGAGTGGTTTAGAACACACACCGTGTCCGAATCCACTACAGGAAATATACATAGTGTTTCTCCAATGTATGTTTATATATGTATAATATATATTCATTTACAAAAGAAAATAACGTTTCATTATGTTTATCGGTTATCTAGTAAAAGCTTTGCTTAGTTTGGGACTAGATGTTGTGTGAAAACATTTTCAAAAATATTATAATTACTAGCGATCCGCCCCGGCTTCGCACGGGTTTAATATATTATACAAAAGGAAGGTTTATAACCTTCCTCTTGAATCACTCTATCTAGTAAAAAAACCGCACCAAGAAACATTGCGTAGTTTTAAGGATCTAAGCATACATAGGGACAGACGGACAGCGGGATGAGTTTGTTCTACTATGTAGTGATAATGTATATTTATTTACAAAAAAAATTACGTTTCAGTATGTTTATCTAGTATCCGTAGTACAAGCTTCGCTTAGTTTGGGACTAGATGTTGTGTGAAATTTTTTCCAAAAATATTATTATTATTTACCTTGGACACGTTGACGATCCTGATGCCGACGTCCAGGTTCTTGGGGGCCTCCTCGAAGTAGAGCGGGTCCTGGGCGATGGGCTCCTCCAACTCCTCCACCTCGATGTCCGGGGTCACCTTCCGCTGGCTCCAGTACTGACGCTGAGGAACGAGACACATTTGGATTTAACTTTTATCTTTAACGGTACACTCTCTATGTACTATCTTTTAACGCTGTTGCACGAATGGGCAGGTCCGTCCGGGTTAGTACCACAACTTCACAGAAGACCGGCGTAAAGTAGAGGTGTTGCACTTAGGCGTTTCGTCTGGTGAGTGAGGTAGCCGGGGCCACATTATTAAGAGGTGGCAACGCACCTGCAACCCTACGGGTGTTGCAAATGTCCATAGGCAGGCGGCTATCACTTGACATCAGTTGAACCGCCAGCTCGTTTGCCACTTTCTTTTATGTGAATAAAAAAAAACTCTGCACTAGAGCTGAAACTTACAAATGTGTTAGGGCCACGTAACTGTTATAGCTGTTGCACGAACGGGCAGGTCCGTCCCGGGAAGCACCACGACCTCACAGAAGACCGGCGTGAAGTGGTAGTGTTACACTTCTGCGTTTCGTCTGGTGAATGAGGTAGACGGGGCCCAGTATATTAAAAGGCGGCAACGCATCTGCAACCCTACCTGGGCGGCGGTAACCACTTAACATTACGTGAACCGCCAGCTCACTTGCCGTATTCTTACATAAAAAAATAGACTGAATTGATGTGCTGGATATATTGATACATAGGTTTATAAAGATGCTACTTGAGCGTCATTTGCCCGGACTCTAGGACACATGTCCCAGGGACATATGCTGGTGAAAGACCAATACCTGTTCAACAATTACTCATTAAGGATACTTAAGTTTTGAACTATTATTAAATTTAGTTGAACGCGATAAAATCTGTGCGAACTAACAGATTGAGTCCAGCTGGGATACAAGCTGTTATACCGGTGGCAAAAGCCTACCTGGAAGATGAAGCCCCAGGGCAGCGCCTGCCCGTACGGGCCGGGGTTCACCAGGGACAGGTACCAGGCGAGGAGGAAGAACAGGACGCTCTGCACCATCAGCGCCAGGAAGCACAGCAGCACGGAGTAGGTGTGCGCGTTGTGAGCAGTCGCCATGTTGGCGAACGTCAGACCCTGACCTGAAAGACGGCGGATAATGATAGTAGTCAGAATTATAGTTCTAGTGACAAAGCTGAGTGGCCTTATATTATCTTATCAGTTTTACCAAATAAATGTTTAATGCACTATGCATCAAACATTTAGCCTCTATGGGTTAATTTGGTAGTTTTTGAGGATTACAGAAAAATAAAGAGATCATTATATTATAGATGTTGTTTGTTCAGTTTAAACTAGCACTACTGTAAATAAAAGTATAAAGTAATAATATTTACGTTACATACTGTATGAATCATTAAAGTCGTAATGAGAAGTTCTATTTTTTTGTAATTCTTAGAAGAACTTAGCCAATAATAACAAGATACTCGGTGGTGGGAAGGGAGGGAGGATGGCGATGAAGGTGGGAAGAAAAGTTGGGAGACGGAGAGGGCTTTAGGAAATGGAGGGGATGTTGGGAGATGGAGGGGATGTTGGGTGATGGAGGGGATGTTGGGAGATGCAGGGGGTGTTGGGAGATGCAGGGGATGTTGGGAGAAGGAGGTGATGTTTTCAGATACAGGGAATGTTGGGAGATGGAGGGGATGTTGGGAGGTGCAGGGGGTGTTGGGAGTAAGAGGTGATGCTTTCAGATAGAGGGGATTTTTGGAGATGGAGGGGATGTTGGGAGGTGCAGGGGGTGTTGGGAGAAAGAGGTGATGTTTTCAGATAGAGGGGATGTTGGGAGATGGAGGGGATGTTGGAAGGTGCAGGGGGTGTTGGGAGAAAGAGGTGATGTTTTCAGATAGAGGGGATGTTGGGAGATGGAGGGGATGTTGGGAGGTGCAGGGGGTGTTGGGAGAAAGAGGTGATGTTTTCAGATAGAGGGGATGTTGGGAGATGGAGGGGATGTTGGGAGGTGCAGGGGTTGTTGGGAGAAAGAGGTGATGTTTTCAGATAGAGGGGATGTTGGGAGATGGAGGGGATGTTGGGAGGTGCAGTGGGTGTTGGGATAAAGAGGTGATGTTTTCAGATAGAGGGGATTTTGGGAGATGGAGGGGATGTGGGGAGATGCAGGGGGTGTTGAGATGGAGGTGATGTTTTCAGATAGAGGGGATTTTGGGAGATGGAGGTGTCGTTGGGAGATGGAGGTGTCGTTGGGGAGGGAATGTTGGGAGATGGGAGGGAATGTTGGGAGATGGAGAGGAATTTGTGAAGTGGAGTTGTTGGTTTCTCACCGAACTTCTCTAGTGCGGCCAGCTCGTCCCAAAAGAAGTTGAGAGGCGCGTGCGGCAGGAGGGCGACGAGGGGCCTTAGCGCCGCAGGGATCGCCCTCTTGGACAGTATCTGCGTCGGCACCCACAGCGCCGTGTACGCGAACAGCGACAGCGTCACCGCGTATTGTGCTGGGGAGGAAGTACACGACGCGCTGGACAACCCAGGACAAGGTTTGCAGATAAAACGCGTTTGACTGTATTAAGTCAAACGCGTGGCACTGTACACATCGGTGGCCGTAGCTGGTTAATATGACTTTCGTTTTCTTTTTCCAAATTCAATATTGGCCATGGATTATTCCTGTGATCCATGTGTATCAAGTCAAACGCGTGGACACTGTACACATCGGTGATCGTAGTTGGTTAATAAAATTTTATTTTCTTGTTTTTTTTTAAATTCAAACTGGCCAGCACTTGACTACCATCCCACCTGATGGTATGAGGCGATGCAGCCGTTGATGGTAGGCGCGCTAGCTCAGCAAAAACCTATTCACTCTTTGCCTCGAAACGCCTACGTTGTAATCGTCAGCCTACGTTGTTCTCTTGAATTCTGTCAACCGTCTCGGCTATGGTACAACTCTTGTTATACCTCGTTGGCGTGACCAAATAAGAACAAAAAAATTTTTATATCCCTTTACCTTCTTCGCTCGTAAAAAAGTTATTAGATGCAATCGATAAAGGTCGATTAAAGAATTTGGAAATATAAAGTTGCCATGGTAAAGTAGCGATTTTAGTCGGTTTGTAAACAAATTCATAATGTCGCTTTTTTGTTGTCGGTGTGCGCGCGCGTCTTAAAGAGTTTTATTCTATTTTTTTCCAAACGCGCCAGAAGAATAATGAAAAATAGTTCGTATGTTACCTATAAGTAAACAAGTACTTATATAAACATGCCCAATGAGAGTAGCAGGTAGCTGTGACTTATAAACAGAGCGATAATACGCAAGGCATTGCACATTCTTATTGCCACTAATTATATTAACGGTCCGATTGAGCGATGACACCAAATAAAGCGACTAATAAATTTCACTGTTCAAATTTAATAGCATAATTCGGCTTTTGTAACTACTATGAGGTAATATAACGTTTTGTGCAGTGGACTAAAGACCATCTTGATAAACTTTTTTAATTTTTTATCAACGATGTGTGGAAATGACCCTTGCTCTGCATAGTACAAGAGCTCAGTTTGGGACTAGAGAACGTTGTGTAAAAATGTGTTCTCAAAATATGTATTTATTATTAACCTTTTTGAAGTTTTACTTTTTTAGGCCTTATAAAAAAAATATGAGAGTGAAATTTTAAGATACGCGCGCATCACTGTAACACAAAAGTCACACCTTTGAAGCTGCCCGCTAAACTGCTATATTATCAGTTATATCAGCACATTCTCAATCACATTCGCCTGGTACAGTTCTCATTAAAGGTTGTAGATGGCGCTTTCATTATTTTACTATTTTCATTATATATACACTTTTCCAGTCTTTTTATTTTTTAAATACCGTTATGTTGATACACTCACAGCATTTCCCATTATGAAATTTGGTTTCATATTATGACATAGAGACCGGCATAGCCCTTAAACAGCCCCGATTCCCTTTGGTTTAGAAATGAAACCGGCTCACTGTTCTTGATCAGGTAGCTGCACGCGAACGCCATGGCGGCCACGCTGACGAAGTGCAGCGCGAGGACCAGCCCGATGAGGAGCGGGCTGGAGGCGGGCACCAGGGGGTTGGCGGTGGTGGTGAGCAGGGCGGCGTTCACCACCGTGTACATCAGCCGCGGTGGGCGCCACGTTCAGGAAGTGGCTCAACGAGAGCAGGTTCGTGGAGACGCCCATCATTTTGATCAGCTCCTGGGGTATAAAGGCAACGGCGTGGAGTGTCAAGTGGCGGTGCTCGCATCGCGGCCGGTGGTGGGTTCGCGTTCTGCGGTAGCGGTTTCTGAGCTAGGTGGAACGTTTTATTTATGTGAATTGGTGGCAAACGAGCCGGCGGTACACCTGACGTTAAGTGATGACCGCACTCATTAGACCATACGGTACTTACTTCCACTTCACGCCAGTCTACTGTGGTGCCACAGGAGGTCGTGGCACTTACCCGGACGGACTTGCCCATTCGTGCCTGGCCAGGTGATCCGCAAGCTCGCTTGCCACCTTCTCACATTAAAAAAAACGTGGAGTCCCTCCACGCAGAAGAAGCGAAGCTTCGTAATGTGGAAATGAAAATAGGAAGGGGTAGAAATTGATTTTTAGTGAAGTCATATTGTTTCTTTAAGACAAACCTTAGTAATAATAATAATAAATTAATAAAATAAATAAATAAATTATTATTTTCACTCTCGCTCTGTCTCTTTCTAATCCCCTCCCCAGGAGCGTTGAACGTCTAACGCAACAGTGCTTTCACACCCCCTCCATGGTAGCGTTAAACGCTTAACGCAACCTTGTTGGAGGTCGCATTAGAAGTGGACGCTTCAAGGAACACAACTAAATAACATCACCACGTACCTCTATGCCGGTGATGCGAGTAGATAGAGAGGATGATGATTTTCCCACGAGATAAATTTCAAAATTACAAAAAATTGATACACTCTCATGATGGTCAACCATCTTAACCATAAGACAGAAAAAGAGATGAAATAAGCGCTTATGACATGCTCAGCGGTGAAGGAAAACATCGTGAGGAAACCTGCATATAATAACAAAAAACAATATTTCCAAGACATGCCAATCCTCAGTGGAGTCGCGCGGTAGACTATCATACCTGATACCCTTTTTACAGAGGAGGTCTTTGCCCAGCAGTGGGACATTTATAGGCTGTTACTTTACATGAAATATATCAGTTGGATGGTTAACCAGAGGTTTTTTTAATCAGTTGGTTAAGTAAAAATGTGTAAATATAATAAGTATTGTACTATGAAGGTGTAGATGTTAACTGAAATTCTGTACAATGTATATGAGGAATTAAAAGACTCACCTGGTTGATATTGACACCCGTTGTCATCTGAAGGTAACTGGAGTCGATGGCCCATTGAAGACGCATAAAAGGCTCGTAGATAATGGCTGAAATGAGAGAACTAAAAATGAGAACACAAACAGTTCAAACATTAGCGCGTGCGAGTTATTTTCCTGCGATTTGTGCGAGTTTTTTGTGGGCTCGTAAGTAGTGAAGAGACAAAACGACACGTCTACCTTTACCAGACAAGTGAGACTAGTATAATAAGACCAGTTAAATTGTAAGAAGAGCTATTGTGTATCAGTTATGCCCCTGATATCCGATTTTATACTTCGATTTTATGCATCGACCTAAATATTAGTATCGCCAATCTGGTCAACATTCCATACAAACCGAAATACCAAATATTACTGGGATAAGAACGGGATATTGTTTTTTTTTGAAAAATTTGGCTAGAGAGTTACACTTGATCATAAGTGATAACCGCCCACTGTGGGCATCTACAAAACCCGAGGTACTTTGTAGGTCTCTTACGCCTGGTTTCTAAAACACCGATCATCGTAGATGTCAACTAATCACATGTCAAATGGCTTTTCAAATGTTATTTGAGTTGCCAAAAGGATGATTAAACTCTCTGAATTGATCAGAATGATCTTCTAAATGATAATAATGATCAATTCAAAAAACATTTAACAATCGATGATTGACATCTATGATGATCGGTGTTTCAGACACCGGGCGTTAGTCTGAGTCCCGGTTATCTCACGATATAAATTGCACTTTTACTTTCAAATTGTTAAACACTCACCAAAGTTCGCGTGAGGACCGGCTTCATCGTCCAGAGAGTTGTAGATGTGCGTCATGAAATCGTTCTTCATCCGTATGGTATACTCCAAGCGCTGGGGCAAGTCTTTCGCGATCAGAATAATACATACGCTATGATTTATATACATATTTTTGTATGTATATCTGTCTGAATATTACGCCTTCAGCCTATTCTACGCAGACCTACGTCTCGAGCAGCAGCTAGTATAAAATATAGATTATTTGTATCACGAATCGCGATGTTATTGATTCCATACTCGCCTCCGAAAGCTAACACCCGGTTTATGAAACACTGATCATCTTAAGAAATTAACTAATCAGCTGTCAAATGGCTTGCCAGATGCCATTTCATTTACCAAAAGTATGGCTAAACTCTTTAAATTGACCATTCTGATCAGCTGATCAGTTAATTTCTACGCTGATCAGTGTTTGATAAACCGGGCGTAAGTGTGTCTTCCAATGTGTCATACGTAAATTATTATTCCATTACAGAGCGACAGTTTAAAATTGAATTAAGCGCTAAACAAATCGTAAAAATTGTCACTTTCAATATTTCGCTCTTAATTAAGAAAAGACAGGCAGTATATTTTATGGATTACCATTGAGACGCGTTAATAATTAAGTTGTTTCATTTTTGTAACAGTTGAATTTTTTTGTGCCTTCAATATACTATATTGATTAAGCTATCGTAACCTATTGCATGCCAAAATAAAGATAGTTAACAAAATTAATTGCTAAATAGACAGAATTTCTAATCAGGTTGTCCTCGTGTTAGAAGGGCGTAAACACACAGTAAGAAAGAATATGATGATGACTCGTAAAAACGTCCGTTATAAGTCCCCTGTACATTTGTAATTATTTATATAGCGACGCCTGCACTAGTTTGTTCCTGCGTCGCTGGAGGTTTCGCAGACATTAAAGTTACGGATACAATGCAATTAAATCTACATGAAAATTCTTCTTCTTTCTTCAAAAACATTTCGATCACAGATCTGTTGAAGGGAGAACCTCCATATATTCGGATCAAACTCTTTTAAAGTTCCAAGTCGAAATGCATTTTGATGACTTGATTTTGCCTTTGTTCGAAGCATAAAATTGCGTCATTGTACTACACAATGATATTATATACAAATATGTGACAATAGCGCACCAAAATTGAGGTACTTAAATTACACCAATTGATGTTAGATTGCAATTCTATATACTGCTATTTCTTTCCATATCATCTGTCACATTAACTTATATATGTAATAAAATGCAAAGCAGAACAATTTTTAAACGGCCGCGTAGTATGGGTCATCTATATGTATTATTAAACATCATTGGTTCTACACATCGTTTTGTTCATGTATCAAAGTGTTTCAAGGCAAAAGTGAACAAATTTTCGTAACTAACGCCTTCTCCAGATACTACTGTGTCTAGATAGTTCACGATAAAGACATAACGATGCTGCATGAAGGACGTTTGTAACAACGAGCCTCGTTAATTAACATAATTCCGTGTAACGACAGATAAGGGAGGCCGGTGCCAACTTACAACGATATTATTAAACACCGTTACGATTGATGTTTCTGAGTAGTGTTGCGATCTCTGCACTGGAATGTGTTTATCGGAACTCGTATTGTACGGTTACAATGGTACATGAGCGTGGCGATTCCCATAAAGACGCGGTCGTGGTTCAGTTTAAAAACGACTACCCAGAAACCGCTGTTTGAATATTATCTGTTATTGTTAGATTATCATTACGGTATCAAAGAAAATTCATTCATATTCCGTTTGCTTAGAGATTCTTTTTAATAAAGTGGCTCCGGTGGCCTCGCTTATCAGACGAAACGCAGAAATGTTTTACTTCCACTTTAGGTCGTTCTTCTGTGAGTTGTGTTCTCCTCCGGACGGAACCGAATGTATCGTGTAAGAGCGAAGACTGTCGCGTGTGATTGTGATGAAATTTCAACTGGTATTGCGGTGTCCCAGCCCCCTGAAGAGAACAGTAGGTGTTCCAAGAGCGGCGGAATCTGCGCTTTGTAGAGTTGCAGGCGATTGGTCGGTAGAAAATACTGACCCACTGAAAATAATATACTTAACACATCCAGCTTTTTAGAACCCAACTTGGCTCTCCCTTCGATATTTCTTTGGGATTGAACGTTACATTGACTTAGTAACGCCCGGTTTCTGAAACACTGATCATCCGTAGATGTCAACTAATCAGCTGTCAAATGGATTTCTGAATTACAATTTGGTACCAATAGGATGGTTAAACAAATTGACGGTTAAAAATATTTTAAAATTAGCTCAAAAATCTTAAGCAACAATGTAAAAATAAAATTGATGAAGATACTAATTATATCCTGAATTTAATATAGTGAGATAGATTTTAATTTCACTTTCATGTATTTACATAATGTATTCAAAAACAAAATATCGGTCTCCTAAACAATAGCCGTTATGTTATTTCTTTATTTATTAGCTTTTCGTTGTCTATCTTATATTTTCTATCCATATTTGGATCTTACACGGCTATGATATTATCAGATAGAGTGCAATCTATTAATTTTTCATCACGTTTTTTCTCTTACATGCAAACGTAAATATTTCTGTTCAATTATATTCTAAGAATCGTTGACGAACCCTCAGCACTTATTAGCGACGTGTTTGTTCATTTTCAAGGTTTATTTAAACCGGAAACAATGGAATATCGAATGTAAAATGAACTTTGACATCAAGGAAAGTAATTACTTAATTTGTAATGGCGCTCTACTACGGGGGGTAAATTCACGTCAGCAGCCGAAGTGGTAATTTGGATTCTATGCCCTTTTACTAAGAGTTCATTTATTATTGAAATGGAAGACAATCAATCGATCCGATTCAATACATTGTAATTTCAATACAAGTTGGAAGCGTATTCAATAACGTCTGAACTTGTATCAGTATTAATGTAAATAAATTTCTTTTCAATAAAGTCATAAAAATTTATCTAATTACATGCTTAGACCATTGCTTTATGCTAATTAATTCAAATTTATGGGTGTCAAAGTAATGAATTGAACATAATTATGGGAAACAATTCAACGAAGAGCCAAGTGTGTAGAGTAGACATTATTTAAAACTTGATTACATCGATGCATTGTTTCAGACAAAGATGATTCATTCAATAATTTCATTGTTGCTAAGTATAAAGAAGTACTATAAAACACGCATTACGTTTATATTAACGAACTATGTTTATTTCAGAAAACAACATTTGATATTTACGATAAGTAAAAGATTACACCAAAGAAAAATTATCTTACCAAGGATATTTTTGCCTTGGTGAAGTTAAATTAAAAATATTTATTGACTCACTCATAATATATTGCAAAGAAATGGCCAGGTCAGAGCCGGTTTTAAAAATAAACCGGATTTTCTGTTGCACAGGAAATGATTCACTTCTATTAACAGCACTAATAACTATATTGTAGGCCATAGACGCTGGTCCTTCGAGCCGGATAAGTAAATAAGAAAACGTAAAATAAAGTAGTATTTACCTCGAAAACGACAACCGCTTGTCTCTCGTCCATTCCGCTGATCTGTTCCCTCAACTCGGACACGTCAGCAATAGGGTAGAAGCCGCGGCCCCTCAATCCGGCTGCGGGCAACCGAAAATATCACGATAGCGCGATTGGTTTGACGCAGAAAATTTCAGTACAGTAAACAAACATACACGCACCACTAGCATTAACCTTCTCCGTCGTGATTAGGTATCTCAATTCAAATTTAGTTCAGATCTAATAAAAGGAGGCATTACTTTATTGCTATTATAGTCAATTCTGGTGGCTTCCCGAACTGCTCATAAATCTAACCTCAGAATGTTCAATCACAATGAATATAAATTATGTTGTTTTTTTATGTGATAAAATGGCAAACGAGCTAGTAGTTCACCTGATGTTAAGTGATAACCGCCGCCCATGGACATTTGCAACACCCGTAGGGCTGCACATGCGTTGCCACCTTTAAATAAATTGGGCCCCGGCTACCTCACTTAGCAGACGAAACGCAGAAGTGTAACACTTCCACTTCACGCGGGTCTTCTGTGAGGTCGTGGTACTTACCTGGACGGACCTGCCCATTCGTGCAACAAACACTATTGCGTTACACCTACCACAGTTAGCTAAATATCAGCCATGCAGTAAACCTGAGTGAGTGACAACGGGGTAGGTAAGCGAGAAAACTTTAAAGGAGGGTCATTGTGAGGGCCCTTCATTTTAAACCTATAAAGTAAGGCTTCCTATCTACAGAGGGTATTAGGACTTAGTCCACCACGCGATCCCGCAGCGGATTAGCTTTGGTTTTTTTTTGCTGACAACATTAATGCAAGAAGAGCAAAATAAAATCACATTCAGCGCTTAAAATTACAATTAACAATTTCATTGGTTCTGGCACTGGTTCAAATACCTGATTCAAATCATTCAATCACACTGAGCTAAAACCCTATATAACAAAAAGATCTATAAGAGTCGAATTTTATTAACTCTATAACTGAGACTACCTGCCTATATCTAATAAGCTAAATATATTTAATTAATTTCGACCACTGCTAGTTTTCATGAAATCATTTATATTTTTTTATCCAAAATTACCGCAAAGTAATGCTGACAAAAATGATTAAAAACTATCAAAGAACCGATATATCTACTCTTTTTTATTGTTTAATATAGTATGTAGTCAAGATAATATGAATTTAGATACCTATTAACAGATTTCTCGATCTGGGTATTTTAAAGTACCACGACCTCACAGAAGACCGGCGTAAAGTGAAAGTGTCATACTTAGCGTTTCGTTTGGGGAGTGAGGTAGTCGCATCTGCAACTCAAGGTGTTGCAAATGTCCATGGGCGGCGGTTATCACTTAACATCTGGTGACCCGCCAGCTCGTTTGCCTCTTTCTCACATAAAAAAAGCTAACATAAACAGCTAACATACACAGATATACGAATGTCCCTCACCCGGGAAATATTTGAGGCGCTTGAGTCCCAGTTTCTCGCCGACCCGTTCCATCAGCTGTCTGGTGACGTTGTTGTCGGGCGTGTAGAACACCAGCTCTGGTCCGTGGACCGACTCCAGGGCGATGGGCTCCTGTAACAACCACCACGGCGGTGCCATGACATGGGAGACTGCAAATAAACCCAACACGCCTTTCAATCCAGTGTTGTCGACTACTAAAAAAATGGGATGAAATAACCTCAAATGGTTATTTGAGATTATTTCATCCCATTTTTGAGGTCTCTAAATGCAATTATCAAAAGCCCCAAAAAGCCCTGTATTGTATTCAATAATATTGTTCAAATGAGTATTACGTTTTGCTAAGATAAATAAAGTATACTATATACATAATATAATATATAAGTATTGTTCTTTTCATTACAAATAGTTGAAATAATTAACACAATATTAACTAACATTTCATTAATAGACTATTTGCTTTTGTTTTTCCTCACTTTGGTTAGTCAAAATAGTAATGCCTAAAAATTTTAATTAATTTGACAACAAAATGTTGGTTTTATGAGTGATGCTGATGATTTTTGCAGGCAAAAGTTAATTCTCTGTTTTGACAAACCAGCACCGAGGATAAGCATTTGATAAAGACAAACATAAAGTGCACTTAGGCATGGATATCCGACTTGTGCACTACACAGAATTTTCACCCGCGTAGGGTCGAAATCCACAATACGCCGGGCTGTAGCTGATGGCGAGGTAATCAGTAAAATCATTGAGCCATACTGAAACTTAACATCACACGTCTGACATCCCCTCCCAGCCACAGAGCATCAGGGCTCGATAAGAAAAGGTGAGGTTGCAAATGGGTTGCCACCTTTTTAAAGAGTGCTACGGTTACCTCACTCACCATACGCAACGCAGAAGACAGTAAAAATACGAGCCTACTCTTTCCAGCAACAGGATATAATATCCTTATATGTAAATTACCTCTCAACATAAATATTTATTTGAAAACAATGATGAAACCAATAATATAAATATGAAGCTTTCAGTGGCCTTTCTTGATTTTATTCAGCTGTTTTGAGCAATACTCAATGCTATTTTATCTTTTTTGTCAATGAAGGTTTCAAATATTTCAACAAGAGTATTTTTTTATATTCATCATCATCATTATTTCAGCCTGTTTGAGTCCGCTGCTGAACATGTGCCTCCGCCATAGACTGCCATAAAGTACGATCCTGAGCCACCTGCATCCATCGACTTCCCGCACATTTGCACAGGTCGTCACTCCATCTAGTGGGGGGTCGTCTTACACTGCGATGGCCAGTATGAGGCTGCCACTCGAGAACCTTTCTTCCCCAATTCCCTTACAGTCATTTTTTTTTTAAATGAATTGCTTTATCACTGTTCAAAAAACATATTGAAGGTAATTTGTTAATCAAAGGCAATATAAAATTAGGATAATTGCATATATTACATTTATACATATATTCATAAAATAACTTAAAAAATTAAAAAACACAACTATGTTTCTGTGCATTTTTTTATTTTGATATACCCAGTGTCACTTTCACAGTGAATACAAGTCTAACGACACCTTTCAAATTAAAATCCATCAACTGTTTAGGCTGTGCCAAACAATTATTCATACATACATACAAACATATGCCTATACATACATACATACAAACATAAATACTCTCGAAAAACAATAACCCTCCTTCTGGCGCATTTGGGTAAAAAAAGATAAAACATTGCTATTCATTTCGAAAGCATTAGCAGCAAACGCACAAAAACCAATTTGTGTATGGCCTTAGAAACAAACATTTGTACTGCCTACTAAAAAGTTTCAAAATATAGATAAATGTATAATGATGGGGATAATGGAATTTAAGGGGAAAATTTGAGCAATTGCTGGTAATTTGTGGGTTTATTGAACACAAAAACTTGAATTTTATCATAAGAACAAAGAATTTCATATTCTGTAATGGCCAATGGACTCAATGAATAGTTTGGATATAAAAAATTATAATATTGCTTTTATTTTTTTATTCTAATAGACACTTGCGGGTTCTTAAGGAACATCAAATTTTACATAATAATTGGTACATAAGTAAGTTACCACCGGTTTGGGAAACTGTTTCTATTGAGACAAAACTGGCAAGAATCTCAACAGATGCTCTTTTTTTTAAAAGATGAGATTAATTATCTATAGGCATAATATTCTTGCTCCACACATTGGCGTCATCAAGATATTCAGCAATGATATATTATGCTTTAGCCATAATTTTAATTTTAAGAGTTTAAATTGGTCAAGTGGCAGACTTAAAATCAAATGTGGCGTTTTATTATACATTTTACTATACAAGTGGGCGCACTTTGCCCCATGAACTATATACAACCTATTTACTTTTTGTGGATGGTTTTGTATTAGAGAATGATATTAAATGATTTTGTTACAAAATATTAACCACAAGAATTAAAATGTTTTTAACATATTCATAACAAGTATTTAAATAGTGCTAATAATATATAATAGAATTGACAATAAGTACTAGGAATATATTTTGATTCCAATCTAAGAAGTTCTTTTTAAGTTTAATTACATCATATTGATACATGTTCCTTAAAGTGTTCAACCCCTTTTTAAATGTATGCTGTTTTCATACACTAGTTTTTCATTAGATTTTCCCTATTATATAAGCAACAAAATATTTAAAAAATACCTAAATGTGAAAGAACCTAGATTTTACTTCAGTAAATTTTGTATGCAGGATGTCTAGCCAATTTGGCATTTATCCATTTTTATGCAACCCCATTTCAACCCATTCCAGACCATTCCAACCTCAGTTATACAAACATTAAATCTATTTTACCATATATACTTAATAAATATATTTGTAGCTTAATTATACAACAGAACATTTATGCTAGATGGTCTAGAGACATTCATGTTATATTAATAGAAATAATTGGAACTTATCTACCATTTATAATTTAATATGCATAGTAAAAACTATGCAATTAATAAAGAAAGATTTAAGTAATGTTTTTAATGTTAATATATACTACTGTTTTATGAATCATTGCACTACAATCATTTATGCATTGTAAATATTAAGTGTGCCAGCAAGGCTGTACAGTAAATTAGGTCAATAAATTAAAACGTTTACATTAGAACTTACGGTTTTATATATGTTAGACACGTCCATGGCATGTTTTGGGCTTGGTTCATTTATGTAGTCCTTGAAACTGAACAGAATTATGAAAAATACAGTGGGCGAAATAAGCTCCACAGCCGTATGAATGAACCTCCGCACCCGCACCACTAGGTGCTTGAACATCAGAACTTTGAGAGTTCCTTTCATTTTCACAACTTGTACTGATCGATAACACTTTATGCTTTTAAAAACCGTTAAAGAAGCTTAACGGTTGCACATTATAAAGTCGATCAGGTATTTACATTTTGAGGCACATATGTTTAATAACATGAATCATTGTTCAAAATCAGAAAAATATCAGAGATTGATTAAAATCTCTTTGTAGGTAAAATTTGATGAGAATTTTATTACAACACCATAGAAAGGCTATCTTATATAAAGGTTACTTTTAATAGCCTAACATTTTTTAGTTATTACAAAAGTATGGGAAAAGCAATATAGGAATCAACGATCCGTAAAAAGCGACAGCTAATGAAATGTAGATTGTACACTGTGAAAAAGAATAACATTTAGAAATTCTGACAGCCAGTTCAGTGACAGTTGACATTGACTAAATAGACTTTTAACTTTTTCAATTTATTTTAAGAACTTGGATACGGTCTCACAGTCGAAATGTTAAACAAATAAAATTAATTTAATAATGATTACAAAAGTTGAATTATATTTTTCCTACAACATGAAAAAGAGAAAAGAAAATATTTCATCAGCAAATAATCTTGATTCGAGTCCAGAATATTTCACATATTTTTTATACCATAGATATGTTTTTTTATAAAAGTCTCAATTGGGAGTTCTCGTCTTTAGTTCACGTCCTAAACTACATTTGTTTATAGGATAATTTAAATAGCCTTTTCGCAGCACTGGGACACATGTATAGCCGACTTCACATATCTTCGCAATATTTTGTTAAAATTATTGTTGAAGTTATGCTTCTTTTGGAGCGTTATGGAAAAATGATGAGAGTAAATTTTTACGATGCGCGCACACACCGTCACGAAAAACCGACACTCTGAAGTTAGCTAGACATGTACGTGAGAACTGACAACTGTATTTACGATATTTATTATGTGATATTTAAATAAACTTTATTTAACTAGATAATGCGTTATAATAAAACTTTAAATGTATCACATACCTTTTTTCTATTGTTATTGTGGTTTTTTTCTACAAACGTAGAATAAGGCGAAAGATAAAACTTTTGAAAATATTTTTATCTTGTTACGCCAATGAAGTATAACTTCTAACGCGTGTAAATAAGTACACACACACGTTTTTTCAAAATATACAGTTTCTTCACGATGATTTCCTTTCACCGCTGTCTATCTCAGCAATGTGATTGCAGTGACAATGTGACAAATGTGATTCAACTGAAATTAATATAATTATTTTTAATTTGATACTAAACTATAAGGGTAAATAACATAATCATAGTATAATTAAATTACAAAAGTAAATAAATGAAGATTTTTCAAAAACTGGGTTGGCTTTCATTTGTTTACAAGGACCACTACACTATTAAACCTTAGGTCCTTGAGTTTACACAATAAAATACATCTTTAAATATGCATTCCTTTTCTAAGTACGTGCCAATTTACTGTCCTTTCGTTTTCAAGCGACATGTTAATGTAATGTCTTGAGTTTGGCGTATGATGTTTACTTTCATCGGCAACGTAAATATGTTTACCTTCGTCGGCAACTTCAAAAGGAACAACTCATTCTGCATACTGGCTTTTCCTCTCCGGTTCAAAGTAGTCACCCAGGTTTCGTTACATGTCACAATATTATTCATCATCATCATCATCATTTCAGCCTGTTTGAGTCCACTGCTGAACATAGGCTTCCCCCACAGACTGCCATGAAGCACGATCCTGAGCCACCTGCATCCATCGACTTCCCGCACATTTGCACAGGTCGTCACTCCATCTAGTGGGGGGTCGTCCTACACTGCGATGGCCAGTACGAGGCTGCCACTCGAGAACCTTTCTTCCCCAACGGTTATCGGTTCTGCGAGCTATATGGCCGGCCCATCGCCAGTTCAGTTTGCTAATCCTCTGAGCTATGTCGGTTATCTTAGTTCTACTGCGGATGTCTTCGTTACGAACTCTATCACGCAGAGAAATACCGAGCATAGCCCGCTCCATAGCTCGCTGAGCGACTTTGAGCTTCCTCATACGGCCAGCAGTGAAAGACCATGTCTCGGTTCCGTAGGTCATCACTGGCAACACACATTGATTGAAGACTTTAGTCTTCAAACATTGAGGTATATTCGACGAGAAGATTTGCCGAAGTTTTCCGAACGCTGCCCATCCGAGTTGGATTCGCCGATTGACCTCTGCGTCGAAGTTGGACTTACCTAGCCGGACTAACTGTCCTAGGTAAACGTACTCGTCAACAACTTCGAGCTCAGTGCTCCCAACAACAACCGGTATAGACGTGACATGGACATTAGACATGATCTTCGTCTTGTCCATGTTCATCTTAAGGCCCACCCGTTGGGAGACACTGTTGAGGTCATTGAGCATAGCACCCAGGTCCTCCAGCGATTCTGCTATGATGACTATATCGTCGGCAAATCGAAGGTTGGTGATGTATTCGCCATTGATGTTAATACCTTGTCCTTTCCAGTCCAGAAGCTTGAAAACATCTTCCAACGCAGCGGTGAAGAGTTTCGGGGATATGACATCACCCTGTCTTACACCCTTCTGCAGTTGGATAGGTTTTGTACTACTGGACTGTACTTGGACGAACATCGTAGCCTTGCTATACAAACACCTCAGCACCTCGATATACCGACAGTCAATTTGGCACCGCTGAAGAGCCTGGAGTACCGCCCACATTTCGACAGAATCGAAGGCTTTCTCATAGTCCACATACGCTAGGCATAAGGGCAGATTATACTCTTCGGTCTTCTGTATAATCTGCCGCAAGGTGTGTATGTGGTCTATGGTACTGAAGCCTTTTCGGAATCCGGCTTGTTCGGAGGCTGGAAGTCGTCGAGTCTGGAAGCGAGACGATTCAAGATGACTCTTGAGAACAGCACATAGACGCGGCTCAGAAGGGATATCGGTCTATAGTTCTTCAAGAGAGCGTTATGGCCTTTCTTGAAGAACAGCACCACCACACACATTATTGATTTAATATTATTGCTCTAGCGGCCCTACTCCTCTACGATGTACTTCGAAACTCTCAGCATGTTAGATATTGTTTTACTGAAGGAGGTCTTGCTCGACAGAGTCAATGGAAACCATCCCAGTACAGTGCAAACGGAACCAGCATGCCGATGAGATCCTTCCGATCAAAACTGTAGTCGTCTGGAATCGTCTTGAGGTTAAACGTTCAAGGCCCAAAGTTCCTAGAGGACTCACCCGAGGAGATAGTTACCCACTAAGACGCAACGCAAGTCGAGCTATAGAATCGGAACGAACGGTGAAAGTGTCTGACGACTGGCGATTACACTTTCTGATTGGGGGAATTGAAACACGGCTTATAAAATTTTAATAATGTAGTAACATTTTTTATATTTCTTATTTTATTCCATAAAACAAATATTAATCAATTATAGTTGAATAAAAGAATAAAAGTTGAAAACGTTTTCAACTTTTATTCCATTGACTGTTTGTCATTCACTTCGCTTGGCTACTTGGCTCGCGTTTGGTTCACAATAGACGACATTTGCGCTACCAATTATTGATACTACTCAAATCTACACGAAACAAGTATCGAGTACTTATTAATTCGCTTTTAGCTTTACTTATGTCGAATTACCGAATCATTTGTTCAACCGAATAATTTTGTCGAAAGTTCAGCAGAATATTCGTATTCCGTTGAGTCCTTATTTGGTGCACCTCTAATATTTTGTTTTTACATAATTGTTTAAAAAAACATTTTAGGGATCGCGTTTTTAAACACTTTACAAAATCCATGGTGTGTCGCGGGACTAAAATCAAAATAAAATGTGACAGCCCCTTAAATTCATGATGCTTAGACATATTATACTTAACATGGTGAAAAGTTGTGCGAAGTTGAGCGTTTGATAAATACGTTTTGTTGCCTTATCGTGTATATCGTGCAACAAACCATGGTTTGATTATCTATAATAGAAAGACAGGCATTCCGTATTAAGCGAGGCTAATTGCAATCATGAGACGAGATTATAGCATTAGAGTTGGATCGGTGAAGTTCGTGGCCAATTTCCGACACAATGAACGTGAGGCTAGTCACGGTTCTAATTAACTTGTATGCACTAGAATCAATCCAGACTTGGGATACCTTTGTTATACGTGAAGTGATGAGACCAAGGGCGAGGAGAGCGTGGCAACGGCCACGGAACTGGAAGACCTGGCAGCTGCCCCCCGACAACGACGACTGGTGGGGCTTTGTGAATCTATTGGGGACCAGGGAAGTCGCGAAGAAGAAACAGCCCGCTGGTCCTGACGGTATCGAGGATGACGTGGAAAACGAGCCCGGATTCCCTTGGAAAGGTATGATGTAGTGTGTCGATTCCGTTGACTGTTTGAATTGTCACTTTTTTGATTATGTAATCTTGTCTAGTCAGGCGAAGACTAATTGTACAAAAAGTAAGGGCAATGTTTTTCAAAAAAAAATTTTCAAAAGCGAAAAATAAAAAACAGTAAAAAAACAGAACAGAAATAAGATTTTTTTTGTGAAAAGTTGTCAAGTGAGCAGGTTGTTCACCTGATGTTAATTGAAAACCGCCGCAACTGGACATCTGCTATACCCGACGGGTACAGATGCGTTGACAACCTTTTGAAGATTGGGCTTCGGCCTACCTCACTCACCAGACGAAACGCGAAAGTATTTGACATACTTCCACTTTACGCCGGTCTTCTGAGAGGTCGTGGTACTAACCCGTACGAGCCTGTCTATTCGTGCAACAGCTGAGGCTGCTGCGTGGCCCAACCACAGTTGCATAAGAATTATTAAAGACGTTAATTTCTCAAGTTGATCCCTCGCTTTAAACTGTTTTATTATATATATAATTAATTATTTATATACTTCGTCTAGTCTCTAATAAAATCTTTGCAACAAGCTAGGCACGCTTCTATATAAGGAACAAAGTACTTGCAAGAATGTATTTATTTGAAAAGTTCCTGTTGGAAATGAGCTAATAACATTTATGACAAAATCGTGTCGGGTTATAATTTGTTAGCAACATACAATGTGTTATGATTACTGTTGATATAACTTTTGAAGTTCAGTCATCAACAGTACGGCTCATTCACGAGCCAAAATCACGCTCTCAAAGCCTAAAATTCCTCTGCAGGAATTGGTATTGGAAACACTGGATCCAATCCTCCACCCGAGTCTGCCATGAAGAACTACATCGGACAATCCCCATCATGCATGTTCCCGCCAGTGAAAGGAAATGGCACCGACTGGTATATACGGTATGGAGTTTTTAATGCAGAAATTGGCCATTTTCTAACGAGTTTGGTGCAAGATTTTTTTCAAACCACATACTCATAAATCGCGTTCACGGGATCGCGCGGTAATAAAATCAGAGGTATCATAGCTGAGTTAAAAAAATATTATTTTAAAAGAAACAATTAAGCAGATGAACTAGAGTCTAGTTGTACTCGTATGTTGGAAAAGTAAAACGTAAACCAAAATGCCCATTAAAGCGAAAACACAGCTACGCCGTTGGGCAGGTGCAAAGATATTTAGCGGTATAATAGAAAACAATCACAAGTAAATGTTCCCAAGTGGTCCCATATTCAATCAATCAATTTCAGTCGTATTGGATCTTGGACTCCGGAGGTACTTAGAGAAATCCTGAAAATCAATTATAAAATATATGCATAATGAGATGTTTGAAGTCGGTTTTGTAAATGAACTGAATAATAAAAAAATGAACTTGTCTGAAAGCACGGCTGTCCAATCTGAAAGCTTAGTTCTTTGAACGTTCCAGATGGTATTACGATCCCCGCTCCGGCGTTTGTAAGAGGTTCATCTACAGCGGCTCCGGCGGCAACGTGAACAAGTTCTTGACAGAGTACCACTGCAACCAGACCTGCAACACACCGGCCCGGGTGTCTTGCGTCCCGGACAAACTGTTCGACTATCTCAAATATTTGCAAACACCCGATATGGAAGTAGCGTAAGCGCCGCAATCGGTTAAGAAGCTTTTACGTTTTCGTATCGTTTGAAAATAAAATTGTGTCGGATATGTCGTGTCTGTGTATTTTCGGAATGGATGATTCTGTATCCAAGGGGTGATCACGTTTCTTAAAATAAATTATAGATTAGTACCCACCGTGTCATTGTCCGAGAGCTCGCTTTTAAATCAAAATACTCGAGGATCTCGAGTTCAATTTTCAGTGCCGACGCCCGGCACCAATGAGATTTTGTGGGAGACGAAAGAATAGGTGTCCTATTTACTTTTTAAAAACAAAGTAGATACTACCGCAAAGCTTAGTGGGTAGAACGTCTAGAGGCTTAATCAGGATTAAGCCTCTAGACGTTCTACCCACTAAGACCTCAGGAGGTAGGTAGTGTTTTCGTTTAGGTAGTTTTGAATCACGTTGCATATTCCAAGAAGACGCTTATTCTTGGAGTTTAAACAATATAATAATGTACATAAAGACCTCCCACTAAATGGAGTGATGCCTGTGCAAGTGTGCGAGAAGTCGAAATATGGAAGTGGTTCAGGATTGTTCTCGTGGCAGTGAGGCCTATTTACAGTAGTTGATTCAGGCTGAAATGATCATGATTATGATGGAATAAAGAAATTCCTGAATCATTAACTCGAAAAAATACATAAGTACCTAAAAAGTAAGAAGACATACAGGTTCAAAATATTGACTGTACAACACTCAATTTACGTATCATACCAATAAGTATAATTAAGTACACTTATAATTTAGGTACACTCTAGGTACAATATTTCTGAAAAAAAAAAAAACGTTTACAAAGAGAGGTGGGGAGAAAAAAAAAGAGAAATAATTACAAAATTCCTTTAATTTTGGCTTTTACGAAGCTAACTATAAATAAAACTGTTCTAAAATCACAATGTATAGACACAACACAATAAACAGTGATATTCACAAGTAAAGCTTGGAAGCGTCAAAACTTTAGACGCCTAGGAACATTTGAGGGCACTTTTGCCAGATGATTGTCAACTCTCAATGAAATCTCGCATGCGTTTAACGTTTATTTAAATCGCCTGCTCCAAAAAGAGCTTATGCGGACATGAACATCATTTTCCTTTAATGATATTTTACAATGTTTAACTATTATGCGTGGACTTATTGTAGGGCTTCTAAATATGCACAGCATAATCACGCCCCTACCAAGTCTGCTTCGGTTTGATGAAGTAGCGGCTGTCGTTGACAAACTGCACGAAGGCGTCCTCAAAGTTGGCGTCGTAAGCGTAGAAGTCCTCGACGATTTCCCTGAATTCGTTCGCCATTGTGCTCAGCTTGCTGTATATCACGTTATACCTCAAATCGTCCGACAGGATGTAGCGGAGCGCGATCTGGGGCGGTAACAAAGACATCATAAACACCGAGCCACCTACGCAGGTAGGGCCACGCAGCAGTCTTCGCTGTTGCAAGAATGGGCAGGTCCGTTCAGGTAAATACCACGGACCTCACAGAAGACCGGCGTGAAGTGGAAGTTTCACACCTCTACGTTTCGTCCGGTGACTGAGGTAGCTGGGGCCCACTTTATTAAAAGGTGGCATCCGCAACGCTACGGGTTTGCAAATGTCAATGGGCGGCGGTTATCATTTAACATCAGGTGAACCACCGGCTCGTTTGCCACCTTCTCACATTAAAAAAAAACCCAGTACACACACACGGGGTCGTCCATGTGTGCCGTGCCCTGAATACCGCCTTTGGGTTTAGGAAACTGTATCATTCTAATTTTAACAAATATTTGCTAATGCCGTGTTAGCTCGGTGTCACGGGCGCTCGCCTAATTCCTAATTCAATCTACTGGAGCAACTAAAGTTCGATCTACGGTGCCGTCACCAATGAAATTGTTAATTTTAAGTGCCGCCTTATCACGTGCTCTGCGATGAAGGAAACATCGTGCTCATCTTGAGGAAACCTGCATATTTTTATGTTATATCATAGATAAATATTTCGAAGTTATGGAAGTTACTACTCCGCAGGGGGGCTACGTGTAGGACTATGCACTAACATCCTCTGTACAGAGGAGGCCTTTGCCCAGCAGTGGGACATGGTATAGGCTGTTATTTACTTTGTCCAAAATTCTCAATGCACTGGAAAGTAACTAAATTACCAATGCGATAAATACGCAAACTGTAAATACGCCACATGCGCTCAAAAATTCATTAAAAATTAGCACCAACTTTATTTAATAACCAAACTAGCACTTTTGACATTATGCAAAAAAAAAAAACGAAATATACTCATTGAAATATCATACTGGTCATATCACTGAATAAAACAAAATAGTTTATGCTAAGAATCAAAAAAAAAAAACATACAAAGTAATCTTCCTTCAGGAAAGAGCTAAACTCGTGAGCCATGAAATCCTTCAGCGCCTGAATCCGAGCAGCTCCGGCGGCTAAAACATAATACATTCTTTGTTTAGTCATAAACTAACTGGTGCTTGACTACCCAACTCCTGATGATAACTGTTTATATATTTATCTTATCGCTGGTGATAAACATTTTTTACTTTTCTTTGGTAGAAATCTTCGAAAGCAGCGTCCCCGTGATGAGTACGGTGGAGGTCTGTTGAGAATCAAGTGACACGCTTTGCAAAGCGATTTTTGCAAAATACTGAGGGCTAGGACATAGTGAAAATGTGTTCGAGGCTGGGTAGATTTTTGATGTGAAACATCTACTATAGGGTCAGACCTACTGTGGGCGTGGCGACGCGTCGCCGGCACATTATAATATGATAGTACGAAACATCTTATACGGTGATGTGACGTTCAAGTGATGTAACGAAAAAGAAAAAAAAAATGAATTTCTAATTTTAGTATCAAATTATTATAAATGTTTATTAAATAAAGAATCACCTTTTCCTTTAAAAATAAAATCTGATAACTTTATTTATGATAATGCCATATTTAGTTTCTTTCATAAAATATCCTTTTAACGGTGGTAGGGCCACGCAGCAGTCTCGGCTGTTGCACAAATGGGCAGGTCCGTCCGGGTAAGTACCACGACCTCACAGAAGATCAGCGTAAAGTGGAAGTATGACAAACACTTTCGCGTTTCGTCTGGTGAGTGAGGTAGCCGGAGCCCAATTTTCAAAAGGTTGTCAACGCATCTGTTACCCTCGGGTGTAGCAGATGTCCATGGGCGGCGGTATTCACTTACCATCAGGTGAACCGTCTGCTCGTTTGGCAAATTTTCACATTAAAAAAAAAATGCATATTATCATTACAACATAATTTCGACGTTTCACATCTGCCAGACGTTTTTTGACCAGAGAGTTCTTATGATGCACCTCAAGAATGGTTACTCACAACTGAGGACAGAATTGGCACGCAGTTTGATGACAACGGTATGTCCCGGCGCGTATGACTTCTTGAAACCGTTGGGCGAGCCGAGTGCACCCATTTCGCCATCGTCCAGAATCGTCAGTTGGTTGCACATGTTGTCGACTTCCTCCATGCTACAAGTATGACGTTTCTCTTAATTAACGATACTTTGTTACATAAATAATTGCTTTATGATATAATCTATGTGATTTTTTAAGGGGTTAACAACATATTTTGCTACTTTGATTAGTTAATTGAACATTTGATGTGCAAACTTTTAATAGGCATTTTGTTTTACATTTATTTATTGTATTATTATTGGTACTTAGTTCCCCTGAAAATATTGAGTATATAAATTAAATGTAACCCACTCAAAGAAAAACATTTTGACGTTTGATAACTTTAGTTGATCGAACGATTTCAAACATCAAATCTTTTAATGTTTAGGACTCAATAGCTAAACAAACAGGTACATATTTTACAAGGTGAAACTTTCAAATGAAAGTATTTTAATTTACGTGATGCTGTAACAATTATAACTCATAAGAATAATAATTTATTGTGACATGTCAAATATACAAAATCTCAAAAGCGCACACCCATCTGTTTCCGCATTGTCTCGATTAGTTCTAAAGCTTTTAAAGAAGGTTGGCGTTGAAGAGGCAGACTGAACTAAGGAAAGTGTATATGTCAGCCAAATTTTCAAAAGGTTGTCAACGCATCTGGAACCCTCGGGTGTAGCAGATGTCCTTGGGCGGCGGTGTTCACTTAACATCAGGTGAACCGTCTGCTCGCTTGGCATCTTTTCACATGAAAAAAAATGTCATTTAAGGCTTACTGGTGCGACGCTATCACTACCGAGCGCCCGATGGAGAGCGCGTCCTCCAGGGCGGCCCACAGCTGGTGGCGGGCGGCCGGGTCCACGTTCAGCGTGGGCTCGTCGAGCAGCGACACCCGGGGGCCCCCGCACAGCGCTGCCCCCACGCTCAGCCGCCGCCACATGCCGGCGCTGTACTCGCCGACGTTGAGCAGCGAGTACCGTTCCAGACCTGGGCAGCGTCGCATCTTACACAAGCCGCTAAACGTTTAACATACGACTGAATTGATGACTTTGTCGGATCTCGGTGTTTGTCCACGTGTAAAGGTCCACGTGTAAATCTTTGTAAGACAGCAAATCCCAAAATTACCACGAATTCGACCCCATGAATAGCCTTAGATAGATTAGGGTCTGAATAATGGGTCTGGGTGATGATTTAGACTATCCAAAAATAATTTACTAGAACACTACTACATTGATTGTTGATCAACATCACGCGAGCACCACGCCATGTGAATAGAGAATAATGCTGAAAAACTCTGAGTGATATGTTAATTTCGCACCGAATATTTTGATCCAAGCTCCAGTTTCATTTCTGACGTCTTCCTCGTCGAGTCCGCGCATGAACAGTAGCAGGCGCAAGTTTGCACTCCCCGACCGGAATGTGTCCAGGGCCAGAGATTGTGGACTGTAGCCCAAACTCCACAGATACTAGAAGCGTAGGTTCACAATTATTCCCATAATTCAAAGTATTGGCGGCTGAACTGGCCGATTCTTCAGCCATGTTGTCGATAGTGCTGTGTACAGTGACATAATTATTTTAATATGGTCATATTTATAAATCGTATTAAAGTTAATTGAAAAGTTCGTGTCGGATTCCCAATTCCGGATCACCGAAAATTTTGTTTCTTTCTGTACTTAGATAATCAATTGTGTGATTTAGTTTGATGGTTAACCAAATGTATTTAATTATGACAAAAAACACGATAGTGACAAAAGGCAACAAACAACAAAATCGATCACAACAACAACAAGGTCATCTTTTTTTATGGAAAAAGGAGGCAAACGAAAAGTCCACCCGTCCCAAACTTTAATCGGCGGCGTCAGAAAATGGATGGAATCAAGAAAGACATACCTGGGCGGTGTTTTCGTGCGCGTAGTATCCATTGGCGTACAGCATGCCTTTGGTGATGAGCTCCTGGTGAGTCATCACTTTAAAGGTCGTAGTTTTTCCAGCACCGTTCAGACCGACAATGCCGAAGCACTCACCTAAAAGTAAAGTAAAGTAAAGTCAACCGCTGCTCATGGACACTTGCTACACCCGTAGGGTTCTGGGTTGCAGATGCGTTGCCGATGAAATAAAATGGGCTCCGGCTCACTAACCAGACGAAACGCAGAAGTGTAACACTTCTAATTTACGCCGGTCTTCTGTTAGGTCGTGGTAATTACCCGGACGGACTTGCCCATTTGTGCAACAGTGGACACTGTTGCCTGGCCCTACGACAGTTATCATCCGATATCATATCTTTATTCAGTTGATTCATTCCCGAAAGTAAAAACATCAATTGCAGATTATTCAAAAGCTCCAGTGGCCCAAAGCAACCTGATTCCACAATTTTAAGAATTTCTCTTTTTATTTTGAGGTTAGGAGGCCTTGATAAAAAGGCAATCGTGTTTTGTTCGTACACTAAGAAAATGTTTGATGAAGTCGTACACCAAGAAATTTTTCATGTTCAAGTTTCAAGTCAAGAAAGTGTAATGGGATTATGGGATAAAGACTATAACTATATTTAGTTTGTTAGCATAAAAAGTGATTTCATCATAAGCATGTAAACGAATGATACACGAAAATTACCTTTTCTAACAGAAAAATTCAGATCTTTCAGTGCAAATACTGGTGCGTCAAAGATCTTGAAATAAACTTTCCATGTTCGGCTAACGAGCAGCGATTCTTTTATTGTTTCCTTTGCTGATAAACAAAAACAAACATTAATAATAGTTTTCATTACATATAACAAAGAAGATTCATTCATTCATTTCATTATTAACTTTGTTTTGCAATTGATACTTGATTTCTTTATCGGATGATGTTGTTGCTTTAGTAAGATGCTGCCCGCCTAACTATTGTACTGGATTGTCATAATACTAATATGCAATAATGTAATAAATGTACTCACATCTCTTAATGGTGTGTTTTATATATTCCTTTTCAGCGGCAACATCTGCACTCTCGTATTTCCTTGTTGGCATAACAATTGTGCGCCGCCTCTCAAGTTGGTTCCATAGTCTACTGAACATTCGATATTCCACCAGTAGCAGCAGACTCTGTCCAACAAATACGATCAATTCCTCACATTCTGGTTACAATTATCTTTGATTTATTAAATATTGAAATATATTTTTGTGACATATGTTTAACATCAATGATTGCTTTAACAAAATGTTGGTTAGTTAGTTTAACTTTTGATATTTGGTACGAAATTTCAAAGCATCCACCCAACAGCAGCAAACATATAAGAAAGGCTTATTATCTCTGAAATCCGACGAATACACTTCGAGGAGATGTCTTTTAAATCATGTCTTACCTTAAAACGTCTTTTAAATCATATCTTACCTTAAAACCTACCTAGGTAGGTAGGTACCTAGTGTTAAAGCAATCAAATCCGAAGAAAGGCTTTAAACAAAGCTTTGTAATAAATGCGCAGAACTATGGAAGAAGGCTAGACATTTCAGAACAAAAATTATGGTGAATTTAGATAAGGACATTTTACTCTTTCTAGATTATAAAAACTTCTTACTAATTAGTTTATTTATAATGGTTGCTCACTGTGAAAATTAAAATGTGGCCGGCAATAATGATCAAGGATTCACCCATGCCAACAGTTGGGAATGTGAAATGATTGAACCATGAACCATACTCCTTGGACCTGTCTGAATAAAATAATTCATTATAATCAATATATCAGAATTAGTGCCCACTTTTTCTAAATCTTTCTACCTTTGGATACAGGTCTTTAAACTCTCCCATGGATTCAAATTAACACGGCTAGATATTTAGCAAAATCTTTACAATATCTTCCTTTAATAACTTTTCGTAATTAACAATAAAGATTAAAGTTATATAAAATTGTACATATTTTACATATTTTCATAATGAAAGTATGTGTTTACTTATGTACGCACATAAGAAGTTATACTTCTTTATCCTAAAGACAACAGGCAGGCAGGCAACTGTAAACGGTTTATTTAAAAAAACTTGGAATTATTGGTAAATGTCAGAAATTTGTTATTGGTAGTCATCTTGGCAAGATTGAATTGGTAACCGAGCATCGTGTCATTTTTTGAGGGTAATAATTATTCAAAACGCTCCAAAAGAAATATAACTTCGAATATACAACCGAAGTGGGAGCATCGTCATATTTTGGAGTCTGTTGAAATAAAGTGTGGAAACATCAAACTCACCGCAACAGGGCCTCATATCGTAGTAGGAGTATCTGACCCTCGGGCATGAGCCCATGACGCGGGGACAGTGGGCGTTTAGCCGCGAAATATCCGACATTTGTCTGAGTACTCGTGTGAACATGTGCATTGGAACGAATACGCCGACGTTCTCCAACCACGTATGGAACATTGGTGTGTGCGGGTGAAAATTTCGATATGTATACATGTAGAACGGAGTAAATATACCTGCGCACACAGACAAAATAAAAACCAAATTGCTCTCACGGCCGACACATTTCATCGCGTCCGTATTGATTTTGTAAATTCACTGACCAAAGAGAATGAGAAGCATCAGGATTATCGCGTCAGTCGTTTTCTCGTCGAAGAACTGACTCAGCAGGTAAAAGAATGCGTAGAGATCTATGCCGCAGATAAGTAAAGCTACAAAGAATGCTCCTGAAAATCAAACAGACGGTGGCTAAATGATCTTTTGCTTCGTAACACAAGTTGTGATGCGACCGCACGATCTGTACCGCAAAAATTATATTCTTTATTTTTGGTCCTAGTGACCTTAAGCGTTATTAATGAAACATTTTAGAAACTGTTCTTTTCCGTACCTTAATTTTGTAATCTACTATGAATGTATGAAAGTGTTCTCAGAATTGCAATGGGCTAATTATAAGAATAGAATAAAAATTAAAATGATACATAATTTTTTATGAATTTATCTAGATGACAGTGTGATGACACGATATACAGTGTGTACGTAGGGGTGGTACGACGGTTTGGTGGGGTCGAGGACCTTAATACCAAACGGTTTAGCCCGGTTTAGTTTATGTATTTCGTATGGTTCTAGAACAATTTTTTTGGCATTGAGGAAAATTATCATCGTCTTTTCAGGTGTTATGCTTCATGTACATTTGATTTAAGTCCCCGTTATTAATACATACGATGGAATGAGAGAGTAAAGCAGATTACCCCTGCGGTACAGAGCTTGAGCTGTTCATAGGAAAGATTCAGGAATGACGCACGCTTATTGTATATCAATTTCAGATGCAAACTGTCCTTCAGATTAAACTCAAATCTACCAATCGTCACAGCCAAGAATAACAACAATATTAAAAATGCCAATACTAACGCATCGCGGGAAAATTGTTAAAAGTTTCGTCTTTATCCAAGAAAACGACAGCGATGACGACGCCTGTGCAGTGAAGCACCGCATAGCAGATGATTTGGTACAGAAAGGTCACCAGCCAATAGAGCACTGGCGGGCAGCCCGCCATGATGTGCAAATAACGGGTGTTCGCGAGCCGTTCCCTGCACGGAAGGCCCACGTCGTTGATCGCGGTCGCCATTACGACTGGAAATGCGTTAAAAGGTATGATCTACATTTATTGGCTACGATTTGATATTACGGGGATGATAGTTGCTTTACATTTGGCACGGGAGAATCAAAAGAATGTCTTTATAACGAAATGCAAACATACTTATTCCAATAGTAGGGCGACTGAGATTCATCTAAATTAAATAATCGTGCAATCAATGATGGTGAACGCTTCTCAGAACCAAAGCGAACACAGTCTGGAGTTGAACAAATGTTAGTGATTTCATCAGAACAATTTTTTCAACTCTTTTATTCTGGTATCACTCTCCTTCAAGTGATGCAAGTTATTACAACCAACCATAAATTGGGATTTCAAGATTACTCCTAATGCATAGTACTTGTTTAATGTCTACTGTTCGGCGTTGTATACCTGTCGAGCCGGCCCATCAATGCCACTACAGAAAAAATTTGATCGCTTGCTAAGCAACATGTAAAAATTTAAAGTAAATTAACAGCCTTTAAATATCCCACTGCTGGGCAGAGGCCTCCTCATTAGTATTAGGGCATTGTCCACCACGTAACCCCACTGCGGATTGGCGGACTTCGCATACTTTCAAAATATTTTTTTTTATCATTGTTCAGAATATATGCAGGTTTCCTCACGATGTTTCCCTTCACCTTTAAGCACATGATACAACATGTAATCTTCGGCATTCCGAATGCTTTGCAAAACGAGTAACTAAGCAATTGAGAAAACCTCACTTACTGTAAACGTTGAATATCAACATCAGCAGACAGTTCAGTTGGTCTTTGGGCTTCAGCCAGTGCATGTGAACATACGCCAACTGCATGGTGATTGCTTTATCGGCGAAACGCGGCAGATGCTCAGCCGCAACGATGTTGCTGAGCAGATTGAGCCCCACTGCCGCAGAGTGCCTCACGTTCCGGTCGTAATTCAGCCTTGCGTTGTGCTCGTCCACGTAGATGTCGATTATGTTCGGGGAGAATGGCCTCCCACTGCGTTTGCTGCATTGCTTGCAGGTGCAAAATTTGTCTGTGTAAATTTGTTGTCTGTTTCAGATTAGGTTAATCAAGGATTTTATTTTATACCAATGGCTTTTTGTTTCGGTATCGAGGCGGATATATTTGAAATATACCCTGTTTTCTGGGTGGAATACAGGTTTAGACTTCTACCCGCTAAAATACCTCCTCAGAGGTCACCCGTAATGCATTTGGACCCTGAAATGGATGTTCTCCGGGGTTTCCAATAGTAGATTCTCTTCTGATTACCGTCTGATCCTATCCAGGGAGAGGCAGCCGACTTTTACGATGCTTGAGAACCCATGACCACTCCGCATTATACACAGGCAAAGGATATCTTACGGAACTTTCATAACAAATCAAATCAAATCAAATATGTTTTATAATTCAACATAGGAGTATCACACTCGCTTACTGATAGTCAAAATACTACCACCGCACCGGTTCGGAAAAGAAAGGCTTTTTTTTTCACTTTTTTAAATAAACTGTTTGACATGAATGTATTATATGTACAATAAAAGAAATCTGATTGAAAGAGCCTGGAGCAATCAATTAATCTCGCAACTGTAGGTATGTTATGTTATACCATATTAATTCTTCTACAAATAATTTTTAGGTTGCATATTTTCGATATATTCGTTCCACCGTCGTAGATTCAAATAAAATGTAAATATTCAAAATATTTTAAAAACTACTGAAGATTTAAACAGTAGCTATAGTTAGATACTAAAGTGTGACAGCGGTTTCACTGGATTCGTTGCACAACTAATCTGGGTCTCGGTTTTGGTAACTTGGGTAAGTAACCCGTCGTCTCTCATAATCCATTTTACACCAATTCATACAACAGACGGAATCATTCAAATTTAATCGCCATCCATCACTGACACATTTGGTCGATGGGGCAAACCGATTATAAAATGAATGCCCAGTCATACAAAATTCCCTCGTTCTGCTGCGTCAACGCAGGCTGATAATAATAAAAGTCACCCACCGTGCTCCTCGTTCTCCTCTCGCAACATCAGCTGCGGGTAAAGCTCTCTCAGCTTGTTGATGACGCGCATTCTATTGGTGGAGTTCCCCCTGATGTTGTACGTCGCCAGTGGCGTGTCCGCCTCGTCGTATATACTCAGGTCCATCATCATAAAACCCTTGTGCCTCGTGTTGTTGAACACCAGAGTGACGATTATGCACATAGATATGGGTACAATGAAATGCTGGAAGGGTCCAATTGGAATTTTAAAATTGAATTCTTTTGCTAAGCATGTGTAAAAGAAAGGAGCAGGCTAAAGGAACTCACGAGAAATATAAATGCCAGAAGGTTAGAAAGGCTGTAATCCAGTTGCCTCTTAAATAACTCCCGTACTCGGTTTATTAACACCGGCCATTTATCAGGATAACTGAATTCTTCTGCGGGTGAGAAAAATTATTAAATGTTTCAAAACTGACAAGTTAAAATATTTACTTATTGATTTCACGTATAAACATTTGTTTATGCCTATGGTATCATGTGTATACGTGTGTGTATATTTAATATATAGAATGAATTGTTAATAATCATTACAGTTTTGGAATATAACCATCCTGACACTGTTATAGACCTTAATAAAGACCTATTGTATATCGCTTAATTAGAACGTACCACATATTTTGTACAAATTCTTATCTATTTTTTGGTAACTCGTTAAAGAGTCAAAAAGTCCACTAACTACGACAGGTTGGAAAGTTTTTGTTTTACTTAATTATACTTAGTTTTGTCCTTTGAATAAATAAACTTAAAACCCAAACCTATTTCAAACAATTCATTGAAATTAATAAATATTGACCGCACAATGCCACGTCAATCTTCATAGAGCCAAAAATTTATGTGATCCATGAAAAGTTGTTCTAAGCCCGAGTGTTTATACTTTATTGTATCCATAACTTTTTTTTTTGCCCATAGACACCTGAGTGGTTGCAAATACACTCAACAATACAACTAACTCATATGCTATGAGCATGTGGTGATTCCCCAGTGAGCTGGCCTATTCGTGCAACACGAAGTGTAATGTATGCCGTCGCTGTTTTTCCTTAGGTGTTTGAATATTCAATAGGCGTATTATCGAAATGCTTTAGAGCATGCATCCAAAAATAAAACACGTAGAATTACTTAGTATTGGCTATGTGTGTAAACATAATCCAGATGATTAAGTAGTACAGGGTGAAATACACTTGTGAAACATTAACTCTAACAACTCAGAAAACTCCGTCGCCGAGGAAAATAGTTCTTGTATTTTACTCAGTTTAATAATACTTACCGGGATCTTTCAGAACTCGATCCCGCTCCTTAAAGGTATCCACTTCAACGTCTGTACTCAATCTAAAGAAAGTAATTAAATACGTCACTGGAAAGGCAAAATTACTAAATTAGTAATTTTGCCTTCCAGTGACAATAATGAAAAAACCTTACCTCAAGAATTATTTAGATGAAAATGCTTTCTCTAAATGTTTTGAGGCGTATACAAACAAATATTAAATATTTTTTACGTTGTACTAAAATTAAACTAGCACAATCGTGGGGCAATGAAGGTCATCAGCAGATTTTCCATTCATTTGTTAAAGAGTAACAGAGAACGTAGCAAGCTCGTATGCTTAATTGGGTGGAATCTCGAAAACATAAAGATAGAGTAGAGGCGCGGCAAACATCTCGTTATCCGATTATGGAAAGAAATACTAGTGAGCAAATTATCCCACTGTATAATCTTTGGCACAATAAGTTTAACTGTGTATTAACAGATTTTATATTGCATGAGATCAGCACCATACTTTGAGATGTAAGAGAGAAAGACCTAACATTATTGCAAGATACACTTGTTATAAATTTAGTAAATTTTATGCTTTTTTTTCCGCGAATTAAGCAGCCCTTATTCTAGTCTCAAACAAGAGGACTGGAACTAGACACCTGACCAGACGTGTCGGTGCAGGATATAGCTTTTGCCTTTAGTCCTTATGTTGAAATCTAGAGGCTTTAAATAAATCTGCTCAATTTGCAGCAGTAACGCTTTTTAAATTTCCTTAATTTATGTAACAGTGTAGCGTTTTAAGATTTGGAAACATATCGTAATCCAATCTATTGGGTTTTCATCCAATCAATTTAACCCTAAAACATTGATTATTTATATTTGGGTTAATTATGTTAGAGCTTTTTTTCTTGTGGGAAAGTGGCAAACAAGCTGGCGAGCTAGCGGTTCACCTGATGTTGAGTGATAACCCCCACCCATGGACGTTTGCAACACCAGTAGGGTTGCCACCTAAATAAAGTGGGCCCCAGCTACCTCACTCACCAGGCGAAATGAAGAAATGTAACACTTCTACTTTACGCCGGTCTTCTGTGAGGTCATGGTACTTCCCCGTTCTTTCCCCTACCCGGACGGACCTGCCGATTCGTGCGGTGAACAGGGAACAAAGTTTAAAGTAGAAAAAGTCGATAAACATTATTTTTAAGAAGAGCACTAGGAGGCGCTGAAAATACTTCACCGAATCCGTAACCTGTCACGTGTAATACATAGAGAGGTAGATGGAGATTATTGATTTACTCTATCTTCGATCCTTAAACACCTTTGCATCCTCTTCCAAATGTACATACATCCAGTAGTCGAACGTCAGCTACGATGCAGTTTATGCCACTAACGGTTCATTTGTAGATACATTTCACGTTCTTAGAATAATTGAGCACCATTTATAACGATAAGTTTGTCGTTTTGGTTCATTATTCATCTATCAATACGCCATCAAGGGGGCCGGTGAATTAAACAACTTACGGACAGTTTCAATATTCAATCTACAGATAAATTTGATTACTAGCGATAGGTAACTATTTGACATTAGCTGTATTTCTTATGTCAAAATTCAATCTAGTATCTGTCTATTGAATATTAAGACCGACCTTTAGACAACTAGGGACAGAACTGGTGCCATGAATAATTCATTTGTATCTCACTTCATGAAGGCCTCTTCCAGTGACACTGGGCCCACTCCGAGCGACTCGACGTCCAGCGTTACTCTGTTGGCCTCGATGTTGTTGAAGAGCGCGGCCATGTCCGAACCGGGCGGTATGTCGTAGACCAGGGTCCGAACGGTCCTGGTGTACAACGTGGCATCGGGCGCCGCCCCGCGGACCATCCGCGATATCAAGTCCAGGTCGGGCGGCTGGAGTGTCGTCAAGGCCACCCGTGAGCCACTTCCTGGTGACGTAATACAATAGATTTCAAAAAAAAGGCAAAGTTACAAATGGTCGCTTATGTTAAATGATAAACTCCATACAAAAACGGAAAACAGTAGGTAAACAAAGAAAAAAAACTTTTATTTTCCCCAAAAAAAGAACGCACACAGCAAAAGTGAAATAAAAAACTAAATTTAGCAAAAAATAAAGCAAAAAAATACAAGAAATAAAAACAGAATACATTAAAGCAAAAGAACATAAATACATAATTAAAATATAAAACAAATGAAAAATAACTAACAAACAAAAAAAACATTCTACGCCCCATTTCGATAAATTATGTCAGCAGCTCAGCATTATGCCGTGCCGGAAGTCAAGGCCCCAACACAGCGCTGATTTTCAGTGCTGACCTTCACGCTTCGTAATACTTCAATGCCTTACCGATCCATACACAGCGAAGTAATAATACGACGAAGTAATAATACTAATACCAATTATTATGTAATTTATTACAATTACTTATATAACAAAATAAAAGTCTAGGTAGTGCAGGCAAGTTGCAAACGTTCAATAAAGGGGGTTTTCGTTTACATAACTTACTGTATTGTACGGCGAAGTATCAATTTTACTTTGGAAGTCACTCCAGCTAGTCGTTTGGAAGTCGCTCCAAATGAAATATTTTTTACGGATTTATAGCTTTTGATTTTATTTTTAGTATATGACGTTTCGAAACCTTTTCAGCGTTCCTTTCACGGGCCAGACTGAGGCTTTGGACGTCTGAATGTCAATTTTAGTCCTGAGTACCGTCAGTATTTATATTATTAATTTTGTGTCTGATATAGAGTTCGATCTCCTGTGCCAGCACCAATGAAATTGTTAATTTTAAGTGCTGAATTATCACGTACTCGGTGGTGAAGGAAAACATCGTGAGGAAGCCTGCATAGTTTCGAAATAATAACAAAAAAATATATATTTCGAAGATATGTGAAGTCCGCCAATCCGCAGTGAGGTTGTGTAGTGGACTATGCACTGATACCCTCTTTACAGAGGAAGCCTTTGCCCAGCAGTAGGACTTTTATAGACTGTTACATTTCTTTACTTTTTTACCTATACATACAAATGTAAAGTGAACAAAAAGCTTGTTTAATTAGATCAGTTCCTAAAACTAGGGGACTCGTACTGCTTTACCGCCCCGGGCCTCTGAAGGCCTTAGTCCGCTACTGGTTATCCTTAATAATGGAAATCTCTATATTGTTTACTGTCTTATGGAAAGGACTTTTCAGTGGATGTTAACTATTATGGCACGACATATGTAAATCCATTACCTACAGCCATCTTCAGGAAGAGGGGCGTGGCGTAGGAGCGTAGGACTCCCCAGTGCAAGGTAACAACACGGTCCCCCAATAAATCAGCCTCATCTAAGAAGTGTGTCGTCATAATAATGGTACGGGTCCCACGCAGCGTCTAGAAATTATGGACTTTATTTTTTAATATATAATAGTAATTGTATATTTTTTGACACATGTGTATTGCCGGTATATTATCATTCGAGCCTTGCGAGAGTAGAAATAAATTATTTAGAATATCTTATATAATAAATTATCTAGAAGATTGGATATCGAAGAAATCATTGATAATAAAAATTTCAAAGAGATTTTAGTTTGAGTTTTGTGGGTGTCTCATCAATCTCAATCTCAAAGTTATTTAACGCCAAAAGTTATCCTTGCAACAGTGTTACTGCACATATAAAATAATGTCATTGCGTGAATACTCACAAACAATATTTGCCAGAGGTCCTTTCTTGCTTCGACGTCGAGGCCAGCGGTGGGCGCATCGAGAAGCAGAAGATTGGCTTCGCTGCAAAGCATGCAAGCGATCTGCAGCCGCCGCGTCATGCCGGCGGAAAGTTTAGAAGGTGTGGCCGCGGCGTTGCCTATTAGGTCCATCTGCGTCAGAAGTCGCTCGGTGGCCTTCTTCGAGTCGTCGCTATTGTACCCGGTTAGCTGTGCGAGCGATGGAATAATTGTATGTAACACAAGATTGTGTACGCGCACAAAACTATTATTTCTGGTCAGACTACAGCTACCGATCGAGCCGAGGTCCGTCCCTCTCGGGCCCGCTCGAATTGGAATGCTAAACGGGTATTGAGTAACAGCCAAAGCCGAGGTCCACTCTCGGGGTCTTAGTTGCTTCACAGAGCATTATGTTCTATGTATTATGTTCTATTGGAATAGAATAGAATTAATTCGTATAACTGTTATAAAATTCATTTCTAACCTTGGAAAAAAACATCAAATGCTCTCTAACTGTCAAATCGGGGAACAATATAGTATTCTGAGGACACAAGGCAATTTGCTTTTTGATCTTAGCCATCTGCGTAGTTGTATCCAAACGGTCGATAAACACTTTACCGGAGGACTGTTGTATCATTCCTGAGGACAAATCGAACAGTGAATTAAGACCATTTATTATGTTTTTTTTTTGTATTCTTTTTAAACATTTATGATAACATTATCCTGTGTTGTAAGGACGTTTTACAAACATAAATTTCACGCTGACAAACAACCAGATGCGAAATAACTATCTGAGACACACAAATAGTTGTCCCGTGTGGGGATCGAACCCACGACCTCCGACGTCCAATCCAATACCTTGGCGACTGTTACTCAGAGTCATCATGCTATCTCAATATAAATGTCCAATTAACTTATCACATTCTGGAGTGATTGGATTTTCCTCAAAAACTCCTTATCGAATTACTTAGTAAATAATTGTCACTCAAATGACTTTTGCCGGTTCGTTATTTCAGGTAAATATTTACGAACAGGTTAGCGGTATCTTATTATTAAAATTTTATTTGCAAAGTGAAACCTTCAATACATCTCCAGATTTATGTAACTTTAGCCTACAAACTATTGAAGAACTTGGGTCTGTGACCAACATTTAAGATTATTTCCAGGTATACTATACTGAAAACAGGTTAGACTTAGATCTATCAAGGGCTATAAGATTAACTTGTAAGTTACTCAAATCTTTATTGTTTACGATAAACTACTAAGTACTACTTTTTATTTATTAAATATTTAACCAATCTGTCCTTTGGTTAGGTTACCTGGATGGTAAAGTAGTCAATTAATCTGGCCGACAAATCAGCTGTCGCTTCTACGTGAACAATTAGATCTAATACGAATAATCCCATCCATATAGATTACATTATTAACTAATGATTAACTGAAGGTCCGAAATAAAAACAATTCATAAAAATCGTTCTGTCCTTTACAGACCATTCATAGTTATAAATAATTGACAATAAGAAACAATTATATCTAACCTGCTATTATGGAAATGAGAGTCGTTTTTCCAGCTCCGTTATGTCCAATGATCACAGTGATTTCACCGCGGTAGAACTTCAGGGATATGTCGTTCAAAGCGACAATAGAAGATCTTTTTAGCGAGTAAGCCTGCAGTACAAATTATAATGTTGAGTAGCTATTGAATTTTTGAGTTTTTTTTTATTTCTGCAGTCTCAAGAACGTGTCAGCTCTATCGAGGAACAGCTATGCTCTCACAGAAGATAGGTGTAAAGAAATATTCTAAATATTCTCTTAAATCTCGTCTGTTGTGGGACCACAGGTTGGATATCCTCGGATGGTGAAAAATCACTTAAAAGGAGAGAAAGTACATGCTCGTGTTGTGCCTATCATAGAAAAATAACAAATAGATTATTTTTTTGGGGTAGCAGGGACAATATCAAGTAATCAAAAAACCAATACTTGTATAAATTGGCATCATATAATATGTACTGTTGTACAAAAGTAGGAAACATGTGCTGCTTTTCTTTTTTGGCAATAGGCTACGTCATAGTACCTTTTTGATATTGACGACTTCTACAGCTTCTTCCAGATCGGTGGGAGGGTTCTCGAAGTAACGGTCGTAGGCGGGATGATGGTTTTGCATGCTAATACTGTGAGGTATGTATTCACAGTTCTTTACCCAAAAGTCTTTCTGGAATTAGTCGACATTTAGGTGACGTAATTTCATAATTTTAATGTAAATTCATTGTTAATTTCATACAATTAATAATAACAAATGAATTAACACAATCTTCTTGTGAAATATTGCTTATTTGTGCGGTGTTTTAAGCTTTTATATTGATAATTGTTATACATCTAAAATTGCTGATTGTCAAATTTAGTAATTGTTGGTTTCGTTATGCGTTTCAATTTTGTTACAAGGCTGATCTATGAAGCAAGTATATAATGCATTGACATTACCGGGTGATTTGGTACTATTCTGTAATGTACTGCGAATAAACTTGAACTTTATTATCAACATAGCATATCCAGGGAAGTATCGGGGCCTCATAAAAGATTAGTTAGAAGCGGAAGTACTATATGTCATATACTTTGGAAGTACTATATGTAATATACTTTTGCGTATCTAGTGAGTGAGGTAACCGGGGCCTGCTGTTCACAAAGGTCACATCTGCAACACTCCAGTTGTTATAAATGTACAGAGGCCGTAGTGATAGCTTAACATCAGATGACCCACCAGATTGCTGGTCAAGTTTTGACATAAAGAAAACTGTTGTAGTGTCGACTGCTAATATATTTCATGAAAAGTATGTACCCGAAAGGGGAAATTCCACGGCAGCGCAATGCCATACTTTCTAGGTCTTACTAAATGCAAGTACCAGGACAGCAAGAACAGGAGGCAAATTTGAATCAGGAACATTTGGAATGCCATCCTTATGCTTCCAGTTGCCACGCGGTCCCAAGGTAGAGGGAACTGATTCGTCCACTGTTTGAAATCTAACTCAGCCGCACTGAAACGCCAAACTGTCGGATAAAAATATAAAATGTAATTATTTGATTACACGACTTCAAAAGGAGGAGGATCTGAATTCGATTGGTGTATTTGGTGTCAAAGAAAATTAAAAAGCAAATATTAATTAGAGCTGCATTCAAAGTACTTGTAACCCCAGTGCATGTCTGAGCGTATGTGGAATTTGGAAGAGCTGAAATTTTTTTAAACAGTTGGTAACACTGAGGATTTTCTCTTTCGCCTGTGTGACACAGGACTCTGCTGTGGTGTAGCCTCGCATGTGTTGGCGCTGTTATATTATGATTGTACGACGAAATATAACAGTCTCACAGACGACAGGCGTAAGGTACAAATATCTATACTTTTGCTTTTCATGTGATCAGATTGGTTGCCGACGTCAACATTTTTTAAAGTTTGACAACTTTTTAGCAGCTCAGTCCTACAAGAATATTATAAACATCCATTAGAGGCGATACTCAATCTTCAAAAGGTGAATTCTCGTGTCTACATAATTACTGATTAGAATATGTTTGATTAGTTGTAATTAATTATAGTTTAGTTTCATTTAGTATAGTGTAAAAGAATAAAAACTCTTGATGTTAACTTACTATAGAGCTCCGCGCTGTACATTTGGTAAATAAACCAGATTTGTGGGACGTGGGGCAGCAAACCTTTTAGGATTAGGAACATGTTGTTCTTGTCACCAGGCCAGATGAGCATGACCACGATCCATGTGCCAAAGTACAGGAATAGAGCAGTAGACGCAGTATTCTGGCCTAAAGAAACACTATTATTGCATTAATAGGAAACCTTAAGTAACTTCACCCTGTGGCAGGGACACGCAACAGTCTACGCTGTGGTACGAATGGGCAGGTCCGTCCTTGGAAGAACCACGACGTCGCAGAAGACCGGCGTGAACAAGAAGTGTTACACTTCTGCGTTTCGTCTGGTGAGTGAAATAATCAGGGCCCACTTTATTAATAGGTCTGCAACACCGTATTGCAGACGCGTTGCCACCTTTTGGGTGTTGCAGATGTGCATGGGCGGCGGTTATCACTTAACATCAGGTGAACCGACAGCTCGTTTGCCACATTTAAAGTATAATTGTGAATAATCTTATTTCATTTAGGCATTTTTCAAAGCAACAAAACCAATAGCTGAAAAGCATAACGAGTAAGCTTTTATATCTTACTCGTTATTCGTATATGCGTCTTACAGCCCAACTTTATAATGCTATGCCGTGCTTACCGCTCATGTTAATGTAACTGCACACGAAAGCCAGTGCGATCATCGAAGCGTAATGCAAGAACAGCCCCAGGAATAGGATCATTGGGTGGACTCTGATGGGTATTGCGTATAGTATAAAGGTGCCGGCGACACTGAAGAGAATGGAGGGCAGTAGAGCGTTCAGGTACTGGGTTATGTCGATCATCAATGGAGACGCGCCGAACATTTTGACTACCTCCTGTGAAATGAGCAAGTTCTTTAATCGAACACAGCGTTCTTTTATTTCTAGAACATTCCATGGTATTCGCGTTTATGATGAGATGACACAAATGGAAATTATTAATAAATTGTTAGTAAGTGGATGCTCAAGGCTCGTGGGCTTGGCTACAGTTAATTTTTTATAGAACAGACTGCCTCTACTGATTCTTCAACGGTAATAATTATAATAATAAAAAAATCAAAGAAAAAAAATAAGACCGCAGTTTCTTGCCGGTTGTTCTGGTAGGTCTAGTTTAGTGAACCGGTGGTAGTTTTGACGTTGAATAAGAACTTAAAATAAGCCTATGTTGAATAAAGATATTTTGAGTTTGACTTTGACTTTGAATACATACAGCAAAAATAGTAGAAGTAAAGCACGAACTTATGAAAAATCAACAAATAACATAAATAACTATGGTAGGGTAGGTAGAAAAACACGCATTGGTAGATCGGTCCGGGGAAGTACCACGACCTCACAGAAGACCGGCTGTGAAGTGGGAGTGTTATATATCCACGTTTGGTCTGGTGAGAGATGTAGCCACCTTCTTAGATAAAAAAAATTATCTATCCAACCTTAAAAAAAAAAAAAGCTTCTTACCTCCAAACCGGTGCTCTTTTCTTCGGTCAAACGTATTATAACGAGTACAAAGGTGAGCAGCGGCGCGAGAAACACAATTGCTTCGATAAAAAGAAATTTGAAACCGCCGACCACGTGTGGAGGGTGGTGGTAATCGATGTGGGGAGGGCGGCCATGGAAATGCTTCATAGTGATGTTCTGGAATAAGGTGTCACATATCACAGATATTGATATTATTCATGTATTACATTTATGTAATATAAGACAGTTATATATATCTTTTTCTCTCTCTCTCCTGTGAAATTATTATTCCCATCTGATGGTGTGGTCTGTCTTTCTGGTCTGGCACACACCGCTCTACATATAACACACATGTATGATATAATTATATATTTTGACGACATTGGCGTAATGGATGAAGTGATGAGAATGTATCTTCCATCAGAGACACTGAAAAAATATGAACATAGCGTGTTTTTCTAGTGTCTCGGAGTTTATTTATCTACTAGCGGTCCAGACAGACGTTGTCCGGAACACACGACTTAAATCCGAAAACATTTTATAAATAAAAAAGGACGAAAAGAAAAACCTAATTGTAAATCTAAACCATTCTCGAATCGACCTGAAGACACAAAAAATTTCATTAAAATATTAATAGGTCCAACCGTTTAGGAGGAGTTAAAATATATATAAATAAAATAAGTCATTCGTATAAAAAGAATTATTAATATTTCTTTCTGCCCACCGGATATACAGATTTTTTTAAGATATAATCGGAGCGAGTACCTGTAATTCGAAAGGAGACCCTGATTTCATTTTGATGAAACTCGAATCTATAGCCCACTGCAGTCTCAAGAATGATTCGCTGAGCTCGTCTGCGAACAATTTATTTTACGTAAGCACAAAAATAAATTATACACATTTACCGTATTTTCATTTACAATCATAGTTTTAATGGTTTGACATGTAATTAGCCCTCTGTAAACTATGGTTCGGTTCTTCAATGAAAAGGACATGTATTTACATGTCCTTTTTTTTGTCCATAACCGATCAGAAACACAGAGATTTAATTATTTTGTAAACGCAATCTGTGCGCAATGGGCTGCTAGTAATCATAAATTGTGAACTCCACATTTGATTCGGACTTTTGGCGTATTTGATGTACACACGTGGCCACATTGCATTATTAAATTTTTGTGTCTAACTTTGACGTCATATATATGCACCTTAACTGTTTCATACTATGGTTTATACTTATGGTTAACGAGCCGTGATAGCTCAGTGTCCGGGCGCTCGCCTTTAATTCAACATCCTCGAGCAACCTGAGTTCGATCCACGGTGCCAGCACCAATGACGTTTTTAACTTTAAGTGCTGACTTATCTCGTGCTCCACGGTGAAGGAAAACATCGTGAGGAAAAATGCATATTTTCGAAATAATAACAAAAAAATATAATTATATATATTTCGAAAATATGTGAAGTCCGCCAATCCGCAGTGGGGCCGCGTGTGGATTATGCCCTGATACCCTCTGTATAGAGGAGGCCTTTGCCCAGCAGTGGACATGTATAGGCTGTTACTTTACTATGGTTTTTATGTAGGTGGGGTCAAATGATCGACGTGGATTCGCTGAGTCAAAATTTAGAGCCGGGAAACTACCTCAAAACAGTAGTGTCTCACTCCCCGCTGTGCATGATGCTTCACAGTCATTAAACGAAACGATTTTTTTTTAATCTTAAGATATGGAGAGTAAACCAAATTCGGGATATAGATGAACGATATGGAGCAACACCAAGCTGTATCATCCAATATTGTTATTGTAAAGATTAGAAGACTTGGTAGGGCCACGTAATAGTCTTCTCTGTTGCACTAATGGTTAGATCCGTCCGGAGAATCACAACGACCTCACAGAAGACCAGTGTTGCACTACTTCCTGCGCTGCGTTTCGTCAGGGGACTGAGATGACCGGAGCCTACTTCAATAAAGGATGGAAACGCATCTGCAGCCCACCAGGTGTTGCAAACGTTAATAGGCGGCGGTTACCACTTTATATCAGGTGATCCGCCAGCTCACTTGCCACCTTCTCACATAAAAACAAACTTTTATAAATTGCGAGCTGACATAATTTATTTGTAGGGTAGAAAACATGTTAGGGGTGGAGCACCCTTAACATTTAGGGGGATGAAAAATAGATGTTGTCCGATTCTCCACCCTGGCCGATATGCACACAAAATTTCACGAAAATCGGTCGAGCCGTTTCAGAGGTGTTCAATTTCCAAACACCATGATACTAGAATTTTATATATTAGATAAATTACGTATGTATGATGATTGTAGCCTTACCGATATTTTCGTGAGGCCTCCCCAACAAAACAGAGTTCATCGTATCCATAGGCGTGTTTACGCGCACCGTGTAATTGAGTTTGTCCGGTAGACTTTCGCCTTTGATATTCTGAAATTTAAATATTTTTATGCAGCAAACAGTAACGAATTATTGTATCTAGAAATACTATGTTCAGTGGGGGGTAGTCCTACACTGCGATTGCCAGTACGAGGCTGCCACTCGAGAACCTCTCTTCCCCAACGGTTACCGGTTCTACGAGTTATATGGCCCATCCATCGCCACTTCAGCTTGCTATTCATTTGGGCCATCTCGGTTAATATTGTTCTACTCCAGACTACTGCGTTGCAAACTCTATCACGCTGAAGAATACCTAGCAAATCCATGAATGCGGGTGGCTCAGGATCGTGCTTCGTGGCAGTCTGTGGGGGAGGCGAACAGTGGACTTAAACAGGCTTAAATTATGATGATAATGACAATGTTTGGTAAATGACAGAAATGGATGCTGCAAATTAGAGAAGACGACTTAAATAAAATTTTGTGAAAAAAATTGTCAGGTAGTATCGTCACAAGAAGTATCTTTTAATAAAAATCTCTCTTAGTGCGGGTACAAATCTCGGTCAGGAGTTGTATAACACCAAAATACAGCAAAACGCAAAACCTCCTTGGGGTGCGCTACTGAAACTGGATGTCCAACTATATCATAGATAGTCCTGCAAACTGTCACTGTAAAATAAAGTATCAGCCTATACATGTCCCACTGCTGGGCAAAGGCCTCCTCTGTACAGGGTATCAGGGCATAGTCCACCACGTGACTCCACTGCGGATTGGCGGACTTCACATATCTTCAAAATATATTTTTTTGTTATTATTTCGAAAACATGCAGGTTTCCTCACGATGTTTTCCTTCACCGCTCAGCACGTGATAATTCAGCACTTAAAATTGACAATTTCATTGGTGCTGGCACCGGACTCAGTTTGCTCGAGTATAAAAATTAAAGGCAAGCGCCCGGACACTGAGCTATCACGGCTATAATATCACTGTACTTTCCGTACTTATTTATATGAATAAAATATTATACAAAATTAAATGAATATTTATTCACCTCGAATACAACGACAGCATCTGCGGTCCGCAGGACCTTGGATATTTTGTCGTTTAGACTGTTATTCGACGTTAGAGACCTTTCGTAGTCCTCTGTCAAAAATAACAAAATGAATATTCGTTTATCGACACTCACAACATCAAAAATTTACAACAAGTTAATCACTATACGGGAGAGGATCAACATCTAACGGTCTTAATAATTTGAAAGGAATTAAGCGCATACATATATCTAATCCAAGAAAAAAATAGAATATTTAGTCTTACAGCCAAATCAAGGGACATTTTTTTTTATGTGAGAAAGTGGTAAGCTAGCTGGCAGTTCGTCTGATGTTGAGTGAAAACCGCCTCCCGTGGACATGTGCTACACGCTTAGGGTTGCAGATGCCACCTTTTAATACAGTGGGCTCCGGTTACTTGACTCACCATAAGAAATGCAGAAGCATTGTGGTACTTCCCCAGACGGACATGCCCATTCGTGCAACAGCGAAAATTGTTACGTGGCCCCACCACGGTACCAATCTACTTCATCTTATTATCATCAACAATCATCTGCTTCAACTTTTTAATTTTCCAAGCTCATATAATACATAATCCTATAACTGTTACTTGTTCACCCCCTTTCCACCTTTATAAAATGCTTTTCGATTTCCTTGGCTAGTATTCTATCTGACGGTAAACACTACTCACCGTTGCCTTTTAATTAGACTCTTAAACCGTCTCTAAGATAACCAGCGGACTGTGCCTATTTGTTACTTTACTTACTCGTCACTGAATGGAAGCGCGGAAGGTACAGAGCCTCGCCGACCTCATCCATGAGCACTCGGGTCAACTTGTTGTCAGGTGTGTACAGCACCCGTGGGCCTACTACCTACATATAAAAGTATGTACAGTTTAGCATTTTAAAGTAATAACGGATGCAAAAACTTCGTAATATAGAAAAATTCAAATTTAGTGTTTATTTAATTAATGTTTCACACTCTAGTGGCTGTGGCAGATAAGTTATATGGTTTAGAAACTAAAGAAAGGGATTTTAAAATAGCTAAAGGAGCGATAAATTAAAGTTAAAACGAGTAAGGTGTTGACCACGCTGCATGGTATATTCTTTCAAGCCTCTTTCCTATTTTATATAACCAGACACGTATGTATACAAGTTTGTGTATAATCATGTTATGTTATTATGTTAATTTGAATCTACATAATGATTAGCAAACAGCCGATAGTGAGAAATCTGAAACATGTTTATAATTGTTCCTTACCGGTGCGCTCCTAGAAATTGGTTCCGATCTGATTCTAAGTACATTTTCAAAGAACAGCATAGGCAGTAGCAGTAATAATGGCGTTATGAACTCGATGCATGTCAACAACCACTGTCGCCTTCGCAATATGCAATGCATCCACATTAAAACTATAAAAGTTCTCATTGTTAATTAAATGTGTTCTTGTCTTTTTTTAAAGTAATTTATCAGTTTTGCCAAAAGTTATTATTTGATGACATGACGATTAAATGTATGACATAATTCTTCTATATTTCATCAACCATTGCCATGTCAATTATGACAATTAGTAGAGTATTGAAAAACGTGAATTGGTAGGCAGTATCAAATAGACATAGACGGATAAATAATAAATCTGATGTGTTCAATTTTTTCCAGCTTTTGAAAATCCGCCAATACAAGTTATGTAGATTCGATACACTTATTATCTAGGTATTCCGCAATGAATGATTGGGTGATCCTAAAGCACTTTGTAAGCGTTTGAGTACCTATTGTGTATGGTAATAATCAATTTACTTCAAAATATAAATTTTAAAATTTACATAATATAAAAGATCATCTATGTACTTCAGAACCATATTCTAATAAACCCGTAACATATTGTTGGCTATTGGTTGAAATGTTAATGTATTTTTTTTTAATTCGTAAAACGCTCTTGTTAAAAACTCGTATCGGTTGGCCGGATAGCTTTTGAGTCTTTGATGAAACATTCTGCTTTAATGTGACAGTTTCAAACTTCACCAACAAAATACATGTATAAACGTAGTGGTTATATTATCTTTGTGTATAAAAGGAAATATGGCACGCAAAGGCCAAGTATCAATACAAGACTCGGTGGAGACGAACGAAGAATTTGAAGAATATCTGAAGGAACATAGCAAACAACTCATATGTGAGTGGACCTTAAAAAGTAAAGTGAATATTTATAGAGGATGCTATTACTATGGTTCTGAAAGATATTTAATATTTCAAGCTCACCGACACTAATAAATATTTTATTCACACTATTTTATTCCCTATCATATGTATTCATTTTATAGGCTCTGATCTAATTCTGTTAATATATAGTCACTAGCTAAATCATGACGTACAATATACATTCCATTAAGCTCTGGTAATTATCAACAAAAAAACATAACATTTCGCCAAATATAATATAATAGCTCAGCAAAAAATAGTTTGTTTAAGTACTTCTGGCATCAGGTCTACGGGAGTATGAAATACTTCCGATTCAATAAATTCAATTCCTTTTCAGGTATGGAAGTGTATTCAGAATATTGTGGACCCTGCCTGGCAACAGGTAATGCAATCAGAAAGGGCAAATTGGAAATAGGCACCGATGACATAGCGATGGTGAAGGTATTTTGAGCTAATTAATTGAAATGAAATGAAATAATTACAACGTCTAAACCCAAGTCCAATCGGTGAAGGTACCTACTAGTTTCGGAACCCGCTCGGGACGGGGCGCGACCGCGAACTCATTCCACTCACCCTGGCGAAGGATCTCCGATGGGTCCAATGACTAGTCGGTAACTACACCAAAATTGGACGTGAGTTTAGCCGATTCAATTACATAATTAATAATGTTTCATGGAATAAAATTGTGTTACCTACAAGAAGCTATGAACACAGAACAAGGCTACTTATTGTAAAAGCAATGGCTTTCTTGATCAAAGCAATTGCAATAAGCCTTTGCTTATTGCAATTACTTTGATCATCATTTTAATTGAATATCCTTGAATAATAATAATTGTTTGTTAAATATTCTCGCAATTCAGATTAAGTAAAGAATAATATTTTTATTGTATATACAATTTAGTTATCAAAAATTAACAACATTAAATCCATCTAAATCACATAATTATTATCTAATGAACCTAGTTAATATACGCGGCATGGTACCAAGAACGCTAACTGCATTTCCTCGCTGAATAATATTTTAATTGAATTGATTGCAATACTTACGTACGCTAAATCATTGTTCCGTTAATGTGATTATACTTTTAGGCGCAAGCTGACAATATAGATGTTCTATCGAGGTTCAAAGGTAAAAGCGAACCTGTTTTCCTCTTTATATCGGTAAGTACTAAGTAATTTATGTCATTGTGGTATTAACAGTCGTTTAAAATAAATAAAATAAGCTTAAAGCTTTTGGATTACTACTAACATGTTAACATTAACATCATCGGGAGCCGTTTCTATTTTGAATTTTGAAACTTGACAGCCAAAGGTTTTTAGATTCCATACAAAAGGGGCCCACGGGTTAAAGATAGACCAAAGTCCAGGCGCTCCCTTATAATAGTAATCGTAACCCAAGTTGTAATCCCGGCGCTGATGCCAACGAAATTGTTAGTCGCAATTTTAAGTGCTCATTTAACACGTGCTCAGCGGTGAAGGAAAACGTCATGAGGAAACGTAAAAAATATTGTAAAGATATATGAAGTCTATCAATCCGCAGTGGGGTCCCGTGCTCGATTATGCCCTAATACCCTCTACATATATAGGCTATTACAAGACTTTACTTTTTTCACAAAGTATTAGAATGAAATCTTTACGTAAATGTAGTCGTAATTTTACTTTAGAAAGGTAAATTGACTCGCGCCATGTTCGGGGCGAACGGGATTGAACTTTGCCGCATCATCGAGGACGAGATGCGTCTGATGCGGCAGGAGCTTGAAACTGGCGTGGAGCGGCCCAAGCAGGAGATTGGCGAACTGCTGCCCGAGGAGTCGGTACGGTTTTGTTTCGACATGTACAAACCTCCAAGTTTCAGTATTATTCAACCGACTTCAAAAAAGGAGGAGGCTCTCGATTCAACTGTATTCTTGTTTTATGTTTGTTACCTCAGAACTTTCGACTGGGGGAACCGATTTTGATGATTCTTTTTTTATTTGTAAGCTGGTGCTTCCCACGTGGTCCCATATTAATTTCATTACTATTGGATCTTGGGCTCCGGAGATACTTGGGAACTCGTGAAAATCAATTATAAAATGAATACAGTGCGAGATATTTGAACTCGGTTTAGTTTTTTGTTAGTAAAAATATGGACTTGTATGCGAAAAGTTTGTAAGCGAGCAGACGGCTCACCTGATGTTAAGTGAATACCGTCACCTGGGACATTTACATCTCCTGAGGGATTACCGATGCGTTCCCAACAAGTGTGCTCCGGTTACCTCACTCACCAGTCGTAACGCGAAAGTATATCACTTTCGCTTCACGCCGGTCTTCCGTGAGGCCGTGGTACTTTATAATGACGAGATTCGAGCACAGCATGGTCGTTCCGGAACAGGCAAAGATAGAGTCGGACTTCAAGTTGGAGGAAGAGGCGCGCGAGGCCAGGGAGCGTCTTCGCGTCTTAACCCTGGCCGCCAGAAAGAAGCGGGTGGCGGAACGCCTGTCGCACCACGTGCGACGCCTTAACTACATCCTGTACTGGCCGCGCTGCCAGCAAGCGCACTACGATCTATACGAAAAGTGGGACTTGATCAGTGAGTCGCATTGATGGTATATACGCGTAACTGATTCTTTTTTAATTATAAACTGGCCAGTATTAGTGTGCTGTTCCATCTGATAGAAAGCAGAGGTAATTCAAATTTAGAATGGTTATATAACAGCCAATTACAACGGATTTACAGGACGATTGCCACGAGGATATTTGTTAAAAAAATTTAATGTTTTCTTGATTGATATACCTAGTATCAAGTTTTATATATTAATTGAATTTTATAAAAACAAAAATAATTAATCTAAACCCGAAATCTGATGATTTTTCCAACTTAGATACAGACCAGCAGACGATATCGACGACGACTATCTGTACACCTGTACATCTGCTATTGTCATCTTTTTATTTATATGAAGTTCATACATCATATTTTATTTATATGATGTTCAACAGAAACTGCTTTCCGAACCTGTCGTACCTTACGAACCTATATACATCATTTTTGATGTAAAACTTGACGATTCATAAGAAAGCAAGCGTCTATTTGAATAAATATATTTTTGATTTGATTACATACATAGATTAGAACAACATTTATCAGATTTTCAGTTTTCTCGTATCCATACTTGCTAATGAAAGAAATGATCAACATATTTCCCAGTACAATCATATTACAATAAACATTAATTCTATAAAACCTTTCTATCAGTACAATTTCTTGTGGCCAGTGTTTTAGTTTACTGGAGTCCAATCTCAAATAAATATGATGCGGCCTTAACCAGTGACCCGTGGTGGGGACTCCTGCTGTTAAACGAGTGAAACGATGCGACTGGGGAAGTCTTCTTCATGGAAGACAATCGTGAAGTTAAAATATGATATCTGCTGTGCTTTTGTAATTGGGAGGAGTCGACCACTTGTTAAATCCCGGCAAGGCAGCCCGTTAGGTATTGCTGTGGTCCACGAGCAGCATTGATCACCTACCATCATATTAATAGTTTACTCATTTCCTCAAAAAAGGGAAGCTACTTTTATGAGCTGAAATGAGCCAGATTAAAGTGAACATAATCACTATCTCTTTGTATCAAGCGAATTGATGATTCGGTGGTGCTTTGTTGAGCTGTTGGCTTCGGCACCGGGGCTCGTGGGTTCGACTCCCATACGGTACAAGTATTTGTATGAACCACAAATAATCGTTTCAGATCCAAGTTTCTGTCCACGCGAAATATGTATATGTAAAACGTTACTCTACGGTAAAGTTTCGAAAATTAGAATGCATGGATTAGAATGTTCGTTATTTCTGCTTTCTTAGATATTCAAGTGGGGGCCAAGGAAACGTTTCAGTTGAACGAGGCTGATGTAAAAGAGGTGCTTTATATGAGCGACGTGGAACCTAACGAGGCTTGCATTCATGCGTTGCTCGACGGCGAAGTGCTCGTCGTGCTATTTAAAATGTTCGACACCGATAACCGGGACTTCGTCAGTAAGCATCTTATACAAAATGAATGTTATTATATTCGCTATGCGTTCTGTTCGCGAAGCGCCTATTGAAATCATCGCTGCAACTCGCATGACCAAATTTGCATGCTGTTACATTATATAATTGTCACTTTACATAAGTTAGTAGGTAGTTTATTACATAAGTTAGTAGGTAATTTATAGAAATTACCTGGTTTATTCCCAATCAGGTTCGCGTATCGTTTGATTGGGTTGTAGCTTAACACAACTGCTGTTAGCGCTTAAGAGTTAATACAATAAATACATTTTGCTTTTTTGGTTTATTGTTTATTTGGTTGACTTGCTACTTTGTACGGCACACGCGAGCCGTGCGAGCTCATTGCCTTATCACGTGCTCAGCGGTGAAGGATATCATCGTGTGGAAATTTCGATATAATATGTAAAAATAATCAGCAGTGAGTCCTGATATCCTCTGTACAGAGGAGGCCTTTGCCCAGCATTGGGACATGTATAGGCTGGTATTTTACTTTTACTTTTTTTATTATCGCTTAATCTGTCGGATTCAATATTCTATCTACAGATCGATTTGGCTATTAATTGTAAGTAGCGATTTATTTGACATTCGCTCCAGAATACTTAGGCCAAAATTCTATCTCCAGTCATCAAATATATCTGTAGATTGAATATTGAAACCGGCCGTATATGAACGTAGATATGTTGCTACTACATTTTCCCTCCGATCGCCGAACTCCCACCCACGAACTTCTTCTTCCAAAGAACTCCTACGGCACGCGTTGTACGAGGAGATACCGGTGCCGAAGGAGGACCTGCCGCCGGAGAAGCAAGTCCCCCTGGTGCCAGCGTACGAAAGGTACGCGGCAGTCAGCAAGACGGCGCGCGAGGTGCGCCGAGAGCGCTACGAGGCGAAAATGCAAAAGCTGGTAAGATAACGATTTAAACGTAACTGACCAGCGCTTGACTGCCATCCCATCTGATCATAAGATGCAGCCGTTGACGGTGAGCGCGCTAGCTCAGTAAAGACCTATTCACTCTTGCCTCGAAGACGCCTGCCTTACAATCGGACAGAAAGACAGACGCCGGCACGTTGTCTGATGATGATTCCCTGTCAAAGTCTTCGCAGAACTCAATGAAGGTGAATCTTTAGTACGAAGCAGAAGTTTAGTACAAAACACTGATAGATAATGTTATAGTCCACTAAAAATTAAAACACTCACCTCGCAGATACACAACTCAATCGAATCTTAGTTCTATGAAGTGGAAGTGTTATACTTCTGCGTCTGGTGAGTGAAGTAGCCGGGGCCCACTTTATTATAAAAGTGGCAACGCGGGCAACTTATGGGACTTGCAAATGTCCATGAGCGGCGGTTATCACTTAACATCAGGTGAACCGTTAGCTCGCTTGTCACCGTCAGCTCGCTTGTCACCGTCTTACATTGAATGACCATTGGGGCTGAGTAGTTTCCTCGCACTTTTAATAATTATCTTGATAATACAATTCACTTTGAACGTGAAGGCGAAGCGCGAAAGTGTAAATGCTGATCTTCAATAATACCGAGGCACTTCCCTAGAAGAGCCTGGCCATTCGTGAAACAGCATAAGCTGCTGCTTGGCACGATATGTCAGCAATTTTGATTTATGTAAAATCGGTTTCTTTAGCTAATTGAAGGCAGTCAACTTCCATACTCAGTCCGATTATCTTTTTTAGGGTTCCTTACACAAAGGGTAAAACGGAACCCTATTACTAAGACTCCGCTGTCTTTCTGTCTGTCCGTTTTTGTCATCAGGCTGTATCTCATGAACCGTGTCAGTAAGACAGTTGAAATTGTCACGGATGATGTATTTCTGTTGTCGCTATAATACAAATACTAAAAACCAGAAAAAAAATATTTTAGTTGGACTCCTATATAACAGACACGATTTTTTTCAGACGAAAGATAATGGATAATGTACGGACCCTTCGTCCGAGTCCGACTCGCACTTGGCCGGTTTTTTTAACATTGTGTGTCGGAACCACAGAGCGCTACCCTTACAGTTAGTTGATTAATTCTAAGATTGTTGTTACAGCGACAAGAGAAAGAAGAACAAGAACGATTGGCAGCGGAGCAAGCGCGTTTGGCGCGCGAGGCGGAGGAGGAACGGCTGCTGAAAGAGAAGCAGCGGCAGGAAGAAGAACGAATGGCGAGGATACAAGCGGGAGTAAGACGTTTTCCTGTGTTATTTTCTTGTGAGAAGGTGGCAAGTGAGGTGAGGTTCACGTCGAGCCCCACCCATGAACGAAAGGTGTTGCAGATGGCACGCATCTCGATATTTTAATAATTATCTTTTTCTACTTAATAACCTAAGCATTGTCATTTTCTTAGAAAAACATTGTTTTTAAAATAAAATAACAGTGTATTACGAGTATGTCCCACTGTATGGTGGTGGGAGGAATTAAAATTTTTATCTGCACTTTACACTCATTCCTTATTGATATCCTTATATAAATACAGTTTCCGATTTATTCACCTATCAAATACCGGTTAAATATACCTACCGGTCAAATATGCAAGTTATTGACTTAGTCAATAACGTAAGAACGTAACGTAAGTTCGTAAGAAAATTTACAACATGAAGAAAATTGAGTTACACGCGGTAATATAGTTTTTAATGTGCTAGGATAACCTCCTCCGGCTAATTTGGAAAATATTATTTGAGTTTTATTCTTTAACCTCCATTCCATGAATTCTGACCTACCTTCGTAGTAGTAATAAATGTGTGTAACAATGTTTTTCGTACGAGAAAACTCCAAAGGCGGTTTTACTCTATATTTATTCGTGCACATAATTATTTTCCAAAAACTTTCTATTGCCATTCATGAGTGGATAATAATGGATCAAAGTCATTACTTTGTTGTATCGACTAATTTATGTACTGAATTTTCCTCCGCAGTTACCTGCAGATCCAGAACCGGAGCCGGCTGATGAAGAGGCCACCGGAGAAGAGGGTGTAGGAGAAGAGGGTGTCGGAGAAGAAGGGGTTGAAAATCAGGAGCTCAAGGAGGAAAAAGAAACAGAGGTAGTAGTACGCTTAATCCTTTTCATAAAATATATTAAGGGTCCTATAAACGTTCAGCAAGCATAAATAAATTGAACTTCCTCCGAGTAGTGACAAAGGATATTATCACATAGTGTTTTGTGTGAGAAAGTGGCAAAAGAGCTGGCGGTTCATCTGACGTTAAGTGATAACCGCCACCCGCTACTTACCCGGACGGACCTATCACCTACCCATTAGTGTAACAGCGGACACTGCTGCGTAGCACTACAACAGTCTTAGTGATTCGTAAAGTAATTATATGTGGTTTTTATAGCTTGACAAACTGGTGCCCGGTGCGCCTTGCTTCACCTAGAACGTCGTCGGAGTAGTCACGTCGCCATTTATATATGCGCTAAGTTTCATATCAATTGGGCTTACGGTTCTCGAGTTTTAGATCAACATACATACACATTCTCTTTTATTTATACATAATAAAAATATATAGATATGAAAGATTTTTAAATCCTTCCGTTGGCACTTTGAACATGAAATATTTCATTCCAGGCAGCAGGAGATTTGGAAGAGGTGGAGGAGGCGGAAGAAGAATTTCACTCCGATATATCAGTGGAAGACGAAGAGTACATACCACCTGGCGGACTTTTTGTCCCCGGACTCTATTCGCCGCCAAACGACCTAGCTAAAGCGAACGGGCTAGCTTTCTTCTTCCCAAAAGTACATATTTTTAGCATTCATCTGTTTTAGAATTCATCTAGCTTTCATTAGGCCAGGTTGTTTAAAAAAGGTTAAAAATTAAGAAGATGTAAAGCATATCCATACATCATACTAGTATATTACATTTTCGATTTTACCTTATTTAGAGCTTATTTTATTTAGAGCCGTGATAGCTCAGTGTCCGGGCGCTCACCTTAAATTCAAATTACTCGAGCCACCTGAGCTCGATCCCCGGTGCAATCACCAATGAAATTGTTAGTTTTAAGTGCTGAATTATCACGTGCTCAGCGTTAAAGGAAAACATCGTAAGGAAACCATTATATTTTCGTAATAACAACAAAAAATATATATGTTTTGAAAATATGTAAAGTCCGCAAATTCGCAGTGGGGTCGCGTGGTGGACTATGCCCTAATACCCTCTGTACTGAGGAGGCCTTTGCCCAGCAGTGGGACATTTATAGGCTGTTACTTTACTTTTATTTTATCTTACCCTGTCTTCAGCGTTCAGGCTTGAACCTCGAACAAGCGCTCACGCTAAATTTGGATTCATATGATTAGTGTTGCTCATGGATGGCATATTCGGCAGGTCATCGAAGCGATAACTCCGTTGGAGTCGGAGCATCTGCCGCCGCACGTGTTGGTGATGTTCAACGTGGACAAACGTCACGAAGTGCGCGACGCGATGCAGCAGTTCCCGAACGACATATTACAAGTTAGTCCAGTCACGCTATAACGGTGCTCGCTTGCATTAGCTTCCAGCGACGATTGCTGATATCTTGTGTTATGTTGTTAGAGGCCACCAGTGTAGCGAGTGATTGATCAATAGAGAGACTTTTTTGTAATGTTTAGCACATCCGACAATGTTCTCGACGAAGTCATTCTTTACTACCCGAGAAACGGGGAAAAAATGACTTTGTCGAGTTTTACGGTGGTAGGGCCACGCAGCAGCCTCGGCTGTTGCACGAATGGGCAGGCTCGTCGTGGTAAATACCACGACCTCACAGAAGACCGGCGTAAAGTGGAAGTATGGCAAATACTTTCGCGTTTCGTCTGCTGAGTGAGGTGGCCGGAGCCCAATTTCCTAAAGGTTGTCAATGCATCTGGAACCCTCGGCTGTAGCAGATGTCCATGGGCGGCGGTATTCACTTAAAATCAGGTGAACCGTCTGCTCGTTTGGCAACTTCTCACATAAACGCTTGCTACGAATCAGCATACCCGCTCAAGTAGAAGCAGTATGCGTTTACTCAAATTTTGTGGGTCTTTGGCGCCGCAACATTTTCACATTTAACGAGTAAACAATGTGACAATTTCGCGGCCGATGCATAAATGTTCCTATTCTCACGGCCACTCGCATTCGATATTGGTAATGGGCATTTATCGCGTTTGGAAAAGTAATTTATATATAGACAAATACGATCGTTCAATCTAGTATCCACATTACAAACTCAAAAAGATTCTGATACAATGCTAATTATACCTGTTATGTTATTCGATGCATCATATTTTATTCTTGAATAAAATATTTCAGGACATAAGACATTTTTAGGGTTCCGTACTCAAAGGGTAAAATGGGACGCTATTACAACGCTCCGCTGTCTGTCTGTCCGTCTGTCACCAAGCTGTGTCTCATGAACCGATAGTTAGTTGAAATTTTTACAGATGTTTATTTCTGTTGCCGCTGTTACAACAAATACTATAAAACAGAATGCCGTTTATATAGGTGATGGTACGGAACGCTTCGTGCGCGAGTCCGACTCGCACTTAGCCGATATTTTACACAACATTCTCAAGTCTCAAACTAAGCAAAACTTGTACTACGGGTAGTAGATAACCGATATACATGTTTTTAAAAGATATATGGAAAGGATTTTTTATAGAAAGGAAAATGAGAAGCTTAATTGGCTCACTTCAGTGTGATCTCTTTGTTAAGGTTGTTGGACTATTTAATACTCGTTTATCACTGTCAATTAAAAAAAACATGTGAGATCATAACCATCTTACAAGTACTTTCAGTCGGGGATATTCATGGGCGACAATCCATTTGCGGCGGAGCACGTCGCTTACACGGTCAAGCAGTACGACAAGATGACCCGCATACGAAAACAGTAAGTTATGCAAAGTTTACGCTACTTCTGGTTTACTTTTGCTTTAAGAGGAACCCCTTGGCGCATGCAAGTCCTTTATAATTTGCTAATATGCTACAAATTTTAACGATAAAACATATTGCAAGTAATGTCTTTAACCAACAAACGTTGCATATTCAAATGCATTTAAAGTTCGCATTTAAAATTGACTCAAATTTAGTTTAGCCGTTCAATCTCTTTAGGTAATTTTATTCCGAACCAGTCTATGAGTAAACGGTGCGTATGTATCTTCACCCAGTCAGAAAATAGCTACCGATCGAGCCGAGGTCCGGCCCTCTCGGGCACCCTCGAATCGGAATGCTAAACGCGTGCTGAGTGACAGCCCAAGCCGAGGTCCGCTCTCGGGGACCCTTGAGCCTGATCACTCCATGGAGCGCCCGCCAAAGCGCCCTAAGAGCTTGGCGGCCTCCCAAACCGGTAACAATAATAGCGTGACGGCCCGAGCCGAGGCTCCCCCGGGAGCCCTCGAGCTTAGTCACCATAACGCGTAATAATAGTACGCCGAGGTTCAGGCTAGGCGCCTCGTGCGCCAGGCCACCTCAAGTCCGTCGGATCTGTAAAGGCCCCTAAGGCCAACAGTGGCTCATCCAGAACAAAAAAAAAAAATGTATCTTCTATTCTTTTACATACCTTGCAATTTTGTGACACTTTCCGTGTCTGTTTAAGCACTTCTTATTAATAACTATCGTTTTGTAGTCGTAGTTCAAAAAGACTTGTCAAAAGTAAGCAAAAAAAGGCATGTCTTGTGAAACGTTTCGTTGATTTCATATAATTTTAATTACGATTCGGCTGGGCAGCAAAAGTAAGGAAATGTTTAAGCTGGTTTTACTGTATCATTTGGTCTAAATGATGAATTAGTCGTCTTGTTTCTTTTCTCGGATTGTAGCAGTACATGTAATTTGCTGTTATTACTAAGCCATGCCACGATAAAACTCAATAGGTATTTGATTGCCAGCTGCCTAGCCACATCATTAGTTATTTGAACGATGTTTTCTTTGTTTATGGATAAAACCAATTTTATACTATTATATTTTATAATAAAATAATCAATTTATTTATTCTCCAAGCTGAAAGTAATGCCCGGCTCAAACTGGCCTCGATATGATTCGATATACCTAGATTAGAGCTGTGGCTTTAATGGATACTTCAACGTGTGCTTGCACCGGTTTTACCTATTTCGAAGTAGTACGCATCAGCTAACAAATATTTATACCATTAACGTAAACTACACTATGTGGTAAACATGTCTTCCGGAATAGGAACGATTTCCAATACTCTCTGTGTAGGTAAACAAATTTTGGTTCTATAAAAGCGGATTAGTTTCATCTAATATAATTATTAATAAATACTTTTTGTTCTGATCAGTTTGTAGCATTTTTATTTTATTAGAGTAGGTATATCCCTCATCAATTCAGGTTCTTGAGCAATTTCTATTGAATCCAATCTCGAACTGTTCTTCTGCAGTCAAGTTTTATTTCGTCCTGCCTTTTTCTCATATGTTGCCGCCGATCGTACGACTTGTCTCTCTACATTTGTGTCGCTTAATCCTGGTCGGAATATCCATCACTTTTGTTTTGTCTCTCAGCTAGTTTTTCATTTGTTATTCGATCCATTTGCTTCCGATACCTTTCATGTTCATGGCTCTTTGGCAAATATCTGCTTGACTATACAATGTTGCTTTATTTTCAATGTAGTTCTGTATGTACCTACGTACTGTATTGAAATTTCGTAAATTAACGCTTCTCTTCTAAACGTCGATACTTAAGCTTATATTAAATGGACGCGATACAATACGTCAAAATATGTTCACTCAAGAACATCAATTAAGAGACATCAAGAGTAATTTTACGGTGCTTATGTTAATAGTAATCATGATAATCATTTAACACAAGTTGCTATATTTCTACCAGTCATAGAAGACCGACGTCCAAAAATGTTATAATCGCATTGGCAATAAAGTAGACAAAGCAAGCATCAGACGGGTCTTGATTTTCTCGGTGAAAACTTCGCAACATCAGATGGACCGACACATAGTTTGCAACGTATGTAATGGGCATGTGATGTGTGGAATTTCAACGAAAACATTCAGCAAGGACCGGCTCGCGCTGATGGTGTCGCGGCGGCGTAGCGTGGCTCTGCTGACCCTCGCCGGCCTGAACCCCTGCTACATTAGCAGCGACACCTCCTCCGGCGAGAGGGACTGCCTCGCGCTCTTCCCCGTGGGCTACGGCGACGACTACGTCGAGGAGGAGAGCGTCGCCGAGGAGGAGGTAGTCTTCGAACTTTGAATTTTTGTATGTGAAAAGTTGCCAAGCGAGTAGCCGGTTCACGCCTAAACCTCTACAAGAAGCAAATTCGGCCCCTCATGGACTACTTCTCGTCTCTCGGCGGGAGCCCCCCATTACCGGCTTCTTCGATTTGACCGCATTCAACGTAGGGTGGCTAGGGTTAACGACGGCCAAATTCTTTCCGATCGGCTTGATCCTTTGACTCTGCGTAGCGATGTTCGATCACACTGCATCTTCAACCGCATTTATCGCGTGGAGTGTTCCGAAGAATTGTTTGGATTGATCCCGGCGGCTGAAGTTCACCATCGGACATCATGCCAAAAGAAAAATTTCATCCACACCATCTCGATGTCCAGCGTTCCATAACAGCGCGTTGTTCTCAAGGCATTTCCTGCCTCGCACAACCACTCTGCGGAACCATCTGCCGCCGGCGGTCTTTCTTACGACCTGGGAACCTTCAAGAAGAGAGAATACTCTCCTTAAAGGCCGGCAACGCATTTGTAACGTTTTTGGTGTTTCAGGCGTTCATGGGCGGCGGTATTCACTTACAATCAGCCTCCTTTTCTCCATTAAAAAAATGTTAAGTGGCCGCCCGTGGACATCTGCTACACCCGAGTGTTGCAGATGCGTCGACAACCGTTTGAATATTGGGCTCCGGCTACCCCACCCACCAGAAGAAACGCGAAAGTATTTATTATACTTCCACTTCACACCGGTCTGCTTCGAGGTCGTGGTACTTACCCGGGTGAGCCTGCCCATTCATGCAACAGCCGAGGCTGCTGCGTGGCCATAAAAGTTACAAACTTAGGTGTTAGGTGGCTGTTTCACGAATGCGTATGTTCCTCCGGGGAATTACCACGGGCTTGAAGGATATTACAAAGGAGGCCTTTGCCCAGCAGTGAGACATACATAATTATAGATGGTGCCGTATTCATACATATATATTAGATTACTGATTTATCACGAGATCTTAGTAGTCAACATTTGATGTTGCGTCTACCTGACCTGGGCATGTAGCAAACAGTATTTCGTGCTTATGTTAACAAAACTTTTAGTATATAAGCATATTATTCCATACTATGAAATGGCAATTATACTAAATTAATAGCTTAACTCTTCTTTACAGGAAATTATTCCAGAGGCCCAGGTCGAACCTAAGGTATTAACATAGCTTTTTAAATTTCTACAATACCAATAATTCGCGTTTACTTCATACGTTTGGTAATTTCCGTTTTGTAATAGTGCTTGAAGTAAACAAGGAAAATCCATTTAGATGATTAATAATCTGAATCAGTTTTTTCCTTGTTAATTATTTAATTTTGTTAAATGTTTTTTTTTTAATCAGAATGTAATAAGAGTAGTTTGTATGGAAGAAGTAAAATTTGTGATATTATATACAAATATATTTCAGGTTGAAGAGGAAGAACAAGGCGCTGAACAAATACCAGAATGAATAGGGACATTGTTTCTTTGAAATTTGTTTAAGCATTATTTTAATTTGTTTATTTTTAAATAAACTTCATGGAATTTATTTCAAATTATTCTTAGTACTGTTTTTATTGTCTTTCATATAAACATTAACTTAACGTTAAATCAAAAATAAAACCCACAAAATAATCAAGCGAGGATTTTTAATCACGTAAAAATACAATTAGGTATTATTAAAATAAAAATATAACAACTATTTCTCATAGGACTTTTTAGGAATGACTTGGGAATGTAAACTTAATGTATTAAAAATAATACTTTGATATATTATATTATTAAGGTTTTTTTTTTATTAAAAACAACATTAGCTTAGACGAAGAATGTACATCTGTAAACTGAAGGTAAAATCGAATTTAACTTATATAAAGGAAGTCCTAACCAAACTTTTGCTGTAAAAGAAGATAAGTACAGATTATGTAGAAGGTAAAATTAAAAACAAATATATTTAAAGTAATAAAATAACAACAATACATTCATTTTGATTGAAATCGGTACATTTAAACAAAAAGAAGTTAAAAAACTTATTAAAATATTTTTACAATCTAGGTAAAATAGCATTACTTTACTTACACATAATAGCAACTGTTACAAATTGATCACTTATATTAACTAATTGGCTTAATATTAACAACACGAAATAAAAATTTTGCAATAAATTATTATGTAATAGACAAAATCTTTTGTCTATTACATATTACATATTTGTGAAATGCCTTATTTTGTTAAACGATCTTGGAGGCGCTTATGTACATTAAAAAAATATATAAAGGGCATAATTAACAACTGCTAGAATCCATATACAAACATTTTTCCGAAGTAAACATTATTTATGATAACATTCTCAGCTTAGATTCGTTAAGTTTCTGGACTTTATTGTCACATTGTTTTCGTCAAGTTCCGTCGTTTACGAAACAAAAATCTCTCTTCATATATCGCTAATTTTAGTTACTGTAGTTTATAAAAACCATACAACGAGGCGTACTAAGTTTAAGCTTTACACGCCATTTATTTAATTAATTTAAATTATCTGTGCTAATATGGCTGCAGGATATTTAAAACTTTTAAAATATAAACATACGTACAAATTCCTTGCGTATAAAGTTGTAACCTCAACTATTAATACAATAAAATACGTAAAAAGTTTTAATGAGCAAGAGTTGCAATTGAGCTCACAGAAAATTCATTCAAATCAATATCCATTGACAATTCAATTGAATGAATAATATCGTTTAAATATAAAGGTCATTATGGCGCGAAATAGCTTCCACACAATAATAGCTAATAATTTAGGCTTAAAAAACGAAGCCTTACGCCCGGTTTCTGAAACACTTTAAATCTGAAACACTTCGTCAAATGGCTTGTCAAACATTGACAGCTGATTAGTTGATTTCTAAGATGATCATTGTTTCAAAAACCGGGCGTATTCTTTGACAATTTGCGCCTCACATAACCTCAAGTTATTATGACTACTGCCAAATCCTAAATTACATTTTATTTTTAGGTGAGATCTTTCATATATTATGAAATGATGAATATCACGGTTATTTTGCAGCGTGTCCATATTCCTCTCATTTTTATTGACTTTTTTATTCCAGACGTTTTTATTGACATCTTATGACATATCCTTAGGATGAACCCTAAGGATATGTCACAAGACGAAAAAAAATCAATAATATATGTAATTCTTACGAAGGCGTCAAGGCAAAATTCGAAGTCGGCGATTGACCTTTGTTACTTACTTAGTACTTAAACGAATTACTTGTACTTTTTTAAATCTTAAGGGTATTAGGAACAACCTCCTTTCTTCATTATGAGTAGGCATTTACAGGTATCAACTTTTAGTGCAGACGCGAACATAGAAGCCTCTATCATGGTGCGTATTTATTCTTTTTCATTTACGAATTTATAGGATTGTATAAACTAATGTACAATTTGGTTAAAAATACTTTTGGACATATAGTAACAAGATAGGTTCCTATAAGGTTTTATATCGAAATTCGTAATCTATCCGCGCAGTACACCGTCATATCTAAAGTGGTTTATAATTAAACGATAAACTCTCGAACGATAGAATATGGCGAATGCATAAAAATACTTGATTACACTGATAACCACCGTAGTAGATTCGCATATCGAAACATACAATTAGCGAACACGCATCTCGCAGTTTAAATTGAATATATTTATCCTAAAGAAAAAAGAGCCAAGCTGTCTATAACAATGCATGTTACGTGAACAATTCCACGAAACAGTTCTTTAATTCGTTCGTCGTGTGATAAAAACGTGAAGTAAAATAATAAATAAACAATGAATGCGGTTCGATAAAGGCGGCGCATTTAAAACGTTATCACCGAAGCCGATTATAATTGAAATGATTATTTAAACGACTTAATGTTTTCCGTTTTAAAGTAAGCAACATCATGTAAATTTTAAAAAGCATGTTATCATACGAAGCTAACCAAACTTATTTTATCATAATAACTTCTTTTACTTACTGGAATTGAGAAGACTATTCTGGTCAATTCAGAGAGTTTAACCATCCTTTTGGCAACTAAAATGACATTTGAAAAAACCATTTGACAGCTGATTAGTCAACATCTACGATGATCAGTGTTTCAGAAACCGGGCGTAAGACTTGTAAAGGTCAACTAGTTAAGTTGCATTTTGAATGTACACGGCCGGCGGTGATCTGTCGCCACCGTTTACTCTTATTTTTGATAAGCACAAAAGCCGCAGTCCAACGTTCGCCTTGACGCCTTTCACATGTTTGGGTTTAAGATGTCAACTGTATACAAGGCCCTGGTCGACCCCACACGCGATTGGGTTTGCGATGTGCACTGTATACAAGGCCAAGGTCGACCCTACGCGCGATTGGGTTTGCGATGTGAACTACAAGACAATCGTCTACCTTCCGTGCGATTGGGTTGGAGATGTCAAGTGTATACACGCAATGGCCTACCTTTCACGTGTTTGGATTTGAGATGTCATCTGTATACACGTAATGGTCTACCTTTCATGCGATTGGGTTTGAGATGATAAGTGTATACACGAAATGGTCTATCTTTATCGCGATTGTATTTGAGATGTGAACTGTATACAAGACAATGGTCTACTTTTCAGGCGATTGAATTTAAGATGTCAACTGTAAACAAAGCAATGGTATACCTTTCACGCGCTTTGGTTTAAGATGTCAACTCTATACAAGGCAATGGTCTACGGCAGCCCGTGGAAGTCGAACTCCGTGTACAGCTGTTGCACGCGCTGGTAGACTTCGTCGCAGGACCGCAGCGTCTGCGGGAGCACTGCCATCGCGTCCTTCAGACTCTCCTCGGAGCCGAAGATCTGGAACGGCGGTGAGTTACAGTGGTACGGGCACAGCGAAATGAGCACCGTGTGTCACAGTCGAGTATGGCAGACTTTTTCTTAATAATCATATGGCCAGCACGTTGTCACTTCGACTTACAAACCTGATCGAGTTGACTAGGTAGATCGACATCGCAAGTGGCGTGCAAAAGGTGAATGCAAATAGAGTGTCGTTCATTATGGCTCTAAGGGAGGCTATTGTTCAATTGTGGACGTCTTCCGGCTAATGATGATGATTTTAATATATTTCTGATTGTATATGATTGTCTGTCTTTCTGTCCGCCTATCGACAATCGGCAATCTTAAACAAATTATGTCGGTATATCTGTTTATACATTTTATGCAAATTCTGCAGAATCACATACTTAATTTCCTACTTCATTTCAGTTGTTTAAATGGAGTTACTTCAATTTTAATTTCGAGAGAATTACAAATATAAATTCTCATTACAATCTATATTTAAACAAATAAATAAATTATGCTTTCTTTAATTTTGGTAGGGCCACGCATTATCCTTCGCTGTTTGTGCGAATGGGCTGGCGGCTCTTTCGGGGAAATAAGACTGCCTCAGAAAACCAGCGTGTGACGCTTCTGCATAGGCATGTACCGTCCTTCAACTTTCGTTATAAAATGTAGTCGGTTACTGAAATATTACTGAAAGCTATAACGAGCCGTGATAGCTCAGTGTCCGGGCGCTCGCCTTTAATTCAATATATACTCGAGCAACTTGAGTTCGATCCCCGGTGCCGGCACCAATGAAGTTTTTAACTTTAAGTGCTGACTTATCACGTGCTCCGCGGTGAAGAAAAACATCGTGAGGAAACCTGCATATTTTCGAAATAATAACAAATAAATGTTCGAAAATATGTGAAGTCCGCCAATCCGCAGTGGGGCCGCGTGGTGGACTATGCCTTGATACCCTCTGTATAGAGGAGGCCTTTGCCCAGCAGTGGGACATGTATAGGCTGTTACTTTACTTACTGAAATAATCTATTCAAAGGTGTTTGGTTAGATGCGCGCGACAAGAACGGGTTCGAGGAAAACAAAAGAGAGACGATGTTCACTATAAATTGTCTTCGGCACACACACTTCCTCCAAACTGTAACAGTTGTATTGTAGTGCTTCGTGCGACAGAGACAGCGCTCTACGAAACCGAAATCAGTGTCTCTTACCAAAGGTCGATGTGCAGTAATTGTAATTTTCGCAGAGTGCTGTAGTTAAAAAACCAAAGTATTAAATGGCTTTTTTAAAAGAGACAAGCATTCCGTAACCAAACAAAACGCAAAATTTATGTACTTCTTTTTACATTACTCTGAGGCCGCGGCACCAGAGTCCAGACTCACCAGAAACTTCTGCGGTTGAATGACTGAACGAGTTTAACATGGAGAAATAGGAACCCATTATATAGTATGCCTAATCATTCTAGCAAGTCTAAAACATAAGTTATCATATGTTCCAATAAGTTGGTCTAACAAGCCATCGAGTTTTCGAGCATCTCTTATGGAGCTAAATCGGTCCCAAAAGAGACAGGCTGCGTGCGAACATTGTCGCTTATCCAAATTCAATTCACTTAGCACGGAGCCCCAGCCACTAAGTAATCGCTGACTCGTTGTTGAGCTATATGTGGGTTTTCACAAAGCCTTTGTACCGCGCACAATGCGAATAAATATTCACATAAAACAAATGCGACAGTGAAACAATGCCGCGTGCTCGCTAACACAAAGTCAATCGATAGGTTAAAAATGATAACTTTCTTTTATTTTAGGTGACAAAGTGGCAAACGAGCTGGCGGTTCACCTGATGTTAAGTGATAACCGCCGCCCGTGGACATTTGCAACGCCTGTGCAGACTGCGGATGCATAGCCACCTTTTGACATTAAGTGGCCCCTCTTTAGTCCAAATATTTGATGCTAATTATTGTGAACCTTGAAACTGGGAAACGTTAAACGAAACTAATATCGTCGGTTAATTATATAACAAGGTTGGTAAGGCTTCTGCCGTATAAACTATTAGCGTGTTAGCAAGTCGGAAGCAGAAAGTACATATAGATTCGAGTAAGTGCGGTAGGTATAACTACGAGACTGTAGGAAATACGTAATAACAGTTAAAATATCTTGGCCCAGACCTAAGAGAAAAATAAAATGTTAATGTTAAAAATTTTGAGAAAGGAATGTTGTGATGTTTTGGAATTTGTTAATTTCTAAAAAAGAGCATTTTAATAGATCTTGTATCTTGTATTAACTGATGTTTTTTGCTTTCAGTCGCGAGACTATTAAAGCTTCATCTGATGCAGAACCGGTGGGTAGCCAGAACCCACGGGTTTGGGCCCTCCATTGTGGGTAGGTTTTAATAGATATGAGTACAGATGTTATATGAACTTATTTGAAAAGTCGTACAGGTGTACTCAGGTGTACTCAGAAGAACATTCCGTCAGCAAATAGCATGTCGAAGAAAGCAGATCCTACTGTATTAGTGAAAGAGATGTCAGTATAAAGTAGTGACATCACTATTGTCAGTCTTCCCTCACAAGAAGGCTAAATGTATGTGAAGGAAATATGTTGCAGCATGTATTTTTGCAATAATCTAACTTGGACAATGCTTAATTTACAATTAAATTTTACACTTAAATTAATTTCTGGATATTGAACTGTGTATTATAAGTATGAATGCTTTAAAAATAGAATGTCTGAAAAATAATAATTATTATCAGTAAATCCACATAGCATGGGTTGAAAAAACTGTTACTGATGCTAGTATATAAATGTCACAAATAATTTTCGATTATTTTAGTTGAGTAGTAGAGTTCTCTAACAGTCTACTTTTTATTTTCTTTCAGTAATAAAAAAAAAACGTGTCATTTTGCAATATGTGATATTATTGAAATCTTTTCTTAAATGAAATCCATTTATACTATCAGCTCTATACATCTTTGTAATAACATAAATATTCATAAATTTTTATCATGTAGGCTTAAAGGCAGTTATATAACGGTAAAATAGAGCAATGATAATGACACAAATGATAATTACAAAAGGCCAAGCAAAGAATGATTATTCATATACATTTAAGTATGAAAAATTGTATTTGTTTTTGCAGAAAAGACAAATGTAATATAATTTGAGACTAACACTGAAACTTTTTTGAAATAATACAGGTACAAGGCATTACAGTTTGGACTGGTTATTGATTATATTACTAAAATTATAACTGACCTTTTTCAGCAAATCCGGTCTAGATGGTAATGCATGCATGGCTAATGTTGCTGCCTTTCTAATGTACCAAGGATGGTATTCTGCCAGAGTTTCATTATAAGAGCACTGGCATGTTGTACATGTATTTACTGCATCATCAGACTCACTTAGGCGCTTCAGAAACAATCTTATGAAGTCTGCAAAGTGGCCAATTCAAGAATTACTCAAAGTAGACTTTTCTAAAGCAATTATGTCAGCTGACAGGACAATATATTAATTAAATTATTTAATTTTTAGACAAAAAACAGTTATAAAATCTAATTTAGCTACTGTATAAGGTAGATTAAAATATAGGATTAAAATATTACAAAAGATTATTAAAAAATACCAATTTTTTCTATTTCCATACCTAAGCCCCTATGCAATCGTAGCATAGTTCTAGATCCTGAAACAAATCCATTCTTTTCGTGTAAAGTGGTTTCTTTTTCGTACTTCATCATCTTCTTAAAGGATTCATAGTAAATGGCATCATCACCCTCCCTATGCTTCTCCATTACTTTAATCTTACTCTTCACATCACTACTCACGAAAGAGAACACTGACCCGATCAGGTTTAAGAACCTAAACAATTTAAATATATATCAAATAAGGAACATATGGATCACATATTGCAATATTTTATCTCCTCACTTTACTAGCTCATTGTATCCATCTATATATGCCTCTATTATTACATCGTCTTCTTCTTTAAGACTCCTTTGAAAACTTTGATGAACATAATGCAAATCTAAGTTATTTTCATTAGACATTTCTTTTAAAAACTATAATACAAATTAACTAAATAAACTATAGTAGACCTCCTGACGCTCTTACTTTGAAACTGACGTTGACGTCTGACCAGACTTGGATCTGAATTCTGAAACTGAAACTCAAGAAATAAGAACAAGATGACGTGACGTTTCTTTCGTGTATTAAGATAAATATTATAAATTGTTAGTATTAAATAATAATAACAATTAAATAATAATATTAATGTAAAAGAACTTATTTTTTTCTTATTGAAGCTTTTATGTTTGGATTAATAAAAGGAAATAATAGCTCTACTTCACTATGAATATGAAACATGCAATATAAATGTCCTGTGCTAAATACATTAACGCCCGGTTTCTAAAATAATGATCGTCGTAGAAATTAACTAATCAGCTTCCAAATGGCCTTAAAAATTTCATTTGAGTTGCCAAAAGAATGGTTAAACTCTCTGAATTGGTCAGAATGATCATGTTAACGATCAGAAACAGAATGATCTACGATGATCAGCGTTTCAGAAACCGGGCGTCAATTTCGTATTCTACTTAGATCGATGTCGAATCAAGCAATAGAAGCAAAAAATTAACGTTAGTCTCGTTTCTTTTCAAATTAAAAAGATAGATTTATATTTCTTTATCTAAGCTTAAATTCTATCTCATCTAAAAATAAATCCTATATAATATATTTAACCAAACTAGAGGGCTGTTTTTGAGACCATGTAACTTTTTATGTCGATTTATTTGTAATGATATGCAGGCTAAACGGCTTGACGGAATAACATCGAATATAGGAGAAATGTTATACGTGGCTCATACTTATTTTTCCACTTGTCAAATGAATCGAGCCTTAATTGACTTGCTTGGTAGAATCATCAAGCTATCCTTGATGGAGGCATTATATTAAAAATTGAATTGAATTGACTTGCTGAAGCATACATCAATTTGGTTGCAATTCGAATGTTATATTGATAGTTAGTAGCATCACTAAAGTCGACTACGTATAGATAGTTAGATGTAAGGAGAACAGTCTCTGTGTATGAAACGCGTTGAATAGTGTTAATTTGGTGGCGCTATGGTAGCAGGTTGGTACTAGGTAGTGGTGTTGAATTAATATTTTATTACGATTCACTCGGCTAGTTAGGTCAAACATTACATCATTGCTAAGTAAGTTAGCGCCATTCTGGTGCGTTTTGATATGTTATGTACTATTTATCGTTGGTCATTTATACCACTTATGTGGCTATAAGAGCATCCGCCTTATAGCCTACACTCCATACGTTAAAAAAAAATATTATCTGACATCTGTGCTAATCTCGTACATCACTTTTCTTTCTTTCACTGTCAATGTCAATCTGCTTGAGGGTGGAAGTTGATGTTTTTTTGCTGTTTATTGCACAATTTTGTTGTTATTAACTTGAACTTGATGTAAAGATCAGTATTGCGAACATTCGAATTGGCGTATACCACTCAAATTAATAGGTAAGTGATATTAATTGCCAAATATTACTAGTGCGTTATTTTTAGTGTAGTTACGCAAATTATAAACATTTGAATACCATCATAAAATGATGAGTGAAATAAATAGAAATAAAGTGAATGATATTAATTTGCATTTTTTGGGTCATATTAAGCCTTCTTAATCAATACTTTAGTATGTGTACGGTAGTATTATAATTTTAACAGAAATTGTATGTTAACGAAAGATGTGGTAAGAAGTATTAGTGAATAATCAAAATTCAGTTATATAGGGAGTTTTGGCTAATATTCCGAATAGTACGTCTCGTTTTTCAAGCTAGAAAAAAATTTTAATCTATAGAGAAATGTTAATAACTAAATATTATATAAGTTATAATCAATGAAAACCACTAGATTATGAGGAAAAAATTAACAAAGTTATTAAATTTCATACAACTGAAATCCGTCATTACTGTGCGTCCATTATTCATTATAGACTATTATTTTAAGTTAAAAACTTACGTTTTCACTTTTTACGTTGTAAGAAGACACAAATACACAGGTATATCACAAAAACACAAGTTTTTACTTCATGAACATGTATTTTTAAAATGTAATTTCTAAAATTTAAAATTTGTGACTTAGTGTACACTTAATGTCTCAAATATTAGGTTCAAAATGAGTCACAGATCCGACACAGAGCGATCCGACTCGGATCGAGGTTACGTTAGAAGGTTAAGCGGGAGCGAAGCTCCCGCCTTAGCCTTCTATGTTAGGTTTTTTTTTTTTATGACCACCCAGAAAACTTTAGTATAACAGTACTTTAAACATTTTTAAAGACTCTTTTTTTAATAATGCGAAGGTTATAATTTGGAAAAGTGAGTGAATTCTTAAATTTATACATGTTGTCAAACACAAAATGGTGGGTTTATTTAGTGAAAATAACAAGTTTTAAATATTTTTTATTATTAAAAGTAATTGTTTGCCTTGGTTTTCACGTATGTAATATTTAATTATTAACATTTCTCTATCGATTAAAATTTTTTTCTAGCTTGAAAAACGAGACGTACTGTTCGGAATATTTACCGGAGTTTTTTTTAATGGTATATTTTAATTACAGTATAAATGCCCAGTAATGGCAACTAAAGTGGATAACAATGAGGATGATTCATTTATCATCCTCGGCACATCACCTGGCACAAGCATGGATTTGAGATGTAATGGTGTTGAAAATGGAGATGGGCTGGACAAGGCACAAATGGAGGATGCTATGAGAGATCTTCCTGCTGACGCTTCTATGGCTTTTAAAGCACATTTTAATCTTGGAGATAATGTGAGTAAATAATATTTGTATATATTTATTTGAGTCACTAATGAATAGATTATATTAATCCATGGCCTCAGTAAAAATATATATCTATTTTTTATATTTTTATATTAGTGAAGCAAGCAAGTGGTTTCTCGTGTTAAGTGATTTCCATTACTACTGCCCACAGACATCTGCAACAGTGATATCAACATTGAAAAGAATCGGCCCTAGCTACAATTCACCAGACTCTGCACATTTTGCACTGTTGTATTTCACTAGATTAGCCCATGCATTCATACTACGGCAGAAGTTGTTGCAAGGTTTTATCACATAAATGATATGTTTATATGAAATCTATGTATATATGAAAACGAGAAGCAAAAACTACCCATTTTTACAAAAATTGCACGAACAGAGCAGTCTGAAATTACCCACACTTAAAGTTTAGTTAAAGAAGGAGTGTAGAATGCTAATATTTTTTAAAAATTATAAGCTTTTAATAGAGATCTTCATTTGTACTTTAGTGCATTAAATGATAGTTGTGTTGACAATTAGTATTCATCTTTATGATTATCATGCAGTGAAATATGCAATTACGAATTCCATATGAAGTATAATATGTGATAGTTATGAATTAATTTCATATATTGATTGTATGAAAAATCTGAAGTACCTAGTCACTTAAAGAGTCAGCTATACAGCGTGTCGTTATCACCGCGACAATAAATGAACACACATATAGAGGAAAACTTTTTAAAATTATATTAAACATTTACATTCTTTAAACATCAATATTTACCGACTTATTAAATTTTCCAAAACAAATAATTTTAGAACATACATATAAAACTGTAACGTAAAGTTCATTTGTAAAGGTCACAAAGCATATGAATGGGTTGAATGAATTTAAAAGAGACAAAACAAACTGTTAGAAGGAGAGGCTTGTAACGTGACGCTGTGGCGCGAGTTGTATAGGATGTTACAAATTATGTTTCTTTTTTACTTGATTAGTTTGTTGGAAAAATATTTTTTTTTAATTATGGATTTTGTTTAACGTTAATATTTTTTTATGATTATTGGCAAGTATCGTTAGACGTGTGTTCATTTATTGTCGCGATGGTAACGACACGCTGTATACATCCTGCCATTTGGGATGTTGTGACATTCAAACATTCATAAACAACTGCATAATTGTAATGCTGTTCTTAAGGAACCACTAAGTCCAAGGTTTTTAAGCATCAGGTTTTGAAATAGTCATAAGTTTCATATCAAAATTTGAGTTGATTTGTCTACTATTAGGAAATTTTTTAGTAAACTCTAATGACTTGCACTACACTAATTACGAATGTTTCTTTCATCTAGAGTGATATATGGACCACAAACATTGTCTAACTGAATCATACAATCACCGCATAACATGTGCCTCCTATATGTCCTGCACGTAGTTACGCGAAACCAGTGATGGCGTTTGCAGCTGTATTCTTCGGGCTGATAGCTCTATTACAGCTGGTCAAAGTTTGTGATGATTGTTTGTTTATAGCACAACTGAATGCATCTGCAACCCTATGGGTGTTGTAAATGTCCATGTGACACACTTCTTAATACTTCGTTGTTTTCGTTAGTGTTCAGACATGCTCAGTTGTTGTGGTATATACTTTTAGTTATGATCTGCTAATCAGATCCAAGAGAAAATCTGCTTAATTTCAATGTCAATAATCTTATCTATCTAAGGCAGACAGTGTCCTTTTAGTATCCATATAATACTAAGTTAACGCTGCGCCATATTTGAGCCGGAGTATAGTTGGCCTCTATTATCAAGCGCATTAATCGCTTAGCAAAACCCACTGCATTCTATTAGTGCTTCCTATGAACTAACTATTTTTCTATTATTAACTATAGTAAGTCATTACTTACTATCGACGAAATATAGTTTTTTGAATTAATTAAAATTGAAATTAAGATCAACACAAGTAATATCTCAATTAAATGTCAAGTCAATGATGAATAGCCTACATGGAGAAATCCCAAGACATTAAACTATCCTTACTTCCTTACTCCATACTTTATTTTACTTTACTTAATATACTTAATACTTAATACATTTAATTAATACTATTAATAATAATATAAACGCAAAAGTTTGTATGTATGTATGGATGCTTGTTGCTCTTTCACGCAAATACTACTGACTGGATTTTAATGAAACTTTACAATAATATAGCTTATACATCAGAATAACACAGGTTATAATTTATAAGACGTTGTATTAGTGTGTTAGTTAGTATAACTATCTTGCAATATTCAAGTTTCGTTTCATTGCAATCAGTTCACTCAAACAGAAGATTAACTGACTGACTGAAGATCCATTTTCCCCACGGCCAATTACGTGGTGTGCTCGCGGATCAGTAATGCGGACAATATATAAAAAATAACCACAGACAGACAAAACCTTGATTTGATGATATATAAGAATATATTTTCATGTATATATTTCTCTCTGTCTGAATGTCCCCTTCATCCTATTCTACGCAGAAGTAATAATGATAAAAAACCGACTCGGGCCACCTTCAGGCATGCATTAAAGTTTTACCCGCCTTGTACGAATGTGCTTTAAAATCCTTTTACCGATAACGATGGAGAAAAAGGTTCTCGAGCGGCAGCCTCGTATTGGCAAACGCAGTGAAGGACAACCCACCGATGTGCCCACGGACATTTGCAACACCGATTGCAGACGTGTTGCCACCTTTTAATAACGTGCGCCCCGGCTACCTCACTCACCAGACGAAACGTAGAAGTGTAACACTTCTACTTTACGCCGGTCTTCTGTGAGGTCGAGGTACTAACCCGGACGGAGCTACATACATATATATACACTAGAAAATCGAATACTGTTGCGTGTTCCTACCACAGTTAACGAGTTAACTGACGACCTGAACAAATGAGCGGGAAGTCGATGGATATAGTTGGCTCAGGAACGTGCTTCGTGGCACTCTGTGGGGGAGGCATAGGCCAGATATAGGATGAAATCATGATGATATATTCAGCACTCAGTCAGCAGCTGCGGTCTGGACGCGTGGAGTCCCTCGTTACATATTTGTTGCGCCAGCGTATGGCACCTATCTCGTTTCCAATTCACTCGATCATCGAACAGCTGATAGTAATTTCAGATTAGTCGACGGGACTTTACCTCGACATACGTCTCGGATGGCGGCCGATCTTGTTCACGTGCGTTTTGTACTCTATGCCGCTTGCTTTACCGGCTATGTTTCGTTGCTGTCGCTTATGTCTGCTTCGGAAGGGATCAAGACGATTGTTTATTCAAAGTGTAGGCGGAGATATTGTTTTGTCCTTTCAGCAGAACGCATCGATTAAAGCTAACCAGAAGAAATCTCTAACTGCAGTATTCATGTATTCATAACGGATCCTTAGATTTTTTTTTTTAAATTCAAAACTGGCCTGCACTTGACTGCCATCCCACCTGATGGTAAGTGGCGATGCAGTCGTTGATGGTAAGCGCGCTAGCTCAGTAAAAACCTATTCACTCTTGCCTTGAAGACGCCTACGTTGTAATCGGACGGAAAGACGGACGCCGGCAGGTTATTCCATTCCTTGGCTGTACGGATGATAAATGAAGAAGCGAATCGCTTTGTTCGTGTACGTGGAACGTCGACAGCATTAGGGTGGAGCCCCGCCGTACGCCTGGATAGATATACCTAATATCAACGTATACCTTAATATAATAAAGGTATACCTTTGTAAATTTGTGGGAAGTCGCTGGATGCAGGTGGCTCAGGATTGTGCTTCGTGGCAGTCAGTGGGAGGCCTATTTTCAGCAGTGGACACCAATAGGATGAAATGATGATGATAAATATATGATAATGATATGATAATGATAATGAAGGGTATATCCCTTTTTCAATTGCTTGAGAACTAACAACATATCTTTTCCTTCCTTTCATTGACATTTTCTTTATATATCTAACTCCCCTCGTTCAATTTCAAATTTACACGTAGACTACGCGAATGGAGTCTATATGTGAATTAGAGCTAATCGTCATATTCTTCCATTATTTACTCTTATGTTTATTATTTCGCTTCGCTTCGCTAAACGAATTTCCTCCGTCTATAACATGTCAATATCACAACAAGCAATTGATTATCGATGCGGCCTTAAAATATGAAACTCCATCAAGTTAGTCACAGCCCATATGATATAAGTCCGATAACTTGGCTGATAGAAAGTGCCCTGTTAGAAATGGCTAATTTCACATATCTTCGAAATACCTGTTTTAATATTCTTCTTTCTTGTGCATGCGATTTAGTGAAGACATTCTCCTTTAACGTATAGAAAATGGTGAATCTAATTATTTAACATAATTATTTAAGCTACATTCATCTTCTATATAAATGAAATGATAGAATTATGTCAGATGTTAAGACTAGTGGATGGATGTAAGTACTGCCGCCATGGGGATCTCTGATACCTGAATGGTAACAGATACGTCGTAAACCTTTAAAATAGTGCGCCCGGGAAGGGTGATAGGGAAAGATTTCGGGGAGAGGGCAAGTTCGCATTACATACGCTAACCTGTCTTTCGATAGCCTGCTTTTTCTGTGTCGCCCGATTATCTAGTCGTCTTCTAAAAAGCTCAGTTTCCTAAGTTGGACAAAACAGTGTTTTCTGCAGCTCTGCAAAGCTCAGATTCGGCCGCACATGGAACGCCGTTCTTGCCTCTGGACTTAGCACACCACTAAATCTTATCCAATTCAATCCCATGAAGACACAGGTTGTTTTACCGCGAAGAGGAAACCTCTATTGAAACTATCTCCCTCTATTGAAAGCTCCCCCCATGTTGTCAAAGACTCGATCGGAATTCTTGGCTTTGACATATCGAGTGGCAATCAAATTCGCGGTCATTTGGAAGAAAAAGCCAAGTTGGCTTTTAAAAAGCTTGGTGTTCTGTATAGAGCGAGATAACATGTTCTGCCAGCACATCGCTTTTAGCTTTATGAAGCACCAATTTAGCCGCACATGGTATACTGTTCTCGCCTCTGGTCTGGGGCACCCCAATACAAGCTCCTTCTATTTGAAAGCATCCAACCAAGAGATGTTCGAATTGTCGACCAGGTCCTGTCTTTGCGTAGAGATGTTGCATCATTTTACTATTTCTCTTACTCCTCTGTCGGTTATATCACGGGAGTGCTCTGAGGAATATGTTCGGATTGATCCGAATTTCACCATCGTACAACTCGTCAAATCGCCAATAACATTGACACCATCTTAATGGTTGGTGGTCCACCATTGTATGGTATTTACGCAATTCCTGCCCCACACAGCTACTTTGTGGAACCAGTTGTCGCCAGCGGTATTTCCAGACAGCGATATTGCTCAAATGCCTGCAACGCAGTTGTGACTCCTCCGTTGTTGCAAGTGACCATGGGGGAAGTTGATCACATACCACCAGGTGACCCGCTTGATAGTTTGCCTCCTTCATCCATAAAAAAAAAGAAAATGCGACTTAACTAAGTCAAAAATGTCTGAAATAAAACCGTTTAAAAACTTTAAAGTTAAACGGTTTCATTTTATGTGCACTGAAAACTACATTATTGTATTGTCATCTAAATTAAATGTGTGTACCAAATTTCAGATCAATCTGACAACGGGAAGGTGCTTAAATTTCAATTTCTAATTTTGACCCAAATAAATAAACAAATTCCGTACGGGTCGAGCTAAATAAAACCGTTTAAAAATAGACGAAATTAAAGGGCGAAATGTTAACATTGATTAATCAAAAATTAAATACGTGGCCTGGCATGATTTGACACGTACTGGGACAGTTTTACAATCATATAATTTTATTTTATTTTTATTAAATTTTTAGACAGGTAAAAGAAGGTAAATGGAGAAAATTTATAACGAAATACATTTAACAAAAAACTTTTTTTTTGAACTAAATACCACATCCAAAAATGTTTTGATTGTTAGAAAATAAGCATACAACTTTCAACGTTCGTAGCGACTTGTTTCATTGGTGTTGACTTCCTATCAAGAGTTTGAACAAAACTACTTCTCCGTAGCTTTCATGGCCATGGTAAATGCGGAGTAATCGAAAACTCGATATTTGAAAATCTTTATAATGATAATATTATTGTAGTGAAGGAAGAAAGAAATATTCTCTATTTGTCCCACAGCTGGGAAAGGGCCTCCTCTGTACAGAGGGTATTAGCGTATAGTTTAACACTCCTTTTTTGGCGGATTTCACATATCTTAGAAATATTTTTGTTATTGTTTCTGAAATATGCAGGTCTTTTCACGATGTTTTCCTTCACCGCTGAGCACGTGGTAAGACGGCACTCAAAATTAACAATTTCACTGGTGCCGTCACCGGGATTGAACTCAGGTTGCTCGAGTATATTGAATTAAAGGCGATCGCCCGAACAATGAGCTATCATTGGTCTTAAGAATAGTATTGTAATTGTTTAGTACAGTCGTTACTTTAAGAACCCCTTCGGTAAGTTGTTCAGTTTAGCCTGATCAATCACTTCATTAATGTGGACGATCGTCAATTCTTATAAACCTGCATTTTCGCGTATGTAAACTATGACTCTGATGCCACTTACAAAGTGACTTTCGTAATATGTTTATAGGGAAGTGCAATTCTAATGAACAATACTCGAACAATATTCTATCTTGGTAAGTTCCCGAGGAATTGCTGTAGGGCTGCCTACTTTTCTCGCTGGGACCTGTCACAATTTGAAGGATTTAAATGAATTTAAGTTAATATTTTTTTTAAAAGAAATAATCTTCATAAATAAGTGATACTCAAAAATTACTGCGTAACATAATTATAAACTTTTACATCTTATTGTCAAAATTTGAACAGCATTGAATAATTTAAATTTTTAAAGATTAGTATTCATAATCATTTGAAATAAATAATAACTAGGTATATTAAACTATTTTAAATATCTATTTTTCCATCTTATTTGAAATCAGGCGGGGCTTAATTTTCTTGCTTAGTTATAAACTTCGGGTGTGAAAGGGTCGTGAATTTTATCATTGTAATATTGTTCAAATTCCACCACCTAGTCTTTTTGAATGCAAGTAAAGATTAAAAAAAAATCGAACGTCATAACGAATTCTAGGTGAAAGTTTATAAAATTAATAGCTCTATTAAAAATTAATGATTTTTTTTCGTAAGGCAACCCTAGTGTACATTATCGCGCTCATATAATCATGGTGCATAGAAAAGTGCATCTATCGCTTTGAGTCGGCTGTAACGAAATCATTGACCAGACGAACATATTCTGCATACTATTGTTTTATTATAAAATAATTTGCAAGTAGACGTGTTAGAGATCCTTTTAAAACTCAGTATTTGCAGCCCTTCGACTCGCATAAAACTTCAAGTATGTATGTATACCTCATGTCTTAATGTTTAAAAACCGAGATACCTACCTTGTTTTTGCATCGTTTTCCGTTTATCGTATCAGTTTTACAATGAATGTATCAAGGCTTTCGCATAGGTACTTTATACGCGGCAGGCAAGCCACTAAATTGTAGTATTTACGACCCGCTCCTATATTTGAACGTTCCAAGAAAGCGAAATAAATCAGCCGTTTAACATGATTCGCTGCCCGTAAGCTGAGGTACATGATACAAATGTATTGGGATGATTCGTTTGTGTTGAAGTAAAAACATGAAATATGAAATAAGCGCTTAGTTGGCATTAAATAAAAACTTATTTATATTCATCCTGTGGGTTAATTAAGTCTTTTCGCAATTTTAACGGTATTAGATTGTAATTGAAATAGCCAAGTGCAACTGTTGGACCCAGTCGTTGTGTGCTTCCGTCATTTTAACCGATGTCGAATTTTTAACGAACAAGCAAATAAATAAATAGGAGGATACACGGACTAGAAAAATCAAAATTTATCAAGCTATTTTTCTTGTTATTGCGAAGACGTTGATCGCTTATGGCTCTTGTTTATGGCTCATGTTTTTTTTTTGTTCAAACTATTGAATAATACATTCGTGTTATTCAATAGTTTGAAAAAAAAATAGTAATAAGATTCATAGCATAATACCTTGCATAACATTATAGATTATAGATAATTTGCTGTGGTAGGGCCATGCAGCCACATTTGCTATTGCATGATTGGGTAGGCCCGTCCGGTAAGTACCACGGCTTCACAGTAGGCCGACGTGAAGTAGAACTATTGTAATTCTATCTTTCGGGTTTTGCGAGACCCGGGACTTGCGGTTATCACTTATTTACTTAAATATATATTTGATTCGATCAGCTCAGAGCTGATGGTAATACTCGAACGTATCGTGCTGTGGTATCAGAGCTGACTCTTACCCCCCAGCCGTCGCCAGCCAGCATGATGGTGGCCAGCACAATAGTGACCGAAGAAAGGAGCACGGAGGAGCTGCAGAAGCGCTTCGGCGAGCTTCTCGACGAGAACGTCATCCTGAAGGAGACCCTGAAACAGAACAACGACTCGATGAAGGAACAGCTGCAGCTGATCGCCTCGTGCCAGGACGACATGCTGAACACGCACCGGATACACAAGGAGAAGTTCGACGAGACCAGGGACTTGGTGGAGAGGGTGCGTATACACTGGCCTCGGTTGTTTATCTAGAAGATACTAAGTGATGAGCATCTAAGCAGGCAGCATACTAAGTAATGAATGCCGGTGTTGCAAAGAGCTTATGGGAGTGCATCAGTGGCACCCGAGTTATTTAGTTAAATAGAAACCAATGTTAAAAATATTTCAGGACATATTTTTACACAACATTTTCTAGTCCCAAACTAAGCAACGCTTGTACTATGGATACTAGATAACGGAAAAACATATTACATTACATCCAATACATTATAAATATACAGCGTGTCGTTACAAACGCGACAATAAATGAACACACATCTAACGCTAATTGCCAATAATCATAAAAAAATATAAAACGTTAAAAAAACCATAATTAAAAAAATATATTGTTCAAACAAACTAATTAAATAAAAAAGAAACAAAATTTGGAACATCCTATACAAATACATTCTGTTACATTCAACTGATTCATACATTCAGAGACTTTTTCATTCGTTGCCACAACGTCGCATTACAAGTCTCTCCTTCTAACAGGATGTTTTATCTCTTATAAATTCATTTAACCCGTTCATATGCTTTATACGTAAGGGTGTTCTAAAAATGTTTGTTTTGTTTAATTTAATGACTCGGTAAATATTGATGTTTAAAGAACGTAAATACGAACGTAAATACGGTTGTAACGACACGCTGCATAATCCTCCAGACACTGGAAAAACACTATGCTCATCACACAATATTTTTCCAGTAGTGGGCATCGAACACACACCGTCTGGCGCATAATCATTAGGCCGATCGGGCCGTCAAATAAAATTTTAAACAAATCAATGTTACCTCGCGTTGCGTCTTTACAGAATCCGATTCGATTATTAAGCAGGAGCAGTAGTAATCACCAATTTGCACTAACATATACTCGAACAGTTGTGGATACTTAATGAAATTGTAAAAATCAACTTTACCTGTTCGATGTTCTCTTAAATCTTGTTTTTTTTTGTGCTTAAATGTTTTAGCCAGCTAGTAGATTCTTCAAATCAGTGTACATTAGTTCACTGCTGGCCATAGGCTTCCGTAACACGTCAATTATTCCAATTCTCGACTATCCTTTCCAGTTGGTGCCAATTGTTGTCCTTCGTATATCCTTAGCCACCTATACATCTTGATAATTGATATTATTCTGATCAGTAAACGATTGATTTTTTTTTACGCGAAAAAGTGGCAAATACGCTCGCGGTTCACCTAATTTTAAGTGATGACCGCCACCCATAGACATTTGCGACATCCGTAGGGTTGCAGATGCGTTGCCACCTTTTAATAAAGTGGGCCCCGGCTACCTCACTCACCGGACGAAGCGCAGAAGTAGACACACACTTCCACTTCACGCCGTTCTTCTGTGAGGTCGTTGGTACTAACCCGGACGGACCTGCCCATGCTTGCAACAGCTAACGCTGTTGCGTGGCACTACCACAGTCTAAAATATTTACGATATGCTCGTAAATATTTGTTTAGGAGAGTTGCTTAGCTATTTCTGTCAAATCGGTTGAAAAAACAAGAGAGTCTAATAATTATAAACAATTACATTAACATTAGTGTTATCTTCGACAAATTGTCAAGCACGTAAGTTCCATGCAATGTGTCTTCAGATGTTTACGTTAACTTAATTATGATAAGATTTTTGTGGCATAAGTACGTAATTTCTTTTAAAATTCGTGATATTATTAGTTACATAGGTTTGCTTGTTGTTATCGGCATATACCTTATACGATGGACTCAATACTCTTGGAATGCTATAGGTAATAAATGCAAGTTTATTAATTAAAATCCCTTAGGAAACTTATCACCACGATATTAGTTCAGCCTTACTTTCATTGTCACGATAAATATGTTTTTTCACGCAATTTTGGCAATTGGCCGACCTTATAGCTCGTAGGATCGATAATCGACGGGGGAAAAGATAGGACAGCTGAAGCTGTTGCATAAATGGCAGGCAGTTCCGGGGAACAACCACGGCCTCCATGTAAGACCGGCGTGAAAAAGTATTAAAACTTCGCGTTTCGTCTGGTGAGTGGGGGAATGATTTACCACCAGATTAAGTGACCCGTGGAATTTGCGGGAAGTCGATGGATGCAGGTGGCTCAGGATCGTGCTTCATGGCAGTCTGTGGGGGAGGGCTATTTTTAGCGGAAGTGGACTCGAGCTTTGATCTGTTGTCGGGCCACGCAATACTGTTGCACGAATGGGTAGGTCCGTCCCGTTAGGTTGACGACCTCACAGAAGACCGGCGTGATCTGGAAGTTTCATATTTCAACTTCATGCCGGTCTGGAGAGCGAGGTAACTATCTGTAATATAATGTAATATAATGTAATTACTAAGAAGATGACAACGAATATGCAACCCTACGGGCGTTGCGAATGTCCATTAGGCGGCGGTTATCACTTAAAATCAGGTGAACCGCCAGCTTCTCAATTAAAAAAACAGGCTGAAATGGCGTTGACCACGCAATTTCTATATACTCACCCACGCACACTTTTCTAATGAAATTGAATGTATTGTATTTGGCAAATAGTAATACATTTATAGTGGATACATATTTATAACTGGGAGGGGGACCTGATGGCCTTAAATACAGGCTTTGCGTAGTTTAGGCATTAGTCTCCCACATTGCTTTGAACTTTAAATTTAGTTGTATATTGTATAAATTGTACAAACCGATGTGGTGAGAAATAAATAAAAAAAAAAGTTTATTATTATCATTATTATTATTTCTATCACAAAACTGCCTACAGCTTCGCCAGGAGAACAAGCAGCTGAAACTGGACGCCGCCCGCTTGGCGGAGAGCGTCTCGGCGCAAATGGGCGCGGCCAGGGCGGACGCCGCCGGACGACGGTCGCGGTGCGTCCTCGAGAAGCAGAGGGACAGGTGGGTCGAAAGTTAACACGTCGTGACGCGCCCTCGCGTACGGCACGCACGCACGGTCGCACGCACACTAGTGCGCAATTACGCACACGTGTAAAATATAACCTGTGGCACTCGGGGACTGGAGCTAGTCGAGAAGCAGAGGCGAAACAAGTTAACACGTGCACGTGCACGCACACGCGCGCACGCGCCCGTCGACCTGTGGGAGCTTCGTACATACACGTTAAGAGAACGCTCGGCCGAGCTACATGGTAGGCAGAGTGGGAGGTTTTAGGTTTTATTTTCGTTACGGAATTTCTTGATTCAGTCGCCGCCCTCAAAGCCCGCGATAAAAGCTATGCAATAGCTTACGTTGGGTTATGAAATAGTTTGCAGGATGTTTATAGACATTGCCTGTTTGTGTAAATACAAACAGGCAATGTAATTTAAATTGTAAAAATTAAGACGCAAATAAGAAAATGGACCGAAATGTCCACAGAGTACAGTGTTAAGTGCTACAGAGGCACTTTACCCTGTACTCTGTGGACATTTTTTTTATTATTCCCTTTGTTGTTATTTAGTGTAACACATATTTCATTTAAACAACTCAATACTAAGTTTATAGATTTGAAGTTTGAATGGGTATAGTTTACTATATTTTATTATCCATTTCAGGTTATAGTCGATAACGGAAAGTTGACATGGCAGAAGGAGTCTCTAGAGCACATCGTCGACGCAACATCGAAAGAAAGGGACGACATCAAAGAGAAATTGAAGAAACTTGAGGTGACACGAAAATGACTTAAACTCTCCATCATCGTCATCATCATTACAGCCTGTTTTTTTTTTCATGTTTTAAAAAAAAAGTTGCCATTACTTTGGGATAACATTAGCCTGTGTTGTAAGGACGTTTTACAAACATAAATTTCACGCGGACAAACACCCAGATGCGGAACAACTGTCTGTGGGTCACACAAATAGCTGTCCCGTGTGGGAATCGAACCCACGACCCCCGACGCCGAAGCCGATACCTTGGCGACTGCGCCACGGAGTCATCAAAAATTTGAGCCCACTGTTGAACATAGACTAAACTCTTATAATGACTTAATGAGTAAGGTGTAAATAAACATTATTATAAAAGGTGATAAATTGAGTTACGTTTTTGGCTATAAGTGAAGACGTGCTATTTAAAAAAGGTTGCTTTCAATGTTCCAGTTGCAATTCTCCACATCTGAGAGCGACCACGCTCAGGAGGTGAAGAAACTGCATTTGATCATCCAGAACTTGCAGAGTCAGCTGAAATCCGCAAATGATGCAAGTATCCAAACAAATTAGTCTTTCGTCATCATCATAACGATCCTGAGCCACCTGCATCCATCGACTTTCCGTACATTGACACAAATCTGTCACAATGACAGCTCTAATTAAGTAAATTGAAAAAATATCATTAGAAAAATATGTCTTACCGATATTGTCGATTGTGTTACGCTCCAACAATATATTTTCATATCAGACGTTCCGTTCCTCTCGACAATAGACGTATTATTTTTTTTCTTAAATCCAAGACATGATTTTTTTGAATTCCTATCGTAGTTTAACGGTTCAATATTCTATCTACATATAGATTTGGTCACCACTTCAAAGGGTCAAAGTTTTATCACAGGTAACCTGTATGCATCTGTAGATAAAGTATTGAAACCGGCCGTTGTTGTAATGATATTTTATAGAGTTTAAGTTCATAAATACCAATGCTCATCTAATTTGCTGTTTGTATGCTCCCGACAGAGTCAAACCCTGTCCGAGGAGGTGGCATCCCGCGATAGAGCGATCCAACTACTAGAGTCTAAAGTCGCTGGTCTGCAGAACGACCTGAGAATGGCTCAGATCAAGATCCTCGACCTGGAGAACATCAAGGTAGCCAGCAAAGGGAACATTTACAGTACTCGCATTAATATATTACCGTTGCAGCATATAGAAAAAAGTAAAGCATCAGTCTATACATGTCCCACTGCTGGGCAAAGGCCTCCTCTGTACAGAGGGTATCGGGGTAGTCCACCACGCGGCCCCACTGCGGATTGCAACAAATACTATGTTGGAATTGTTATGAAAAAATGGATAAATCCAGAAGGAAACTCCTCTTGTTATGGTCAAGTCTCAGAAGATTTGTTAAATTTAAGTAATATTGTTTTCAGCGTTCCTTACCCAAAGGGTAAAACGGGTTTCTATTACTAAGATTCCGCTATCTGTCTGTCCGTCTGTCACCGGGCTGTATCGCTTGAATTAATCAATTGTCTTTCGCAGTTGGAGTTCACCCAGCACAAGTCCGGGGTGTCGGAGACCGTGAGGATGTACAAGGAGCAGATCCAGGAGCTCAGCACCAGGCTCAAGGACGCACAGACCACGGTGAGTAGCCAACGAACCAACATCAAACAAGTCCAAGAAGAAAGTTCTTCCCGCGATATAAAGGAAACAGAACTCGCAGTAGACCACGGAGAAAGTGTAACTGATAAATAGATTTCACCTTACGACGAGTTTAAACTTTTCTACTTCTGACATAATTTTTGGTTGAAGTAGTTAAACTACGCTTGGACAAAGCTTTCTATATTTCAAAGTCAACTCGAAGGGGAATTGGTTAAACCTAATGGCATAAATTGTCAAATACCTCGCTATCAAACTGAGATTTTCAGGCTAGTCTGTTATTTTTTTACGTGAAACCTTGGCAAGCGAACAGGCAGTACACCTGATGTTAATATTAAGTGATGACCGTCGCCCATAGATATCTACAACACATGAAGTGTTGCAGATGCGTTGCCAACATTTAGGAAAGTGGACTTCGATTGTCTCACTCACCAGATGCGAGAATATAATTGTCTCCAAGTCTCGCCGGTTACGGTTATCCGGCGAGACTTGGAGACAACGTCGTGTTTTTTTTAATATGAGGTGACAAACGAGCCGGCGGTTCACCTGATGTTAAGCGATAACCGCCGCCCATGGACATTTGCAACACCCGTAGGGTTGCGGATGCGTTGCCACCTTTTAATAAACTGGGCCCCGGCTAATTCGCTATCCAGACGAAACGCAGCAGTATATCGCATCCACTTCATGCCGGTCTTTTGCAAGGTCGTAATACTTACCCACACTGACCTGCCCATTCGTGCAACATCGAACTGTTGCGTTTCCCTACCACGGTGTCTCGTGCAACAGCGAGGTGTGGTGGCCCCACCACAGTGTGTTAACGACAGACACGCGTTTAGATGTTCCAGCCGGTGCGTCTCTCGCTGAGCGCCGAGCCGGATGGTGACAGTCCCGAGCTGGTGACCTTCGCGGCCAACGTGAAGCTCTACGACAGGACCCTGAAGCACCTGGCCGACTTCCTCAACACCCTCACCAACGGGTAAGGGCAGGGGGGGGGGAGGTTGTGGTGGTGGGAGGAGGGGGGGGGGATAGATCTAAGGATAAGAAATCAAGGTCAAGCGCACCGCTAGCCAGTGGAGGGGGGACCAATAGCGTATCCATTGCGTCTCAATGCATTCAACGCCAAAATTTGGTTTGACAGAACTTGGTTTCGATGTAGGAAAAGTTTGAAAGAAAACTGTTGCTCGTGAGGTTCGTAACCTTCCTGCATTTCGTTTTTTTTTTTTCATTTTCGTTTAACTACTTAAAAAAACATAACAATTACATTAAATAATAATAATATTTGCTGTCGTCCGTCTTTCCCGCTGAATATAGTTTAGTTAGATAATTAAAAAAAATGTAGGAAAAATAAATTGAAAATCTATCGTAGTTTAGAATAGAAAAAAATGCGTGGAGTCCCTCCGCGCGGAAGAAGTGAAACTTCGAGCGCCACGCTTTCACTCTGTCTCTGTCTCTTTCTGTTCCCCCTCCCCAGGGGCGTTGAACGTTTAACGCAACATTGCTTTCATGCCGCCTCCGTGGTAGCGTTAAACGATTAAAGCAACCTTGTTAGAAGTCGCATTAGAAGTTTCACTTCAAAAAAAGTTATAAAAAAATTATTAATTCTGAAACATGATAAATGTTAATTTTCTGTGTTTTGTTTTAGTTTTCAGAGAGGCAAATCCTTTGAAATTTCTCGGAAGAATCTTCGTTCGTCATATTTTTTTTTTTCAGAAGTCACGACCCCCCCGCTTGGCCATTGCCCAGCTTTAGTTTTATCCATAAGATAAATAAAAAAATTAAAACTTTCAATATTTCGAGCACCCGGCTAACGCTGATGCGTAGAAAATCACGCGAGAAGTGATATTTTTTCAAATTTTTTTCTCTAACTCGGCAATGTTGTCTTACCACTTCCAGGCTCGCGGACAGCCTGGCGCAGACCTTGGGCACAGTGGCGAGTTTGTACGACTACAAGCTGGAGAGGGCGTCCGTGGACAGGTTCAAGTCTGGGCTATCCGAGGTCAAACAGCAGCTCGAGAGGCAGCACAGCAACGCGCTGAACAACATGTGAGTGGCAAGGGCCGACTTTTCCTACCTGGTCCAGGGTTCCGTCTGAGTTATTCAGTCCGGGCCTCTGGGTCGGCGACACCCGGCGGACTTGAAAGTTACAGACACAAAGACCAGGCGATTGGTCCTTGAATGGTAGCAATTTAGCTCATTTATTAGATTTATTTATTCGTGATGGAAACATTATTATTATAAAAGTACTAGCTGACCCGGCAAACGTTGTTTTGCCACATAAATTATTTGTAGGGTAGAAAAAATGTTTGGGGTGGACTACCCTTAACATTTAGGGGGATGAAAAATAGATGTTGCACACAAAATTTCACGAAAATCGGTCGAGCCGTTTCGGACGAGTTCAATTACAAACACCGTGACACGAGAATTTTATATATTAGAAGTAACAGTCTATATTTATGTCCCACTGTCCTCTGTACAGAGGTTATTAGGATATAGACCACTAATCCACAGACATATTATTTCGCAAATATCCAGTTTTCCCCACGATGTTTTCCTTCACCGCTGAGCACGTGATAAGTCAGCACTTGAAATTAAAAATTCCATTGGTCCCGCACCGGGGATCGAATTCGGGTCGCTCGAGCATATTGAATTAAAAGCGAGCGCGTATCAATATAATTATTATAATTAATCAATATAAAAGTAACAGCCTATACATGTCCCACTGCTGGGCAAAGGCCTCCTCTATACAGAGGGTATCAGGGTATAGTCCACCACCACGCGGCCCCACTGCGGATTGGCGGACTGCACATATTTTCGAAATATATAGTTTTTTTTGTTATTATTTCGAAAATATGCAGGTTTCCTCACGATGTTTTAAAAAATAAACAAAAGTTTCACCGCGGAGCACGTGATAAGTCAGCACTTGAAAGTTAAAAACTTCATTGGTGCCGGCACCGGGGATCGAACTCAGGTTGCTCGAGTATATTGAATTAAAGGCGAGCGCCCGGACACTGAGCTATCACGGCTCTTTTTAATTACGGATTAATCAATATGCTAACTGTAAAACAAGGCCGGCTACCTAACTCACCGGACGAAACGCAGAAGCATCACAAGAACACTCCCACTTCACACCGGTCTTCCGTGAGGCCGTGGTACTTACCCGGACGGACCTGCCCATTCGTGCAACAGAGACGACCGTTGCGTGGCCCTACCTCAGTTAAAATGCTTTTAGATTTGGTTTTGAATAAGTAATGTAAATTGCTCGGTGTACTTCCAGAGGCAAACTCCGCGCCATGATGTCTATCTTCGAGGGCATCTTCAAAGATTACAACGAGCTCCTGAAGAAGGCGATTGCGAAGCCAGAGAACGTGAGTTATTTTAATTGTACTTATAGGGACTTGGGCAGAAGTAAACAAAAAAAATCTTAAATTTCAATATTAAATGCCATCCCATTTCCATTTACAGACGTATCTTGTGCCTTTAAAAAAATAAAGTTTATCCAGTGGCATGACAAGGGCTGGATAATAATATTATTAGTAGTTGTTAAGTTATCGATTTCGGCGTCTCGTAGATTGTGCGTTTGATACAGGTGATGAGTATTTTTACCTTTAGGTGATTTCCCGGATTATTGAGTATCTGTCCGAATAAATTAGTGTTATTGTTTTTAAAAATTTAAATTATTTATAGTGCTTATCTCTGCACTTAATATTGAACTTTAAAGTTAGTAGAAAAAGTACGAAAAGATTGTCGCCGCTGTGGGAATCGAACCCACGTCTTCAGCATTCGCGGCCTGACGTTCTAGCCACTGAGCTAAACGGCTGATAGCTACAGCGACGAAAATCTTAACTGGCTTAATCTTAATCTTTGTGTGTAACATAGGGCTAGGTGTCTGTCGTGTCTGTAGGGCGGGGAGGCGCTTTTGAGGTATGTGGGGGGGGGGGGGGGCGTGATGTAAGTCAAGATAGGGATGCCGAAAATAAAAAAGATATATCTGAAAAAAAAAAAAAAAAAAAATATCGATATATTTTTGGGGCATCCGTAAGTGAAGATGTGTGCCGTGTCCGCAGGGCGAGGAGGGCGGGGTGGCGGCGCTGAGCGCTGCGCTGGTGGCGCGCGGCCAGGAGCTGCAGCAGCTGCGCGCCGAGCTGCAGCGCCGCGACGCGCCGGCCGACGATGCAGAGCTGCTGCGGGCGCAGCTGCAGCTGTATAAGTGCGCGCCCCACTCTCCCCTATCGGCATAGAGGACCGGCGTAAAGTGGAGCGCGCCCCACTCTCCCCTATCGCCATAGAGGACCGGCGTAAAGTGGAGCGCGCCCCACTCTCCCCTATCGGCATAGAGGACCGGCGTAAAGTGGAGCGCGCCCCACTCTCCCCTATCGGCATAGAGGACCGGCGTAAAGTGGAGCGCGCCCCACTCTCCCCTATCGGCATAGAGGACCGGCGTAAAGTGGGGCGCGCCCCACTCTCCCCTATCGCCATAGAGGACCGGCGTAAAGTGGGAGCGCGCCCACTCTCCCCTATCGCCATAGAGGACCGGCGTAAAGTGGGGCGCGGCCCACTCACCCCTATCGGCGCGGAGGACCGGCGTGGAGTGGGAGCGCGCCCACTCTCCCCTATCGCCATAGAGGACCGGCGTAAAGTGGGGCGCGGCCCACTCACCCCTATCGACACACGGCGGGCCGTAAATCGTCGCTCACCGGATGGAACGCGAAAGTATAACAATTCCACTTCAAGCCGGTCTTCTGCGAGGCCGTGGCTCTTCACCAGACGAGCCTGCCCATTCGTGCAACGACAGAAGCTGCCGTGTGACCCTTCCGCAAATCTCTCTGCCTATGTTTATATTTCGAATTCGTTTTCAACTTAGTTCATCCAGCTATGCACCGGGTCTTATTCGAAACTGATTTGCTAATTGGCATTTATTCGTATAAAAATATCATACATTCACGTTCCATCATCATAATTTCGGTATTTGATAGGCCATTGGTCAAAATAATCTTTATCTCAACTTCAACCCTTCAGTGGGAACTTTTTATTTTGCGAGAAACGTATTAAGTCTGTTGGAAAATAATCGGAGTTCTATAAAGTAACACGTTGCCAAATGAGCATATGATATATTATCACCGCAAGAGCCGCGATGGCTCAGTGTCCGAGCGCTCGCCTTTAATTAAATTTACTTAAGCATCCCGAGTTCGATCCCTAGTGCCAATGAAATAGTTAATTTTAAGTGCTGACCTGTCACGTGCTCAGCGGTGAAAGAAAAATTATGTTTCGAACGCATGTAAAGTCCTCGAATCCGCAGTGGGGTCGCGTGGTGTACTATCCCCTAATACCCTCTGTAAAGAAGGGATGCATGGATTATTTATACTTTTTTTCGTAATGAAACTAAGGTCAAAGGTCCTTATAGATAAAGCACCGTTATATCGAGTAGCGTATTATCACTCTGATATATGGAACGAAATCTTGCCCAGGAGCGACTTCGACGCTGAGCGCGAAGCCCGGGAGAAGATGGCCAGCGAGAAGGAGGACCTCCTCGCCCAGCTCAGGGTTGCCAACAAACGCACTCAGGACCTCACTCAGCAGGTGAGTACCTCTATTTAACTACCCAATGACATTGTTTTCTTGCTTTTACGCGAATATTATACATATTACATGAAACTAGTTTGCGGATTTTATCGCGTTTTTTATTTTGATTTGAACTCCCGGCGTTTCGAACCCTTTCCACTTACAACTAGTTTTGGAACTGTCTGACTGACAAACTGACTCGTGTGACTCATTGGTGCCGGCACCGGGGATCGAACTCGGGTTGCTCGAGTATATTGAATTAAAGGCGAGCGCCCGGACACTGAGCTATCACGGCTCTATTTTCGATTGTGTATGTCGAGTGTTAAATCGCTTTCGAAAACCCGTCAGTTGGACGAGGTGCGAAAGCTGAGTCCCAGCGTGTACCGCACCGCCACCGCGAGGAAACCCCCTCCAGCCGGAACCACCAGCTCTTCGCCGAGGACCACCACCACCACTGGGAACATGGTGAGTGGTGCAAAGTGCCAATGTCTCATAGATTGAGGTAAAGTGAAGCATCGGCCTATACGAGTCCCACTGCTGGGCAAAGGCCTACTTTGTGCACAGGGTATCGGTGTTTAGTCCACCACCTAACCCCACCGCGGATTGGCCGGGCTTCAAATATCTTTGAAATATTTTTTTTTGTTATTATTAGGAACACATGCAGGGTTCCTCGAGATTATTTCTTTAATCCAATCGAAGTCATAGTTAAGCACTTAAAATTAACCAATTTCATTAGTAATTTAAATTTTAAATTTAAATTTTAAATTTTAAAGTGTTTATAGTGCAAATCTTTGCGCTATAAAATTTTTTTTTACATATTTTAACAATTTTATTAGTGCTGGTACTGCGACTTGAGCTCCGGTTGCTCGGAAATTAAAAACGAGTGAGCAGACAATGAGCTATTTGCATTCGCAAGGTTAAAATGATAATGGAAGTAATTTAATTTTAATTAAGCGCCTGTCTGCACTTGAGATGAAACTTAAAAATTGGTGCGGCGATGTCGGCCGCTTAGCTCAGTGGCTAGAGCGTCTGTACGCGTAGTGGAAAGCGCAGTTTCAATTCCTGGCAGTTTAGAAAACCGGCGAAAGTTTTATCTACATATTTTTAAATGTTCATTTACAGTGATAGGTTTATTTTTTTACTTTTCCTCGTTGAACTCGATCGCAATTGGAACGAAAAGGCTCATTAGGTGACACTATTGCTTAATATTGTTTTGAAATGATTCATCCCATTCAAATAATATATAATTGTTTATTTCTGACCACACCACCAAATAAAAAACAAAATCTTATATTTAATGTTTATTTTGGCTTTGGTTCGATGGCGCCTGTTTTAGGTAAATCTTTTCGTACTCAAAATCAAAAACACTGCGATTAATAGTTGGCATTAATTTTGTTTATTAATCGTAAATTAATAAGTTTAATATCTAAATAATTGTATGAATGTATATTATTTCATGCTGATGTTAACTGATTACCGCCGCCTATTGACGTCTACAAAACACGACAGGCTTGCAACACACAAATGCGTTTCCGAACTTTAATTTCACAAACGAGTGTGTCCTTGTTACCTCACTTACCGCACGGAACGTCAAAGCATGAAATTCCCACTCCAGTCCCGCTCTTCCGAAAGCATATAACAGCAGAAAAGTCCAGAACAAATTGGAAACGTTAAAATACGTAGAAAAAGTACGAAAAGTTTGCCGCCGCTGTGGGAATCGAACCCACGTCTTCGGCATTCGCGGCCTGACGCTCTAACCAAGTGGAAATGACTGAGAAACGGGTTGTGACCAAGGTCCGCAAAAAGAGGAAGGCCGTCGAGGGGGCGGGGGCGGGGGCGGGGGAGGCGCGGGGGGTCAGCCCGCCGCCGCAGATGTACGTGTGCCCGGTGTGCGACCAGTCTTTCAAGACCCTCATATTCCTGCAGCAACACGTCGACCACTGTCTCCTGTGAGATCTAGCGAGGCGAAATAATGATACCTCGAAGCCAACAAAAACAGAATTTCCCACTAATCGCGTGCAAGTGAAAAATTCATTGTGAATACGGGATGATTATCTGAAATGTGATGCGCGACGCAATGGTACTGCACCGATCCTTTATTTACTATTTACTAGCTGCTGCCCGCGGCTACGTCTGCGTAGAATAGGCTGAAGGCGTAACATTCAGACAGAAAGACATACATAAAATATGTATGTAAATTATAGCCTTTATCCTATTCTGATGTATAAGCCATATTATTGTTAAGCTTCATTAAAATCCATTCAGTAGTTTTTGCGTGAAAGAGCAACAAACATCCATCCATACATACAAACTTTCGCGTTTATATTAGTAAGGATTCATTAACTTATGTATGTATTACTTGTATATATAGTAGGGTTCGGTAGTAAGTCCGAACGACCACTGCGAGCTAGAAATATCTATTGTAGTCTTCCCTTCGAAAATATTGCCATCTTACTTAGGATGACATTATCCTGTGCTGTAAGGGCTTTTTACATACAAAAATTTCTCGAGAACGAACACCCAGAAAACTCTCTATGGTTCACACAAATAGTTGTCCCGTGTGGGGATCGAACCCACGACCCAGGGTGCCGAAGCCAATACCTTGGCAACTGCGCCACGGAGTCATCAACCATGTATCACTTTCTTTTTGATACGAATTTGTTTGTGAGAATGGGGGGGGGGGGGGGGGGGAGCAATTGATTTGATTCTACACATTATTATTGCACATGGACCTTTGGAAAAAGAACCATCGCATAATTTCAGTTTCAATAACACAAGAGAAGAAATCACAGAACTTCAATTTTATTATCGGATATATGAAGATGTAAAATGTCATTATGTGAAACATTGACCTTATCATGTATTGCATTTTGAATTGTATTTATTTATTGTTATAATTTAAGTTTTTTCGTTAATTGTTTTCGTTGTCAATAAAATGGCGGAACGATTGTAGTCTTATTATTAAGCGATATATTGGTCAATAAGAGAAAAGCCAAAAAGAAAACGCCAAGGTAATTAACACGTATTTTTGTTTGTGTTGTTTTTTGTTGTTTTGAACACCGATATTAATATGAGAAAAATGTTAACATTTTTTTTGATTACTAAACAAACATTTTTACGTATACTAACTAAATAACGCGTTATCTTCCAAACTTAGTCAAACCCAGCCCACGGCATAGTGCCAAGAATATGCATTTCTTAGCTGAATTGTCCTACTTAAGCTTTTCGTCATAATTCTTCCTTTCATAATACGTTTGTTGGGTACGCACCTAAAGTTCTAAAATAAATAGTACAATCAATTATATATTATTGATTTTATATTTGTATCAATTTTTATTACTATTTCCTCCCCATGTTTCTACAGCAAATGGTACGGTTAACTATTGCATATATTAATTATAATTTTCGTATATCTTTGTACTAATTTTTATTAATGATTTGACGGAATGTTTTACAGCAGAAGTTTCTACAGCAAATGCCACAATTAACTATTTCTTATGTTAATTATATTTTTCTTATATCTTTATGTTAATTTTAATTATTATTTCGAAAACTTTTATTGAGTGATATTTCAAAATGTTTTCTCATATTATTTCAAGGACTATTTAGAATTTATTTACTGACTATTCAAACTAACGCTTACTATAAGTGGTGTGAAGAATTTTCAGGAATACCTTCAACTTATTTAGATCCCTATCGTAGTTATCTTTCGGTAATTATTGTAGTGAAAACATAAAACATGTTCATATACATGTAACATGTCTCAGCTGACATAAGTAATGTTGCCAGACGCCAGACGACCGTTAAAAAATTTATTGGGCGTCCTGATTGTTTCTCCTACAAAATTGGCCAGGTCGTGTACGGGATTTTACAGCGTTTCAAATTCAATTAACATTAAAAGTGGAATAAGACTGGATGAAAAGAATAGACGGTGAAATTTATTAATCTGCAGCGCAAAATAATTTATTTCATAAACAAAAAAAATCTTTGATCCAGACTTTACTAATGTAAGATAAACACGACAATCAACTGGATTTTGATCCTTTTTAATTGACGTCTTTTCTATGTGATACGTCGTCAAGCGAGCGGGCGGTTCACCTGATGTTAAGTGATTACCGAACCCCATGGACATCTATAAAAAACCAGTTGAGCTGCAAATATGTTGCCAACCTTTAACTCTGTATACCATGGCTACCTAACTTGCTTGATTGAGTGTGACAGTACGATATGATCATGCCGGTTTTCATGCAACAGAAGAATTTGCTGAGAACCTCTGTCCATAGATGAATCTTTGTTTGTTTCTTTCGCCTGTTTCTTCTCCGTTAGAGGAACCTCATTACGAAACGGTGGTAGTTTAAAAAATTACTATCGATAGATGAAATGTATATTTATTATTTCGATGAATAAATGATTTGATTTTGATTTTGATTTGAATCATCTCTAAAGTTATATATTTGTGGATATTATGAAATACTAAACAAATATAATATAATTTCATAACTTGAAGTCGAGGCTACTTTTGTCTTAATATTTATTTACGTAAATAAAATTGAGGTAAAACTGTATTATCAGTTCGTATTAAGTGTATCTCTTTTCGGGAAAAATACTAATATTACTGTAGCATGTGACATGTTTTCTTGAGAATAATAAAATGTATATTAGCATGTTGTGTCTTGATACCATACAAAGATCGTTATAATATAATGAATTTGTAATACACGCTTGTTTATATTTAATTGTCTTCTTCCAGCCGTGTTTTTATTTAATTATTTTCTACTTTCCTACAGCTATTATTAATTAACCTATCGACTTTTATCTGAAACATCTATTGATACCAGATAACAAATATTTATTTCTCTCTGATTGGTTTCTTAATAATAATTTTCGAAGAACATTCAGAAGTTGTAATGTGCGTTTGTGTGAATGCGACTTCAAACTGTTCAGATCTGTCGTTTGTCTCGTGTGTGTTCGTACTAACCTGTGTTTTACGTGTTTGAGTTTCGTCACAATTCCGCTTTTTCTTCCAGGTGTACACTTGCCCCAAATGCATGCGCTTCTCCAGCGACCAGTACAAGGTGATGGAGGATCACTTCGACTTCTGTTTGGACGACTTCTGAACCGATGTAAGCCTGGGATCAATCAATCACACGCGCGTTGTCTTGTCTTTGTGGTTATACATGTCTGCGCTGAAGTCTGTAGCGCAGTTGCCAAGGTATTGGCTTCGGCGTCGGGGGTAGTGGGTTCGATTCCCACGCGGGACAACTATTTGTGTGACCCACAGATAGTTGTTCCGCATCTGGGTGTTTGTGCGCGTGAAATTTATGCTTGTAAAACGTCCTTACAACACAGGGTAATGTTATCCTAAAGTAAGGGCAATGTTTTAAAAACAGTTTCATCGAGCACAGAGCTCGTGGAAAGATTGCGTTTCCTCAAGCTTTATGGACCCTACCTAAGCAGGGTGACGCATGTGGACATGCGTGTGTTATAGAACCTTAGCAGAGTCACGCATGTGGACATGCGTGCATTATCGAACCTGAACAGAGACGCACAGATGGACATGCGTACATTATCGAGCCAAAACAGAGACGCACATGTGGACATGCGTGAATTTAAAAAGTCATAGGACTGTCTGCTAGATCGTTGGATGAGGTTCCAAACACTTATAACTGCATCAGAATCAATTCATATTGGGGATCACATAACCTCTTCGTTAAGCATTTACGAAACATTTAAAAATAAGTAATGTTGGTAATAAATCCCCTTGTGTAACGTTGAACATAGTTTCAAATTTACGAGCTCGATTCTAGAATTGAGTAATGTTGAGCTCATCACTCTATACCGCATTTTGTTGCAATTTCTTCGTATGTTCGTCGTTAAAATATCACTTGGACTGTTCTGTGCTGACTAATTCTTTCTTTTAAATTCATCACCCTTTACTTTTCAGATACAAAAGGACAAAAGTTACCGGAACACAGCCGAAGATGCCTACATGTTTTATAGTCCGTAGTTTTCAATCAGATTCGACGAATTCGGCTGTTAAGTTTTCACCAGCGAGTATACATAACTTATATCAGCTTAATGCAACTCATCATCATGTTATTTACTCAGAATACAGAACTTTGTTCCGCACCCGATAACTTCAATTCATTGCAGACGGAATGACTACTAAACCAGCGAAATGTGCATGTTTTAATAATAATTAATAAAAAATTATTTGAGTACGCGAAGTATTTTATGCTGGTCGCTTTGTGAACTATGCCCAAATACCCAGCAATTGGACATACATAGGCTATTTTAACACACAGACCTTTGCATATCGACGTTTTGCCTTCGTTATAAAGTTGAAGGACCTGGATTGAATTCTTTCAACATTTGCGCGCTTTCCATCTAGAATTTTCCCTTGTTTCGTTCAGAAGTAATAATAAAACTGGACATATAGAATATATAACGTATATGGAATAATTCCGATTGAAACTTCGAAAAAAAGTAATTTCACGAATTGTATTTCTACATCTCGGACTTAAGTGGACAGTGTTTCTGATATGTTATCTTGCATCTCTTTCATATTTGCATCAAAGTCTGGTTTCCTCAATGAAAGTGCAAATTAACGATGTGCGCTTGCCATCTAGAAATTTCGATACCTATTATATGAATATAATCAAGTAAGTGACAATGTATTATTAGGGCTTTGTGGATAAATCCCTATCTTAAATAAATATATTTAACAATACATTTAACTGAGTAATGCAGAATTGTATAAGTTATGTACGCTCTGGTTTTTATTACTCGTCGATCTACTTTTATACCTCCATTTCGGATTCCTAAGATACAAATGTGATTTATCGTGTTATAAATCTGTGCAGTTAGCGACTAATAAATAAATAAAATAAAATACACATTAGACATTATATAGAAATAAATATTCAAAGAAACGGAGATACATGGCAATG